TCATAGAATTCTTATGTTACACTTGTTCAAGAGTTTGTTAACCGCGAGTAAAAGATCAGTGAACTCGGCAAGAAAGAAAAGGTGCGCCAAATAAATGTTTTCTCATTTCACTATTCGGCCTTAAGTATTGAATTCATGACTTTCGGATTAATTGAACCTCGTCTGGGATTGAATAAAAAAAACAAACTGCATAAGTGAAGCAAAATGGTTAGCTTGGGAGTAAAAATAACTCCAATTTACGATGTTTCCAGTCAGGACACAGGCACATGCAAAATTATAAAGTGACTCGATCACAAATGAGTCCTTCCTAACAGTTGGTTCAAAGATGTCAGTATACATCCGTTAACTAATTGGGTATTGGAACATCCCATGGTATCGAAACATACTGATTTCATGACCATGTTTTTTCCGCTGAGACTGGCGTGAATAATAATTGATTTCCACTTTCTGGTGTGTATTTGATGCGATTAAATTATCGTGCAATAGAATAAATCTTAATTCCATAAAGAGAAATTTCATGGAGAAACAGTATGGTACATTATCTGTCAAAAGGGGTACATGCAGTCATATTATTTTAATTTGTTAATGTTTATAAACTCTTTTTTTTTAATACAAAAATGTTAAATTTCCGGCCCAGGCTGAATATTCTTATTTTTCTGCCGATTTTAGGCTGAGAATATTCTTGTATTATTCTTAAATTACAACTTATGCCATTTCCATTTTTAGAATATATTGGAGTATCAATTATAGTTACTGCAGGTTTCTCGTTTTGTTGGCAATTTTTGCCCTTTAGAAAATGGAATAAGTTGAAAATATATAATTGTATTGCATTTACAGCTTTTGAACACACAAAAATACATGATCCTTTTTCAATATCTCAGCCTAGGGTTTATTCTTAAAATATTTTTTTAAAATTTCAGCCTCATATTCTTATAAAATATATTCTTATAGAAAAAAAAGAGTGTATCTATAGAAACGGATTTCTTTTTCTGGAACGTTTTTCCTCCTTGCAACTCTTACACCTGACTCGTTTTCGAGGTAGAACGCTTTTAATCTGATGTTTTCATGCGAATCACTGCCACAAAGAGACTCTTTTAAATAAAAAACATAAATCTCAATCGCAAGAATTAATTCAATAGCGATGTATACCGCTAAAAATTATCATGAAATTTTGTCTAAATCACTAAAAACCCAAATCCAGCCTTCAATGCATGGTCTTCAATGATTAATATTTTTTTTCATCAGCACTTTCCAACTCCTCAGTTAAAAAATTTTTTGAAAGATATATGCTACATCAGGTAACTGATATATACACCGTAATCCTTTTTTTTCCATTTAGAATGTAAAAAATACTTATTATGACATCTCAACGTCTCTGTTTCTCCATATTTAAAAAAGGAATATCTTTTGCATTAACAACTGCATTGTAATCTCCGCCTAGTGTGATCGGATCAGAAATTATCAAACATTCAGTGAAATCTTAAACTCCTGTCGCAAAAGATAAATAATGGCACTATTCGCGTACGAAACTTTAAAAATGAAAGTTACATCTAAAAGTGCGGATGGGAGTGATAAAGTAAACTTACCTCTTTATTCTATTAATCGGAACCTCTGTTCGTCTTTGCTCTCAAGGTTAGTGGTCAAAAGTCTCTCGATGAACCCTATTTAAAGATTCAGAAAAATTGTTGTTTTTTTGTCCCCACAACTTCCTCTATTCGTGCTGTAAAACCGGAAAAATACTTCAAAAAAACCTAAAAATAAGGCACCTTTTGGCGAATCAAGGAAGCCGAGCAGAGAGGCCTAAAATCTGTTCCGTAGTGTTAATATTTCAATATTACTAATAAAAATTAAGTTTAAGCTTTGTACTTTTTCTCATTTCAGAACTGAAAGAGATCCTTGACAAATGTTTCGACTGAAAAGCCAAGAAGTACATGTGTAAAACTGGGTGACCAAGCTTTTAGTAGAATTTAATGGCATAAGAAATAGGAATAACATAATTTAGTTAAACTGAATGGATCACGAAAACAATCCCTTTTTCACGACAAGCATAAAACTGTGGTAAAGCTTTCCTCGACTTAAAAAACATTTGTAAACTAAAAATTTGGGCGAGAAATTGTTGTCATTGTGTTTTAGAGCTTTGAAGTGAAGGGAGGAAGTTTTTTGAAGCAAAACAGTGCGTCAGCGCTTTATTGGCGAAGGTGTCGTCTGCACGTAGTTTTCATCACTAATGGAGCGCCATTGCTAAAAAAACAATCGAAAAAATATGCCTTAATACATGAGTATTATATTTTTTTGTTTTTAGCAGTCGAATGATCTTCCATTGTTTATCTACATCGACAGGTGTCAGGGTAGTGAAGTGTGTTGACAGGTTTTCCCTCCTCACAGATGGATGTTGTGTCTTCGTCCCTCGTATAAACCGGCTTCGAAAACGGAAAGGCCTCTCCTTGTTCAAAGAGCAAGGCTTTTAAGTACTTCGCACTAATTTCAAATGAAAGTACTCGCATCGGTCATATAGGCTGTTGAGGTGTAAAAAAAGGCAAATTGGTAAAAGATAATCAGTTGTGATATCACATAGATTTAAAATGACGGCAAACCAGGATATAAGCGTCTGTTCGGACGTCAGAGCAGTGAGGCTAAAAAATCAGTTAATGACACGCCTCACACCAAAGGGAAAACTTTCATTTTATGGAATACGTCAACGGGAAATAAACATACGTACGTGCTACATTTAAACTTTCTTAAACTTGCCTAAAATAACGGGAAACGCCCCCGTCGAAAAAAGAAAAACAAACAAACCTGTGGTGATAGAAAATCAAAGCATGGGGTGACTATTGTTCTGGAATCAATTTGTTTTAGCACAGAAAATAAACTTAAAGATTCTCTCTACTAAAAAAGCTTTATTGGGTTTATTTTTTTGTCTATACACGTCATACGTTTCTAATAACATTAAATTGAGAATGCTACCATTGTCATAGTGTTGGTAGAAGCATTGAAGTGTCGCGGTACATAGGAACACTAACACGGGGATCCGCCTTTAACCTTCGAGCTCTTCTCCGGTGGGTCATAAATAGTAGGTATGGGATTCAAAATTCTATCGAGACCCTTGATTGCTAGCAAAGGCCTCACAATATATACTTTGTCCAAACATATCAGACTAGGAGCTTTCGGTTCTGCTGTGGTCGAACCTATATTTTGAATCGAAAAAAAAGTCAGCCCGGCCAATGCTTCATCGAATAAAAAAATTGTAAGAACATAAGAGCTCATGTAGGGGAGAGCATGGGGTAGTGGAAAACTGTTTGATCGAAAAATTAGTTCGTGCGATTCAACTTTGTGTAACCCTTATGAAAGCCTAGGCCACTCAGCGAGGGTTAATATAGTTTATAATAATGACACCATTCGCCTTCTTAACTTTGACCAGCCTTCAAACACAATTTGACTGTTAGTGTATGAGGAGACAACAAACACACGAGAAAAGCACTTTCAGGTATTTAATAAAAGCTCCATAGATGTAAACAAAATAGACGCAGCAGGCATTCGTCACGACAACGAAAATGAACTTTACTTTAGACAAACAAGCGGCTAAAAAGGAAATCGAAACTGAGCAAGTCAGTAAAATGGGGCACGAGCTACGTAGAAGAAAACGTTTCCGGTTCAACCTCGTCCCCAGGCCAGATCGCGCTACGCAGGTGATTGTAATGGTCGGTACACACTAGGCGACAAGTTGCAGCAATATGTCGCAACGACACGTCGCAGCGACAAATCGCTTCGTGTAATTTTTGTGAAAATCTTTCTCTGCAACATAATCTTGTCGCAGCAACATGTTGCAAAAAATCAAATCAGACAGAATTTATGCGACTTGTTGTGGCGACAAAATTCTATTGTAGAGACAAAGATTTTCAAAACATTTCTCCAGGATACACCAAGCGATTTGTCGCTGCGATGTGTCGCCGCAACATGTTGCTGCAACTAGTCGCCAGACCTGTACACGGGAGTGATCTGTCGTCGCGACGTGTTGCTGCAACTTGTCGCCTAGTATGTACCGACCTTAAGTGGCTTGGAACCGAGCGCGATATAGACGAACCCTGACAAGCTTGACAGGTCACATCCGAAATCGGCGAAAACGAACTGAAACGAGGCTGTCTACGGTTTATTTGTTTCTCGTAACGCCTCACAGTCACAAAATACGGGCAGTACCACGAAGAGCAGCTCTAAAAAAGCCCACGATTGTGGCCAACCGCTAATTGGGTGTTGGGCGCCAATCTCGCTATCAATCTCGAGAACGCGTTACCCTTGTCCAGCGGAACAGACAACAGGGGTAGGTACTCCATGTATGGGGACATATAATGTATCGACTTTACCTATTTCACTTGAATCCGTTGTCTCATTGTCTACCCAATCTGCTGGACAAGAGTAACGAGGACTCACGGAAAGAGATTGGGATAAACCAGCAAATGCTCTTACACGTCAGATTCTAGTTCCAAACAGAGAAATAAAATAACATTTAATTTATGAACTGACGTACACAGTCTTAACAAAGAGAAAGGAAAATTACTGTTATTGTTACACACATTGGCAGATTTCAACACTTATGCTTTAGTCCACGTGCACACGAATCTGGATCTTTTTTAAACCGCGTATTTTTTACACGTAGCGGCATTTCGTCCACACGAAACCAGTAAATCTGCTCATCGAAAACGCATCTTTTTGAAAGCGCTGTTCAGAGCGCTTTAAGGCCTCGTTCACACGAATCCGATGGGTAAAAAGTAGTTTATTTTTTATTTATTTTATTTTATTAGCTTCGCCAACATAATATAAATACATCCAGCTAATCAAACAAAGTAACGAAGAACATGTGACAGGGACTTCGCAAAAACGTGAGCCAGTTACTGCGGGCCCAGAAAATTAAAAAAATATAAGAATAGTTAAAATACATAATCACAAAATTAAAACTGGACAGGCTGGACAAGACTACGACACTTATTACATTTAAGACAGACAGACTTAAAAGTGCGGGGATTTTCACAGTCGTAATTACTTAAGGCGATGTTGTAATACTCTTCCATTGCCTGTTTTAAATACACGGTTTTATAACTGTCCGCATTAATATTCTTGTGGACAGGGCATTTTCTCGGTACAAAAAGAGAGAACTTGAACACGGCATTCCGAAACAACTGAAGGAATCATTCCATTTGAAACAAATGAAACAAAGAAAATATAAAAAAACAATATCAGAAATAATACAAATTCAAAGGAGAAACTGGGATCTCCAAGGGCAACAAATACAATGTTGACCCAGAAAATTATTCTTCGTGACATCGGTGAACTTCATTTCTTAATAAGCACATTTTCGTGCCATTTCTTTCTCGATTAATTTATTTTAACGAGTTATATATATTCTTAAATTCTGTATCAACTACAAATCGATGCAAACTAGCGCTGGATATTAGCTAATAAACTATTACTTTTAAAAAATAATGAGCTATAGATTTATTCCTAGTTTCTTTCTGTACAGGAATTGGGTTTACGGTCAAGTCACCCGAAAGTCATCTTACCCGAAGTTATGTCGCACGAATCCAGTTATGTCGCCAAAATTTTTGAGTTAAGTCGCCTGAAATGCTGGGTTATGTCGTCTGAAATTTCATCATGCTCAAAAACATCCTAACATCTTTACAGCGCTTTTTTCGTCTCAACAATTTTAAAGAACGAGATATTTTACTTATTTGTCGCGCTTCTTTGATCCCGTCATCGCTTAAAGAACGAGATGTTGTATACACTCTTTATTAAAATTTCAAACGACATAACTCAGCATTTCGGGCGACTTGACTCTTGCTTTCGGGCGAGATGACATTAGGGCGACTTGACCGGTTACCGAGGAATTGTTTCTTCTTCCTCTTCTCCTATCATATCAGAGCCAGTCTGAATTATTACTTTTTACACGGCAGTCTCGTAATCTTCAGCTGCGATAATCTGTAGGTGCTCTTGAGCTAAAATACAAAAAGAAAATGGTAAGAGCCACTTCAGGAGAAGAGATGTAATAGGGACTTTAAGATAGGTCACTACGGTCGCCTGGGACGGTTAGATAGATGTGACGTCACGCAAAAAACGCGTGACCTTTTACCGTCATCCTTCTGGGACGGTATGTTTTCGCCGGGTTTCTCGTCGTGAAGACAACGGTGAAACCGATAAGAGTTCATGCATACTTATTGTCACTTTTCTTCTAAAAGTGAGTAGCCACTGGGTTAAATACGCGTTGGCTTGTGTTTACATTGATTTACATATCGGTGAAATGAAAAAAAAAGCGAAAATGTCTGATTTCATTCATAACTTAGCTCGCGGCCGCATGGCGACTGCTTGTTCTATCCAGTGTCGTCCGCAATGGCAGAGGAAAATTGCCGAAAAGAAAGGTAAGGCCCAGTTCAAATGTTCATCTTTTCATGTACCGAACTTAATACCTGTTTAGGTCGACCCAAATGGTTCGAGGTTGACTCAGGCGTCGAACTTAAAGTGTAGTCGAACTCGATTCATTTTCAGGATGTTCAATGGTCTAGAATGCTTTAAACAAGTGAAAATAAATTTTAGTAATTTGTGCTTTAGTTTCGGCACATGAGAAGTTCGACGTTTCAACTGGGCCTAACAGTGATGATTGTAGCCGTCTTTTTATAACTTAAAACTGCATTTTTTATCAAGAAAAGATTTCTTCAACTCAAAAGGAGTAGGCTTAGGAAAGGAAAGTTCAAATAAAAACATCGACTACAGTTTTGAAAACTAGCTAGCTAGCTTTAATTTGTACCCTTATTCTTCTGATTGGTATTCTTCGTATAAAACAAGAAACTCTTCTTCAGTAATTGAGCCTTCTGCGAAAGAAATAACAACCGAGTTTCGCACATGACTTCACCGTCCTCTGTTTTGTTGTCCGATCTTAAATTGAAAATTTTTCGCGGCTTCTTACCGTCATGGCCCCAGGCCGCCCGTATACGCATCCAACCGTCCCAGCCTACCGTAGTGACCTATCTTAAAGTCCCTAGTGTTTAGTCTCCTACGGTGATAGCTCAAGAGATTTGATGTTGTTATTAATAATGTTTTGCTTGTTAGGAGTTCTAAAATTAAAATTGGCGAGAGGGGAGGAGAACGGCTGATAATAGCATAAACCATTATCAAGTGATCGCCGTCAATTTTTTTTTTTTTCATCTAGGAAACAAACAGAGAAAACCTGTAGCGTCAAAACTATATCCCGGTGGACCGAACTGGTGGACCACAAGGGCACAATCATAACCAAAACTTGACAAAACACTTCCTATAAATTTTTCTTGACTTTAAGTGTTTTCCGGTATAGGAGGAAGAAATAAATATGATATCTCAATTGTTGGTATTGTCAGATTTTTATTACCTGTTTTCCTCTTGAGAGACCACCCTTTCTTTCATTTCACCTTTTCCGATGGTCGTACAAACGTGGCGGGTGCCATGGATAAGATGATCTACGGGTGTATTGCTTAAAACTTGATGTAAATTAACCTGATGATATGGTGTTTCAGCTCTTAAACAATATTTCTTAAATTACGTACTTTCAAGGTACTTGGCAAGTTCCTTATCTTGAGCTTTCAAAGCTTGAATTCTTGGCGTGTTGCCCTTTTGGAGAAAAACAAAGCAGCAAAAGAATATTAGAATGAATGTTAAAAGGAAAAACCGTTTATAAACAAAAAAAATAAACCCAGTCAAGCCTTTTTAGCACAGAAAATCTTTAAGTTTACTTTCTCTGCTAAAACAAATTGATTCCACGATTCGATTTTCTATCACCCCAGGTTTGTTTGTTTTCTGTTTTTAAACGTGGGCGTTTCCCGTTATTTTATATAAGTTTAAGAAAGTTTAAATGTAGCACGTACGTATGTTTATTTCCCGTTGACGTATTCCGTAAAATGAAAGTTTTCCCTTTGGTGTGAGGCCTTTCATTAATTTTTTAGCCTCATCTGTGACGTCTGAACACACGCTTATTTCCTGGTTTGCCGTCATTTTAAATCTATGTGATATCACAACTGATCATCTTTTAGCAATTTGTCTTTTTTTGCACATCAACAGCCTATATGACCGATGCGAATACTTTCATTTGAAATTAGTGCCACGTTTTATGGAAGACGTAAACACACAACGATGAATTTCCGTTCCTTCATCTAGACTTGTGTTCCGACAAAAAGATTTATAAGAAATAAAACGACCTCGTTTACTAAGTCATGTCTGTTATTAGCTTACATCATAATCTGTCCTCGTGAGGGACGCTCCTGCTTGAACTAACAGCGAGCATATTGTGCGTCGCTCGTACAGCGCGGCTTTATGAAGAGCCGTTTGACCTCTGCAACGAAGAGACAAAACAAGAACGGTGAGGATCATAAACTTCAGTAAGATAACTGCTCAAAATCTTCATAATATTATACTAAACAACGAATGGTTATTCTTTACTTAAATAATGCGGTTATCGTTGAGGGTGGGGGGAGGGGAGGAGGAAGTTCTCCCTTACCCCCCAAAAATAAACTCATCAGACTGGCCGCACTGTCATAAGTTGCATCATCAACTTTAGCATATTTACCTTTCTTCATCTACAAGATCCAATACACATCGGGGAACTGAATAAGGAAGAAACAACAGATGATCAGAAACGCTCGATGAATACTATGCAGTACTAGGACGTGCAGTGAGAAAAGACTATGACTGACCGGGGAGTCGAATCTATAGAAAATCCTTTTGTAGCAACGACCTCCCTCAAGCAGGGCTCTGTGCCTGCGGGAATGAGCATTGCCACCAAATCTATGTTTTGCTTTCAGAACTGCTGGTTAAGGAAATCTGGTCGTGCTATCTAAATCGTCCGACTTATGATGCTTATGATGCTTATGATATGGTGGCGTTCCTGTGTTATCGGGAAACAAGCAGCAGTCTGGTGTATGGTGCATGCTGCTAATATTTACCATTAAGCTCACTCACTCTTCCCTTTAACGATGGACGCTTGCGTTAAGATCTGGCGGTAAGTTTTATACAACTAGCGCCTAGTAACATGCAGACAATTGAATGGAAGCAGCGAGGCCGAGCGGGTAGGGAGCTGGACTTGTAATCCGCTGAAGAAGGCACAAGTGTAATAACTGGACCCAAGTGTAATAAAGGTCCCATCTGTAATAACATTTGGACCCAAGCGTAATAAAGGACCAAATATATATCCTCAGACTGGTAATATGCCAACAACAAATTATGACCAGTAAGAGGTAAAAAGTGTAAAGTCACAAGACAATACGGAGACAGACCTGCCATTTAATTTTAAATAAATGTCAAATTTCACAAGAATTGCGAAAACACAGGTAAAAAATCGAACGAGTGAAAAAGATTTCACGTGTACGATGTCATTTTTAGTGAAATTTTTGGCGACATTTTTTTTTAAATTTTCAAAAATGCTAAAATTTGGCTACACACTTACCGCTCTAATTTTTGGTAATAAAATGGCCGGTTTCAATATAAGCTTAAGCTTAAATGAAGGCAAAGTAGCTCCGACAAAAAGCACAACAAAAGCTTACGTCTCGTTCTGTTTTTCCCTTTCCGCTGTTGTTTCGCCGGCTGTCTACCGTTTTCTTTATCGACAGTGAAACAAACGAAACTATTCCACTCCATTTTCCGAAATGTTTTTCACTTTTTTAGTGAGAAAAACTCTTTGAGTAAAACTTTTCTCGTTGAATGTGTGCGAAGCGGCGCTGCAAGCTGCAATAAAAGGCGGGGATTTTGGCGCGAAACTCACACACCTCTGTGGCTTCTGATTGGACGTATCATTTTTCTCACACGTGAAAAAACATCGTTCGCGATTCTGATTGGACGTATCATTTTTTTCACGTGTGAAAACCATCGTTCGCTCCTCTGATTGGCTAGAACTCATTTGCGTACGAAAATTTACGACATAGCTTTTTGGTGAGTATTTCTCAGTATGTATATAATAAGAAATTTTCTTTGATGGTATTATTACAGATCACTAATTACAGTCGACTCTCTCTTAACGGACACCTCTATAACACGGACACCTCTGTAAAACGGACACTTAAAGTTGGTCCCTGCCTTTCTTTACTCCTTTTATTTGACTCTCTATACGACGGACACCTCTCTAAGACGGACACTTAGTGCCGTTCCCAAAGATGTCCGTCTTAGAGAGGGTTGACTGTACATCTATAGCCCTCGAAAAAAGTAAAAAAAAAGAATGCGATTTTATTTAAATTATTCTGGTACAAGGAAAGTTAAAACTACTCAATTTCCTGATGGAGTCTGTCTTAATTTTATTGTATGGATTTTCATCATACCATTGGAGATGATGTATCTGACCACTTCCTTGTGGCCATGTCGTGCGGCATAGTGAAGAGGTCTCCATCCCCTGTGATCACCAGCTGACAAACTCGTACCACTTCGATGTAGCTCCATTACCTAATAAAATGATTCCACAATGTTTCAATGAAAACATGCAACGGTCGAAACAAAGAAGATTAGAAGTTTCTCGGCTGGCTTGGCCAACCTTAGGTAAAATGACGAAAATTTACATTGGTCTGTAACATGTAAAAACGTCAGTATGATACGTATTTCTTTGCTATGCATGCAGCTATCACTTGAAATGTCACGGAAACGCGTGACAGAAAACGTACGCAAATTACTTGAATTCAATAAAGTTACGAGACAACGTTTACAATAACACGTCTATTGACGAAAAATATTTCCACCAAAGACGATCTCACCTTATCTAGGTCGCCATTCTTAGAAGCCTCGATCATGCCTAAACAAAGAACCAAAAACACTACTGAGCATTACCATTCCAGTGACGTGAAGGACAAACCTTCAACTATATAATCGTACCTTCTACGAGGATTTTTAGAAGTGGAAGAAATAACTGACAACCTGAGTCTTTTATCAATTTGAAGAAATTTCGAAAAGAGTATTTTTCTTTCTAGTTTCCAACATCGAACTACAATTAAAATCATCAAAATACATTTAAGAACTCTACTCACTTTGTTCATTCCGCTTTACTATTTCGTTCTTAACCCTGCAGGAAAAACCAGAGATACTTTAAGACATAGTTGAAAACTTTGCGCTGCAACTCTTCCTTGAAGTAAAATAATTCTTTTGCGATACCTCCTACGCCTGCAGGATTCATCGTTATGACAACCACCTACACTACTACTGATGGGCGACAAGAAATGAGAAGTACTGTCCTTCGCACACAGAATTAGTGGTAAAGCTTGCAAGGGAAATTAACGAGGGGTATCAGTACAATAACCACATAACGAACAAAACGATGAGCAGAACAAAAATTAACGAATTGAATCACTCAGTAATTGAATTACTGTTTTTCAAAAAATATAGCACTTGGTTAGGTTTGCTCTGTAACTTGTGATATATAATAATACCTATTACTGATTTGATCGAAACACCCTTACAACAGGTAAAAGTTTTACTCACCAAATGGTATCCGCTTCATCTACGTCGGGGAAGGGCAATTTGAACTCTTTCCTATAAAAAGAAGGGCCAAAAATTGATGTACTATGCGGCACAACCAATTCTTTCCGGTCTTTTTTAGGCTACCCGCTAAATATAAAGGGTGCATGCGATAAAGACGAGAGATTTTCGCTTCCATTTAATTTGCACAACAAAATTTCCCTTCAGCGAAAACTCCCTGTGAGTCTCGTGCGTATTTACCCTTCCTTTTGTTAAGTTTTTTTTTAGATAATCCAGAAATCAATCATTAAGCAAAGGAAATAGAAGACGTTGACAAGCACATTATCAACCATTAAGTCGGTTGTTTTTAGGTACCTGATCAGTTAGAAATTACTTACGCTGAAAAAGGAGTCATAACTGTCGTTTCCAAAATCTCCTCCACGCTCTCGGACGGACTGGATCCAAGCGAACTGTTATGTCTCCGGGGAGGGGGTAGAGTAAACACTGACCGGCCGGCATCGGGTATGGGAGTAGGCCTGCTGGACAAAGGTATTCCAGGGACGGACAACGGTCTTTGGCGCGGAATTGAATTGCCAGTGTTGTTATTATTATTGTTGGGTTGTTTTCTGGAAAAAATTAAACCGTTTTTCGTGTAATTGTTTCCTCGCCTTTGCAATATTTTTCTTTTCATAGGGGTAGCCACAATAGATGTTCTCGAAGATGGACACTTTGATTTGTGGTGGAGGCCTCGTTTCTAAAATGTTATATATGACACTGGGAACCTTCCATCGTCCACAATACCCTCTACACCCACAAAACAACACCAGTAATAACCAAAGGTTACGAAGTGCGGGCGGCAACGACCAAAGGACAAAACGATCATGCTTTAACGCTGTGATTTGCGTACGTTTCGGGCGATAGATGGTCAAAACACGCGCGATCAGATTACGAGTGATAGAAGGTTCAAACGAGCGTGATCAGATTGTGTTTTGTGCATTCTCTGCATTCTTAGTGGAAGACCAAACGAAACTGCCTTATACGTGCCGTGCATGCGTAATAGCAACCAGCGCCGGGTTGTTCAAAGTTCGATTTAGATAACCCACGGTTAGTGTGAAATTTGAATTCAGATATGAAAGCTCAAAAAAGCAAATTCAGTTTAATTCTTTTTGCCTATAATTTGATGATCGGATACTCTGAATAGAATAGCGAAATTATTCTAGAAACTGCTTCTGAACGAAAGAAATGAAACCGGGATTAAAATTGAACCTCGGGTTAGCGCTAATCGACCTTCGAACAACCGGGTCCAGCTGGAGATTAGAATTTCGGGCTCCTCTTGTCATTCGTAATAAAATATTTAAAAAAATAGATAAAAATCAAGGCTGTTAACAGAGAAAGGCAGTACAGTTGGGAGCAAAAATACCAAAATATCATAAGAAAATACCCAAGTATCATAACATATTTTTGATATAAGAAATAAGTGCTCCTTTAACAAGGGATAATGCTTGCAACTAAGCTTTATGACAAGAAAAAAGAAACGGAAGATATTTGAAAAATAACGTATTAATGCATGTTAAATATGTCACTTTCATACTCCGCCTTTTGTAATGCGAGTCGAGGGAGTTTCTTACTTTATCGAATCATCCTTTAAGTCGACAATAAATATTCCATCCTCTAGAATATCCACTACATTGTAGATTTTCTCCTGAAGAAAACAATGAGGAAATAAAGAGGTTAAAGAAAAATGAAGTTAAAGTCAAAGCGTTGAAAGAAACGAAGCTGACGATACAGAAAACGTTTGATACCTGGGCTACATCGACACGATAAACTCTGTCAGGATATGTAGCTACAGAGAAAAAAATAAAAAAAGAAAAAAATCAGGTTCACCACATAATCCACCAAACTACATCTACTGGTCGATGAAGTTATGTCTTTTTAAGTGACAAATTTGAAACTGAAAAGCATTAACTAAATACCAACATCAAAAAGGTGCGAAATATCACCAAAAGTATACAAATCACAGGAAATGAGGAAAAACATAGACTTGAGGCAGAGAATGCAAGGTTGTAGCATAGGATCGAGTAACCTTTCCATTGCATTAAAAGAGATTTGCTTCTAGGCCAAACAGAATATAAACATTTTTGTTCCAAGGCACAATGATAAACTAGTGTACACAGCTTCCTGTGCGACAATCCACGAAAATCAACAAACAACGTAAGTAATACTCACTGTCTAAAAAGCACCACTCATCTGACAAAGGCGATTTCTAAGTGGATGTAAAAACAAAACAACGGTTACCTCAAGGTTCGCAGCCGCGTTAAAGCAGATGTCTTTGGCACCTCTTGTCCAGAAAGAATATAGAGTTTACTGGCAAGTCAGTGGAACCGCAGTTTGTTCACAGTCCTCTGTTTTCCATAAAGGTGATGTTACACGAGACGATTCGCAACGACGATTTTTAGCGCAACACAGCGTGGAAACATTGTTGCGACATTGTTTCGAGTGGTTACAACATTGTTCCAACATTGCAACGCTGTGTTGCGCTAAAAATCGTCGTTGCGAATCGTCCCGTGTAACATCACCTTAACATCGTTGAGATCAATCGCCTACTGAAGCGCGCGGCCATCTTGGTTTCAAGAGTATCAATCTACTTAGCCGGGCGTTGAGTTTGGAAGAAGCGCCTCCTTCCCCGACACGCGCCACTATAAACCCCGACGCACGCCCTCTCGATACATATGAAACCAAGATGACCTCCCGTTACAAAAAGCACTTGATCTCGACGATCTTGTCAAAATCAAGGACTTTCAGTAGTGTGGTAGGATCGTCACACAGTAGAAAATCATCCATGCAAAAGTAGATGGGAGTTTGAAAGACTATTCCCCCCTTTTTTTTCTTGCGATGGTGGAGATAAATCTAATATGGCGAAAGAATACTTCTGCAGTAACTCCAAGGCGTCTTCAATTTGGAGGAATGTTACATCGCCATCAATACAAGAACGAAATGGAACACTGACAAACACTGATATATTCGACTATCGTCAAAAATGTTGACCCCGTTGACGAACGCTTTTACTTCATTGGTTCGCCAATTCTTGGTACGGTCATCGCAACAGCGCGTGGTGCCAAATACTGTGAGCCCATAACAATTCTTCCCCTACGAGAGATAGACCACCAAGGCGGGGACTACGTGCCCTAATATACCTTCCCCCGTCAGTACCAACGAACTTAAGCGTACCTCCTCCTCTTCATCCTCTTTAAACCGCTCGATCCAAGCCCTCATCTGCTCCAAGTCACTGTCGGGTTCTATTGTTGTCGTTGCCATGAGTCTGGCTACAAAAAAATGAAAACAGAGCATTTTAATTTGCTCAAGAAATGAATGGTACATTACTACACCCTCACTGCCTAAAAAGCACTATCGACTTTACTACCGAAGCATTAATAAATTGCAGCTTGTTGTGGAACATTGCAGCACAGTAAGCTGCAGAAGAGCTGCTGTTTGCCATGGCACTACTCGGCGATTAGACTCCCTTCGACTGTATGATGATACAATGCGGGTAGCAAGCATTACCCCTTTGTCTACCAGAAAAGTTGCAAGTGAGAAACGAAACAAAACTTTTTAGCCTCGTTACGCCTCATTTCCAGCGTACAGCTTACAATCAGGCTCAGGCTACCTACTAACGTAAATCAAGTGATACATTCGCACCGAGTGAAGACAGATCCTGGGCGCGTGGGATGACTCCATATCAAAATCGTAACGTTCATATTAGTAGTATAGTAGGGATGTTTTAATCCCCTGTTTCCTAAACATCTGCTAATGAGATTGTCCCGCATTCAATTCAATAGATACAGTCCATTCTCTCTCAATGGACACTTCCATAAGACCGTCATCTCCTTGAACTGGACACCTGGCGTTGGCCCTGCCGTACCTCAGTCACTTTTTTGACTCTCTATAAAGGCGGACAAGATACTTAAGTGCTGGTCCCCGCAGTGTTGGGTCATCCTTGATGTAAAAACTTCTGAAGTTTTTCTTTGTTTTCTGGCTATTATTTTCCTTGGCTCTATTGTGTTGACTTCTCACGGGTTTTTACACCCGGTATGAGCCGCGGTGTTCGTCCGAAAACTCAAAAGCGCACGATGCCAAACACCTGAATACAATATATCATAAACCTCTTTCATACTAGCGACTTATTAATATATTCTTTTATACAAACGCAAAGGATGGAAATTAATTATATTCATGATAATCAGCCTTTCTGACCTTGTTTGAAAGTAAGAATTCTTTTGTACTTTGCACATGACAACGAGGTCAGAAAGGCTTATTATCATACTAATAATAGAATACGTTAATAGGCCGTCATTATCAAAGAGGTCCATTCACACAGAAATTGCGAATACTTCCAGAAAACAGATGATTCACGCATACTCACCTGTCTCTCGCATCTCTGATAATTCATAACAGTGTCTTTCGTATTCCTTAAATCCTACACTGTAGATCTGTATCTTGACTGGCTCAGGACATGCAACAGGCCTGGAAAAATTGAAAATAACGAATAACAGTTTAACTCGATGAATTCATTAGCGCCAACACAAACCACGTATGATAAATAAATTACGATTTTTCGTCGAGATTCTAAAGGGAGACTGAAGTGGATAAAACGACCCATTTCCGGTTACTACTGGAAACCCTATATACATTGGTAAACATCTAACAATTTATTATCATTTAAATAAAAGCGGACATCACATAAAAGGTTTTTGCGATTTGGGCGCTTTCCATTTGTCAGAGCTAACCAGCCAGACCATTCCCGTCGTAATGAGAATTTCACTTTTAATCAAAACTCTCCAGCCAGATCACGCAAATCCTAAATAGTATGCACGAAGGAGATGGTTTTTCAGCTAAAACTCTTCATAAAAGCCTATTTCATTGTCAAAATGACTGGTCAAGCCACTTGAGCCCGCGATACAGTCAGGTGACGCTGGTCAGCAAATACCCTTTTTGACAGCTGTCTGTCAATTGACCATATTATGGATGTCCACGAGGATGTCCGCTATCAAGTTCAACACAGATTGTATATACCGTGGTCCGGCTTGCCAGTTCTGATAAATGCAAAGCGCCCTTAGTCTCGCACTGAAAATGAGGGTTTTTGGACCTGGGAAACGGCCTAATCCCTACAGCAAATAATTTCAGTACTCTTACCCCATGGTTGAGTTGGCTCCTATCGTTCTTGTCTAATGAACAAAGAAAATGCTGTTACTGAAAGATTGGTTAATAAAGTCACATACCTGGACGCTACCAAATTTGCATTGCTAGGTGTCTTTACCCCTATGGAGATAATATGCCCGAAAATTTGGGCAAAATCACAGCCAAGAATGCAAAAAGGTCACATGCGGTTGACGCTGGTCGATCAAAAAGACCCTTGCGTAAGCTCAACTCAAAATTTGACAGCGTCAGGCCGTGTGCAAACGAGTCCGGATTAGTTTGCAAACACACAAACGTTTGCGTCCACACGAGAACAATCGTCAGCGGATTGTTTCGTAAGCAGGCCCATAATGAAAAAGCTGGCAAAAAAACCTTTTCTTGTGCGAAAAGCATTAAACGCAAGAGTCTGCATAGGAATACAAACTTAGACGCACCCGTGCGGGGATAGGTTCACTATTTCAGCCAAGCATAGTACCTATAATTATTGACTTAAGTATGTTGAGCATGATCTTGTAGGTGGACGTAGTCCTGAAATGGTCTGTTGTTGACAGTGACTGACGCTTCGACAACCTGTGCGATAGTCATCTTCAGAGACAAAATGAGTTGTATCACGTCAGTTGATGGTATTAAAAGTCTGGTTATTGACCTGATTTTTCACTTAAGTCGCGATGTTATTGGAAGTCTGTCAATAAAGCCACGATGTTATTGGCTATGAAGACTCGTTATGTCATTGGTGCGTTTTGAACCGTCTGTTGTCAGAGTTAAACAGTAGTTTATTGTTAGTTAACATTGTCGGTTATCCAGCCATTCTCTCGTAACTAGTTTTGCTTAAGTCCGTCAATAAGTGTGGTACAGTGCCGGTACGGTAAAAATGTCTCTTACCATAGACAAGCCAGGGATCTGTTCATTCATACGAAGTTAACCTATAGTTGAATCTGAACAGAGAGGATTACTGACCTTCACTTTTTGTATCATGTTAGCCTGGTTTTTTCGAGAAATCCGTATTATGCACGGGGGCATTCTGCAAGGTTCTGAAACAAGTAAAAAAACAAGATAAATTTTCACAAAAGAGAGAGACACTTTGCATTTAGTGATGAGTTGCCTCAAATTAGTATTCTAAGGAAAATTTTAAACTCACCCCCCCCCCGTCGCCCCAGATATACACAACAAACGTAAGTTGAGAAAACGGGGATTTTTTTTCTTGTTCAAAGTTTTAGCCTGTGGATGTATCGCTTATATTAATGAAAGTAACTGAGCTGCACTTTTTATGGTAGTGTTATTTAGTGTATCATCTTATTAGAACAAAACGCTATATTCACTTTTTCAAAAATTTAATTAAACCTCTAGTAAACATAAAAGAAGGAAGAACTAAACGATTATAGCAAAATAAATTCTAAGTTGTTCTAAGATCTCATTTTGTATACTGTAAAAAAAATATATCCGTAAGGAAATGACAAGCAACAAACACAATACCATTAGTACAGGCAGCTACCTTAATAGCTCCCTCAAAAAACTATATTACTTTCAATCTTTTAAATTCCCAGATTACGCTTAAATGGATATGCATGCGTACCTCCATCCACTTGCATGGGTAGGGCCTTGCGAGTGACGAGAACAGCCTCTTTACACTGTGCTATTCTCTCACCGTGTCCTCCTACACGTGTTGTAGCCTGCAAACAACAACACGACAATCAAAAACGCACGACAAACAACTACGTTCTAACTTTTTGCCTTATTAATCAAAATACTATCAACAAAGTGATATTGCTGTAACCATGTTACGACACAATTCCTATACATAATTAGCCTTTAATACCCATGCAATATTTCCCATATGAAGGCAGACAGGCCCGCTTGCCAGATCTGGGTTGTTCTAACCGAGTTCCCAGCAAGCGGGCGAGTATTACAGTTTACCTACCAGACTACCGGCGTTGAGACCGATCACCTCCAGAAGACCATCATCAAACCTTTGAGGCTGAAAGTCCTGAAACCAAATCGCAACCGAAAGTCAGTAATATTCACTTACAAGATGTAATTCAATTGTTTTTTTTTTTTTTGGCTTGGATCACAGTCCATAGGTTAGTGGATACAAACTTACACTTTCTCTCCCAGGATGTCCCCATGGAGACGTTCCAGCACTATACCTAGAAAAACGAATAATAACAAAATAAAGCCAAATTATATTGTTAACGCCCGGTTCAGACGCCGATCTTTTCATGAGCCGAACCTAGTTCGAATTAAAGCCGACCCAAATTATTTAGACCGGCTGAACTGATTCAGACGTCAAACTAGATTCAAAAGGATAAAAATGCTCAGTTCGGTCAAACTGCTTGCAAAATACGTTATAATAATTTATACATTAGGTAACACACATGAAAAGTTTGTCGTCTGAATCAAAACCGTTCCAAAGTCGCTCGAAGAGGCGAAAGGCTAAGCGGCTGAGCTGTTCCAACTAGACCACTTCCGAGTTAAAAAAAACGCTCACTTTCAAATTAGGCATAGTGCACAGCCTTTCTTGTGAAAATGGGCTATATTTGCGTGAGAATGAAAAATCATTTCCATATCAAAGGCTCAGTACTTAACCTCGTTTTAATACAGGCCTCGGAAATGGCCTTTTGAAATAGGAGTTCCTAATTGATTCAGACGTCGAACTTTTCATGAACCTAATTCAATGTATTCGGTTCGGCTCAAGAAAAGTTCGGCGTCTGAACCGGGCCTAAGAGTATCAGTCAGCCAGAAAAGTTATGACCATACCATCAAAAACCTTAGTTTCTGCTTCGCAATGATATGAAGAGCCGACATTGAAGAAAAAGCAATTATAATAACCAAGGTACTTACGAAGGTATATTAACAAATAATAGACATAAAGGCTTGGCTTCTTGAAGTTTTTCGGTAAGATCAACTCCATCACACTGAAAGACAAGATGAAGACACCTAACGAATTTGCTTTTGGCTGCCATAAGCACTGGTGATGCATGGACAGAAAGGCACTAATAACAGAAAGGAAGGACCAATACCTGTAGGGTAATATATTTAAAAAAATTATGGGCCTTTCGTTGAAGGAAGGTGGCACTGCCAGCCTAAAACAAAAACAAAAAAATCAGTCTTCAGAGCGAGCACAATGCTTTTAAACGTAAATTGGGCTTGTTGTTTTGAAAATAAACTTTCTTCACCCACCGCACAGACATACCTATGAAAACATGAATGGCAACAAGAAACACTCACCTTCCCATAAAACATAATATTCTTAATTCTATTTTTGAATTTTTCTGGATTAGCCTCTGGAAAAAGAAAAATAATAAGAAAAAAGGGTCATTAAAAATTTCAAGACAGCAAGTCAAATCACATGTCGCAAGTGAATGAAAATAGATACAAATCGACACTCAGTAAGAAAGACGATTTTAGTAAGAACCAGAAAGGAGGTCTTCCAAATGGTTCTCGACTTGCATCCACCAGAGGCGTGAAGTGTAAAAATAACCTTTGGCACTTATTCTCACTAGGAAATTCCTTAGCTAGAAAGTTTTGCGCCAATGATCAATCAGAATGACAAGAACCATCTGCTATCCTTTAGCCTATTGAATTTGTTTAATAATTGCTGTCAAAACAAACACGCAAAGGAACTTCTGAATTCATTGGAAATGTGACGTATGAGGTAGATCTTTAGGCTTTTCACCTATTTTTGCAATTTTAAATGCTCTGACTCAACTTTTATTGCGCAATCAAGCATTGTGACTTTAATTCTGCATACTTCACTTGAAGGATTAGTTAATGCTTATGCTGATCGACAATAATGTCATCGGCATAATCTTAACTTTACCGTGCCTTGTACTCGTTATCACAATCTACAATAAAGATAATGATAAACAAACTAGCTAAAAGGCTCAAATAAAGTATAAAAACACTTAATTTGAACATATCGCAATACTCACCTCTCGATTCATGGAATTCTAAACAAACTTCAGCATCAAATCCTAAGCTGAAATAGTTATTCATTACATTCAATGGAAGCTGCAAATCACAAAGACATACAATGGTCAAGAAAATAATAATTATGATAACACTTTTTGCTCATTAGAAAACTGTCGATCAACAGCAACAGAATACTTCTCTCAATGCAGCTATGGTGGCTCTAAAATTTCAAGTGTGCTAATGAAAACCCCCTTAACCCTTTAAGCCCCAATATCCACATACAAATTCTCCAAACTGATCTCTATATATTTCCTTGAAGAATGAGTTCAGAGAATTTGACGAAAGATCAAAGCATTTTCTCTTAGGTGATCATTAATTTTTATTAATTCTCATAACCTAGTCTCTTGACAATGTTCGGATATCATTGGGAGAAAATTGATGTTGGTCACTATCGGGACTCAAAGGGTTAATGTGACCAAATGAAACCCCTCCCATATAGTACCATATGTTTTCTAATTTGCTACATTGTAAATGATCTCCCTTCCCATGGCTGGATTTGCTAGTCCTCTATTATTACTCTGCACTGAATCACCAATCATGTTTGTACCTTCTTTGCCACTTCTTCGTCACTGGGGTCAATTTCACCTGCTTCATTTGGCATTGCTTCAAGATTCCATCTGGAAAAGTCAGTCATCTTAATTAATTATAGCCTTTATTCAACTACATGAGAACTTACTGCAATTTAATTGCCTTAGAACAGTGGGATTTCAGCTTAATTTGAAATACCTACATGCGGAAGTTAATTACTATTTCCATGCTGACCAAAATCACGAAACAAGATCACCAGGCAAGTTCATTTACAATGGCATAAAGATTTCTAGATTTTCAAGTGGAGGAGATTCAAGAACTCAATGAAAATTCAGAAAACCAAAACACTAAGAAACGCATATCAACCTAATGGCTGATGAAATTACCCACACGTATACTTTTCCTTTATGGTACTCTCCATAGAGTGCCATAAAAATTGCCTTTTTCAAACTTCTGGGACCAGTGTGAGTAGGTACAGTCATCTGACTAAATAAAAGTCTATCAGCAGTGGCTGAAGATTGGTTTACATGTACAAAATAAGCATAACATAAATGCTCTTATATAATAACAAAGATTATAGAAGCACGAACGTATTGAAACAAATGGCAATGACTGTACTTTTATTATATGGAGGAGAGTGTTTTACTGGGAACTAAACCACTCGTAGATTCCATACGCCACTTCATCCGGGACCCGAGTGGCGTATTTTCCGTATGTTACCTTTGTGAGTGTCGTATCGTTCAATGACGTCATGATTCCCGCCTTTTGCTTTTGTTGAATTGGTTTCTCCATATAATAAAAAGAACATTACACGTTGGCTCGAAGATATGAATTTTATGTTCTCGTGGCAAGAACAATATCTCACTCGTTCGCTTCCCTCACTCGTGAGATATTGTTCTTGCCACTCAAACATAAAATTCATATCTTCTCGCCACCGTGTAATATCTTCTATTTATATAATAACAAAGATTATAGAAGCAAGAACGTATTGAAACAAATGGCAATGACTGTACTTATACTCCAGTTCACAGGTACAGTGAAAAGTAATTATGTAAGCACAAGAACAAGTGAAGGGCATGGAAAAGGTAAGTTTTCGTATTCTTGTCCTTCACTTTTCCTCGCTTCATCTACTGAAAGAAGTTCTTGTACTGATCCAGAAACAATCGCTTGCTGGGCTTTATTGGATTAAAATGCTATACTTTGATCATTTTATTACAGATTCAAGGCTGAAATACACGTAAATGCCTGAATTTTCAAACAAAACGGTTAGTGGTCAGGGTCTAATAATTACAATCAGCGCATACCTGTCTAGTTGTACGACACTTCCTTGATCGATGTGCGTGAGAATTCTAGACAATGGTTCATCAGTATAACCCTACAACAAAACATAATTTTATGGCCAGTCAGCTTTTTCGCTAGCTTTTACTGTACTATCATCTTCCAGTAGAACCATGCTGTAAGACCACACTCTTATTATGTCCATCTGTTCTGGCTGGGATAACCACTACAGTCTTCTTCTTGATATACTCATTCCTCCACAATTATCACACAACACAACTACTCAATCAAGTCCAGAGAGCATACTCACCCCTCCCCAGTTAAGCACTCTTGACAAGTCATTTCCTGTTCCCAGTGGAAGCACTGCAACTGGGGGTGGGGGTGTGATTTTTTGCGTGTCGAGTTCAGACAGAACCCAGCCAACCTGGACAAGACACAAAAAAGGCAACATAAGTTACATTTCAAAATTTACAAGTGTGCCACCTACAAAATACTTGTCTATTAATCTTTAAGTGCAGGAACTTTAATCACACATTATTTATAATAATAATTTTTCCAGATTGCTCTTATGAATCGGCACTCGTGTGCTGTAGCTTGCCTACACTTTTGTTGCGCCGTGATGAGGCTTGCAGGCATTTTATATCTAACATCAAGGAGTCCGGGTTCCTTTCACACCTGCTGCTGCAGCCTACGAATGTCGCTCATGGGTACGGGTTGAGGTCGGGTTTTTCTTGTTCTGAATTCCGCTTTGTCAGAACGGACCACCTTAGTAATTTTGTTACCCACAGTTACAATAGGATTTAATTGTTTTTGCCTTCTGTGCCACGTGTAATTATGTGTTCTGCGTATTCTTGACCTCCCTTGTAAGTTAGTGTTATACACTACCAAAAGGGTTTAATAAACTGATTATTATTATTATTTATGAGTCAGCAAGGTGGACCACACAAAAGGTTAAAAAGTAACTCACAGTGCCATCTCCTCCACAAGCCAGTATTCTAAGATTTGGAACCTTTCTGTACAATTCAAGTCTGCAACGAAAAGAACAACATATTTGAAAAATGGAGAATGGAAATATAAACATGAACAGAATTTGAGCATTTTTTTAAAAAACCAGCTGGTCAATTCCCCACCTGCTTATTGCATATGACTGACAATGTAATCTAAGTTTCAACTCTGAATCAGAATTTTAACCCTTTAAGCTCCAAGATCCACTTCCAACTACTCCAGACTGATCTCCATACACTTCTTTTAAGAATGGATGGGAGAATTTGGTTTAAGATCAAAGCGTTCTCCCTTTGGTAATTAATTTAGTAATTCTCATAAACTTTACTCTTGATGATCGGCTAATGTTGTTATGAGAAAATTGATGTCGGTCACAATTGGCCCACAGTTCAAGTCATAATAAGTGAAATAAATAAAATAAAGAAAAAATAATGAGATTTGATGAATACTTACCCCATTTTGGGACCTCCTCCCACTTTGTTGGATAGATCAAAAACTTGTCTGGGGTTCAGTAGCCACTGGAACTTGTGCATGATTTTTGCACCCTGGGGTAAGAAATAATAATTTATTAAATTCCCACACATGTAACAAAAGCTGTGTAGTATGGGATGACAATGGCTAAACCTCCCCATAATCTGTGCCGATTTTATTAGAAATAATACAATAATTATCTATTTTTACTGTAATTTTCAAGCCAGAGAATTTATCATAAGAGCGACAAATCACAGTGCTATAACTTGACCTAGGAGTGAAAAAAATAAAATTAACAATGGTAATATAGGACTTAGAGGGGACCAATAAATTCCATCTGTAATCATAAAAGTGATTAACAAAATTACATAACAGCATAGGGGAGTCCGATTTTTGTTGAACGCCATGATTACAAACTGAATTGGATAACACAAAGTTCTGTTACCAATTCAAACACAGGATATTCCATTTTTTGCCAGAAGTGAAAATGAAAAACCTATTCAAGTGAGCGCACTTGATGGCATGCACTGTTTTACTGTCCAATTACTAAGGCATGACTTGTACTGTCCTATTAGTATGGAAATCAGGACGGTTGAAAGCCAATGCGATTTGACAACTTTGTTATAGTTATGATTAGAAGGAATACTTAAGATGACAGCTAACCTGATTTCCACCACTCCTTGGGTTTATGAACACAAGTAGAGGCTTGCGTTGAGCAGATCCAGAAGGCTTGATCTAGTTAAGTAAACATAGGATTAGACTACCTTACTGGTACTTAATTTTGCAGGACTTAAATTACCCATTTTTCGTGATCGTAAAAAATTTCCGAAATTAAAGACCTGTGAATATAAATCCTCGCATCCTCTAATTTTCATATTTTCTTGCTGCAAATAAAAAAATTGTCAAAATAAAACCCTGCAAAATACTGTCTTGCAAAAATTGTGAAATTATGTACAGTGTACCAATAGAGTACTCAAAATGCATGGTTTAATAATGAAACAAGGCAGCCGATTTCTGTTTTTAGAAAATGAAAGTAAGCCATAACTTACCACAAATGGCTTTTTTTCCTGAAGAAGAAAGAAGCAACGAGGTTATTATTATTATTTTATCAAATGTGTAAGAAATAAGAAGTAAAGGCTGTTATGAAGTAAAGATTTAACTAATATATTATAGAGTAATGGTAAATTTACATGATTTAAAATGTTGACTAAGGAGTTCAAAACAAAAATGTGATGATGACCTTATACAATGGAGCTCCGCTATAATGAGGTGCCACGGTACCGAAAAAAACTGTTTGTTATAGTGGGGTTTTCGTTATCGAATTATCTGGTTAACAGCAAAAATATTTGTTATAGCGGGGTAATTTAATAAATAGGAATTACCAAAAATTCAGTACTGCAAGACAGGAAGACGTGTCAGCAAGCTGAAGCATAAATTGGTCACTACAATAGTACAGTAAACGTATTTTTCAAAACTGGAATAAAGCAAGCTGTGATTTCTAATGACTGCTGCAAGCAACTGGAACAACTACACGTTACAGTGGGGTCAATTGTGGGTTGGGAGTGTCAAAATCTAATGTTATAGCAGGGTTCGTTTCCAGATATTTTACTGTAATTCTGCTGGGCTTTCAGAAGTTTTTCATTTTAAAGAGGTCTTCATTATAGCAGGGTTCCACTGTATAAAGTACTTTTTACTCTGGGAAAAGAAAGAGAGTAAAAAGCATACTAAATTGTCGCTTCTTTTAAACAGTAAAAGAGCTGCTCAAAGTGTCAAAAAGAAGTAAAAAATCTTAAGTTTGAACTTATTCAGAGGTGGTATAAGCTTCCTTGAATCACTTACAAAAAAATTTCAAAGAGAAAGAATAAAAATTTATCAACTTAGACTGAGTTCAACATAAGTTTTATTACAGCAGTGATTAGTACTAAAATTTAATTTAGAAAATTTCTGTTCAAAACCATTCCTGGGAATAATTTCAGGCAAGGCTCTGAGCAAATATGGACAATACTAATACTTAATATGCCAATAAATTGGGATTTCACATAAAATATGGGAAAATTGTTTATCAACTAACAAGAAGATTAAAAAAATTATCATTTTATTCACACACGAAGAAGACAAAGTTTGCTTTTAAGTTATGGAGAATTACAAGAAATAACATGACAATTGCAAATTCTGTTAGTGTTTCAAATTAACAAAGGGTCTGGTGTTATAATGCAGGCAATAAAATGCATGAAAACTGAAAATTAAGATTACAGTTTATTTCTTTTATGGTTACAGTTGCTCGACAGTCTCTTTAACACATAGCATCTTTAATAACAATGGCAAAAAGTGTTAAATTTTTAATTAGCAAAATCATTACAAGATCTTATTAATGGTTTTTAGATTAAATTTCTTTAAAACCTCACATTACAGAAAGGATTGTTGCAGTTATGGTACAAGTCAAGATCAAGCAAGATGAAGTCATCACTGTCACTCTCACTACTGCTCTGTTTCTGTTATAAGCGTTCACCATCAACAAAACATAACATAAATTGACTCAAACAAACTTGAAGAAATGAATAGCAAAGAGATAGTGTTAGCATCAACAGAAATTGCCAGGGTTAAATATGACAAAAAAATGGTTTAAGGAATAAACTGTTATTTTTATAAGAAGCTTAGTTGAATTTATCTGAAAAAAAATAATTATCTAGACATTTAAATAATATTGTACGCAGAGGTACTGTGACTGACTGAAGTAATCTGAACTGATTAATGCATCAGTGAATATCAAAAGTTCAGACATCATCATACGGTAATGCTGCTGTGATCAGTGACAAAGTGATGATTGTGAGGCAAACAACAATGGGCCCTACGATTCACAAACCACATTTTTTTTTAATATCACTGATTATAACAACACAAACCTTTGTAGATTTTCTCTTAACAGATCTCTTTTTATTAAAGCTGCCTCTCTTCATAGAAGAACCTCTTGCCTTTAAACATAAAAAAATAGCACAAAAACTCAAGATGGATAACACAGAAGATTTCACTGTTTTTTCGAAATATGTGATACTCAAAAGTGCATGATGGGAATCGTGTAGCAAAAAAAAATGCAGTCAAAACAATGTATCAAAGGAAATAAGACAACTGGTAACTTAATTTCAAGCAGTAACTTGAATTGCACATTTGTTTTGCACCATTAAATATGTAAGAAACATACAACTAAAAATTGAAAGTGAGGCAATTGTATACAATGTATGTTACAGGCCAAATTTGATTTCAGGTTGATTTTGATTTAACCTATTGTAGGTTGATTCTCAACTAGGAGATAAAGGAAACTGAGAATCAACCTAGGTTAAAAAAATTTAAACTGAAATCAGATTTGACCTGTAACATATACATGTTCACTCGCAAATTGGGGGGTTGGGAATGGGGGTGAACAATTCAAGATAAGACAAATGAAAGAAAAATGACTTACTCTTTTAGGGGGGAGTTTGACAACCCATGATGGAGGAACTATAAGATTGGCATGAGCTCCCAAATCACACATTTCATCTATCTTCTGCATCTTGAAACACTCTACTCTGTTGTGGTACTGAAAAGAAATCAGCTTGTCATTCAGTCTAATGTACAAGTATGTTACATTACGCTGGGTCAAGGCTCTAAAAATAACTCCATGCTTGAGAAAAGACCAGTTATCATACAGAAACTCAGCACTATGTTAATTTTTTTGGGATAAACACTATAAAAAATCAACCTTTTAATTTAATTACAAAGTCACTTACTGCAGCTTTGCACCAAGAACAACTGATTGCAATGATATCCTGTTTGAAAAAAGATAATTCATTTACTACAATACAAATGGTACATAACACAGTTTGAGTGGAGTATCAAAGGCTGCATTCACACAGGATTTTTACAGAGGGTACCCAACAGTGGTAATGCATAAACAGGAATACCCAACATATCAAATTTGTATGGATGCTTGATCAACATCAACATGTAGGAAAATTTGTTTAATCTTTGTTTACTGAAATCCCTTCTACTTGATCAAGACAACCTTCCTGTATGTATGGAGGGGAAGCTATTGTGTAGACAACTAAAAAGGACAACTACACAATACTTTGAAAAATACAGTCAAACTTCCTGCAATGGCCACCTCTCGACAACGGCCAACTCTCTACTACTATGGCCACTTTATTATCTCCTGGCGGACAGTCCATACATCAACTCTTATTTAAACCTGTCTACAAAGGCCACTAAAACATCTCCCTACATGAATCCCAGACACTGTTTTGCATAACAATCTTGTCAAGAAAATAACTTCCATTCTTAACAAACCACCAGGAACTCAAAATGCACATACAAGTAAAATGATTTACCTTGGATTGAAAGGACAGCTTATGTTGAAAAGACTGTTGCCACAAAAAGAAAACAAAGGTGAATTTATCAAGATTAAAGAACAGAAGATTAACCACTAATTATAAAATGTTCAAAGAAATACTTGTACAATGACTGGTTAGAAAGCATTATGCATGCATTATCATTGAGTACGCACCCTTTGTATTGACTGGAAAATTATCAGTCTATAGAAACAACAAGTATAGATCATGGGATATTTTACATGAGAAATAAAAATTTGTTTCTAAATATTGAATTGAACATTGAATTTGTACTAGAAGCATGGGTCATCCCCTGTGGGTCACACTTGTCCCGTTAGTTCCCTCATTTTCTTTAAAATCTCAGTTGTTTGTTCAACGAAGAAACAGCAGCTCTTCTCAGTTGAGGTTGTAACACGTACAGATTAATGCACAAGCCCTGTATGGAGATGTTAGAAGTTTAAAGTCCTGTCTCCAACAAAACAACAAAAATATTTCTGATTGTCCATGGTCGTTACCCCTCAATTATATGGGAGAATCATAATTGCCTCTTCCACTGTCCCTCTCACCTAAGCCCCCCCCCCCCCACAATTACATTAGGGAGCTTAAGATCTGACGACAGCAACAGCAACGGGAACGCCACAAAAACAATAGATTTAATTAGCAAAACAACAATTTGGCATGTGCATCACGCTTTTTTGTACATTTCTTTGCCGTCACTGCACGACTATGATGTGAAAATGCCTAATTTCATGATGTACAGAGGAAGTACACAAGCGACGACGAAATTTCCTCTCTCCTTCTGAACTTGGATATGGTTCTTAGGAATTCGACTTCAGGAGGGTTCGCCTACATTTGACAAAGTTAGTGACTTGGAGTAGTCGTGATGAAGATTGAAAGAACGCGAATTCACTTTTTCAGCAACGCTTTCTCTGCCGTCGCCGTCCTCGGATCTTAACGTCCCTATTGAGTTTAGCAGTGTTTTCTGCCTACATTTCAGGATTGTAAAAACTTTATGTCGATGAACTGAATCAACTTGGTGCATTTTGAGCAAAATTCAAAATTCCAAGAAAAACTTCAGCGCTCACTTGATTGCCTACCACCACTTTTGAACAGTCCTTGAACTGATTTACAGTACTGTAACTGACCTAACAAACGACTGGCACGTCTGTTTAATCTTAGGGGTCCAAGCAGGGGTGTTTAATAGATGGGAGGCATTTAAAAGAGAGAGGCCTTTACTCTCTTAACTGTAACAAGCTTAACGAAACTAATATGCTTCGGCGCAAAAATCAAGAGAATTTTTAAAAAAGCAGAACATCCACTCCATCCATTGATCCATCTAGACATGTTTCTAGGCCATCTAGAGACCCACATCGCTCCTTCAAATCCCAACATTAATTTCAAAATCCACGCTCAGGGTTATTGAGTTGCCATTGTTAGTCTATCCTTACTTTGAACTTGTCATTCAACAAGATGAAAAAATGCAAAGCCTTGTTAATTAAGCAAGATACTGAATGAATAGAATGATTTTGCTCCCTTTTGCTACGTCCTAGTATTTTGAAGTAATTTTCGTAGGGGGTGTCTAATAGACAGGGGGCTTTATTCGAGAGTGGTGTCTATTATAATTTTAACAGCGTAGAGTGGACATTTATTAGATAAGAGGCATTTATTTGGAAGTGCACCTCTATTTAGTCATTTACAGTAACTAACAAGTCCTCAGGTTGAAAATACCTTGCCACAATGATGACATTTGCCTTCCTGTTTCCGCCTATGAACCCAGTGATGCCGCACATTACTCTAAAATGGTATACAGTGTAGGAGCTTTAGCCAATCAAATTGAGAAATTAGAGGTCTACATTTACTGGTGATGCCTGGAGTAGAGACAGCTTCTAATAAACACCAAGGATTAAGACAAAAACTGCTTATGCAAAATTACATGTATCCATTAAAATAAACTAACTAGTTATGAAAATATTTATCACAGCAGTGTAGAGCTAGAGAAGGGATGAACAACACAGCGCAAAGGAAAGCTCTATGCACCACTGAATCACATGATTAATGTAGCGAGCTACTGGGCATGCACATGCCAAAAGACTGCTGACCTTTGGCACTTAAGGTGCTCTTAGTTGTGAACTCCTTTAAATTGCATTTAAATGTATTTTTACACTTCCTTATGCACTATGGAACTTAACCTTAATGAAGAAATTACTTGTAAATGACAAAATCACAGCTTATTGTCCAAACACTGTACTTCCCAAGCATTATATCAAACTTTGCAAACAACAGCCTACAACTTCAGTCCGTTTTAATCTTCTTAAAATTTGTCCACCTGTGTTTACTTGTGTATCAGCTGACTGTTCTTAAGATCTTCTTTTAATGTTTTGAGCAACTATTTCAATTTGGTTGTAGTTCCTACTGATAGAATTTTGATTGAATCTGTGATACAACTCCTAAACTTAAGGTGTAAATGCTGTACAGTATTTTAACACATCGAGTTCACTAAGTTTTTACCTCATGAGTACCCTTGGGGTGAATTTCCCGAAATGTTGGTTTGCATTTGAAATTTATCTGAAATGGAAAAACACAAAGACACACTATTCAGAACAGAAATGTCTTGTAAAGAGCTCAATAATATTTTTACCTATAGAGTCCTAAAGTGTGACATTATAAAAAATGTACTTTGTGAAACTATAGGATTTTTTGGGGTATTATGAAAGAGCAATATCCAAAAGGCCTATGTATATTTGCCAAAAATTAGCATTTCGGGGCAAACTGTCTTTGAGATATTAACCCAGTTATTCTCTGAAGACTCCATACAAATCTGTCTAAATTTGACTCAGTTCGTAACATCAGGAACCAAATCAAATTTAGAGGAATTTGTATGGAGTCATCAGAGCAAAACAGGACTAGTATATCTGAGACAATTCGCCCCACAATGCTAGGTTTTGGCAAGTAGGCCTTTCAGATGTTTTTCTTTCAAAATATCCCAACAAATGCCATAATTTCAGAAATTTAATTTTTATGACCTCATGAGTACCCTTGGGGTGAATTTCCTGAAATGTTGATGACATCATCGCTTTAGAACTCTATACCAACAAGATGCACATCCTTATTATTTTACTTCAGGTTATTCTTGACAACAAAGATTGAACTGAGGTGTACAAGCTAGTAACAACAGAAAAAAAGTCTTCTGCAGATCCTACAATAATTGTACAATTATTGTACCAAATGGTCAAAACCATTTTCAAAACATTATTCTACCAACGATATTGATTTTTTTTTTTTGACAGTTTTTCATGAGCATCGGTCAACTCCTCTGACAGGTACTACAGGAAGACAGATCAATTAAACCACTAGGCAGTATAGATAGGGAAGTTAAAGAGGAAACAAGACTGATGTTAAACAATTTTTTTCATTCAGTAAAATGTCCAGTCAAGATGAGGATCAGTTTATTGCAAAATAAATTATTTTGCTTACAGGGTAACTGAAGAAATCTCATGACTTGGCAAGAAAATCCTGTATTGCAATGTCACTCAAAATCAACAAGAAACTTAATTAATTTAAAAGAAGGAGATATCAAACACCAGATAACTCAGAAAAAAATTCTTAGTTCTAGATCCGATGCTCTCACCACTAAGGCTACTGGAGGCTCTATGGTGAGTAGGGTCAAAATTTAATATGATAATTACACCATCCATAGGGGACTAAGCCATAAATAAGGACTTGACATATTATTTATCAAAGATAAAACTTTACGCTTACCCTGTATAGCTGTTCTATACACTTTGTATGTACAATAATTTTACAAGCTGTAGGGTCAAAATGAAAATACACCTTCTTTATTAGCTAATGTAATACAACGTCAAGCATGAAAGAAAAAATTATAAAATTCCACTTTTTATACCACTAGATGAGAAATTTCTGCAATTTGACTGGCTTAGAGCAGTGGTGTTTCAGCTTAATTTGAAATACCTACATGTGAAAAGTACAAAACTTTTGCTGGTAGTGGTATAAACAAATAATAGCATGATTTGTACGTGATATTTGGCATAAATACCACTTGTGATATTTCAAAATTGTCTCAAATTTCACTTGCCTAACGGCTCGTGAAATTTACGTACAACAATTTCGAAATATCACTCATGGTATTTATGCCAAATATCACTACAAATCATGCTATTACCTATACTAAGAGGCCCTGTTAGGGAAAAATTTCAACAAGCTACCTAGCCTTGAAACAGTGACATGAAATGGTGACAAAGAACATAAAGATGGGTTAAATACCAACAGGAACATGGCCTACTCAAAATGCCAAACAACCATAATATTTGAAATTCAGCCTAGGGACATACGTACACCAACTAAGAGGATCTCTATAAATTTCAGCAACATAAGGCAGATGAAACTGAGTGGTAAATAACAGTCGGTCATCAGATTTTGTCGGAGTAAATTTAATGTCTGATGAAATCCCACTTGCAGTCGAACCTGACGACCAGACAGACCCACCACTTAAGACTAACACTTTATTGCTGAAGATTCCCATAGCAATTAACGAAATTTAAAATCAACAAAATGCATGCTCAACAACTTTTCAGGTTTGTCAAAAAATGCAGAGCAAAGCTTATTAGTTTACATGTATCTAAGGAAGCAAGGCAATTGAAGGCTTGGTCCCAGACAAAAAGATCGATCTCAAGCAGTAACTTGTTAACCACTAAATCGACCAGGCCTCAAAATGACATCAAAGAAGACAAGAATTATCCAGTTACTGGAAATTCAACCATCAAGGACATGTTTCTCTCCTCAATTTGTGAAATGAAGGATTCTTAAAATTCGGAATATGGACACATGCACCCAGACAAGGCCTCAACACTAACTTGGAAGGTGTCTGCAGTTGCATACATATGATAAAACAGGCAAGACAAAACGATAACCTGATTATATCATTCTATCCTTCTGCAAACACTCATTCATGGACATACCTGAACACTTCTTTCTTGGTCCTGATTTCTACAAACAAAACAATTCAATTATTCATTCTGGGAAACTGAAATAGTTTGAAAGAAGACAATAGAAAATATATTTGTGTATGTATATTAAATGTATTACCGGTATGTATTGTGCTTAAATTTAATACAGTGGAATCACAATATTTTTTCAAAGGGTCAAGGAACTGGCAAAATTTGTTCACTGCAATCGAGGTTCTTTTCTGTATGTTGTACTATACTGGAGTAAAGAATACATGTATCCTAATAAGAGGTTTGTGACATGTATATCAAGTTTCCACTGTATACCTATAAGCATCTTAACAAGGACCCTTATCCCATAGGGATAACTCTCTATTAAAGTCAGTTCACTTACAAATGCAGTCCTGAAGATACATGTACCGCTCCTGATACAATTACTACCCATCTCTTTAGTTACAGTCAAATCCCACTTTAAAGACCCCCACTTAATATGGACAACTCTTTATTACAAACAGTTTGCTATGTCCTTGGGAAACTAAAGCCCTTACATTGCCTCTAAATTCAACCAGCTTAATACGGACACCTTGTTAATACGGACCCATATACATGTAATTGATTTAATTACTATCAAAAAGCAATCCAGGTACTCTCTAAGGTCAAATGAGTCTATATTCCTCGAGTTACCAGGCATTAAGACCCATCCAACTCTTGGCAATCATGCATTCCAGTCAGCTGTGCCTTATCTCTGGAGTGCATTACCTTCAGCAATTCACAACATGAAGACATTGGACACTTTTAAGACTGCTGTCAAAACTCATTTTTTCAATTTAGCTTTTAAATAGATTTAATCGTTGGCTTTTATTGTAGGTTTTTTTATAATTTTTAATTCTTTTTATTGTACTTTTTAATAGTTTCTCACGCTTTAGTCACCTTTAACATAAATTTAATATAACAGTACTGTAAAGCGCAACCAAATAATTATATTCATGTAGAGGTTTGCGCTATATAGATGTAAATTATTAATATTATTATTATTATTATTATTATTATTAAATTTATTATTATTATTTATTGGCCCCTTCAGTGTTGGGATTAATGGGGTTTGACAATAAATTGAAAAATCTACTGATGATTAAAAATATTGCAGCTTAAATGCTAAAAGAAGCAGAAACTGAAAAAGATGTAGCTTTTCAGGGCTCTGCTCTAGATGAGCCTGGTGGCCCTTAGCTTGGCGCCCAACTTTTGGCCTTGGGGGTATATTATCAGTATTATCACACAAATCACGTGCTGGGCACCCTTAAGATTCTACAGGTTCAGAGCACTGGGCTACTTTCAATTTACCTCAGGGCACAGCTTTGGGTTTGGTTAATTAAAATAAACACTCTCTCACCAGTGATTCACAATCATTTGAGTAACATGAGTTTCCAGAAGCATCTGTATCCATCCACAAGTGCTGTCCATTCATGTCACTTTCCTGAAAACAAAAACAATACAAACATGTTTTGGGATTAAAGGGGTAGTCTCATGAGCTGCGCATGTTCGGGAAATCGCTGTCAAAATCGGTCTTCCCGCTCCGCCGCCCTCGTGTTTAGTGAAAAAGGGGACAGTAGGCAACACACTACTTTTACTTCTGGCAATCCCGCCAAAATGCTGCTTATTTCAGTAAGTGTTCTTTCTCTCGCAGGTAGATTATACTCTGGATTGTTCTAAATTTTGATTGAGCAAATTAATTTTATCATGCAATTTTTGCCGTTTGTTTCACACACAGAGGTCATGATTCGCATATGAATTTTCTTGCGTGGTCTTTGTTTATAGTGGGCAGGATTTCCCTTCTGATACAAGAGCATTTTCTTTAACCTCTTTAGAAATGTAAAGCTCTTTATTGTGGCTATATAAGGGCTTCCATTCTTTAAATTTCTCCAAAGTGATTTCTAGATCTAAATAACTAATCAATTTTCCTTTGTCCGTGAATGTGATGGTTTCTTGCGATGCTTTGTCACGCTGGGCCCAACTCATTAGTGTTCTATGTAGGATGTTAAATTTCACTGGTACACTATTGTTTATGAGAATGTTTTTCAGGCCCAGGCTTAATATCCTTATTTTTCTGCCGATTCTAGGCAGAAAACATTCAAAATATACCAAAATGAAAATGTACTAATGGGCCGCCAAATCTCTGACGCTGGGACCTTCATATTCTGCCTCCAATTTCACACCAAGCCATGACTGGAATATCTTATCTTCTAAAAAGACACGATTGTGTGTCTAAAACCAATCTTTCTTAGACTGCTTGAGATCAGAAATCGTCCTTTTGCAACCTGAATTCTATCTTTTACGCCAGGGCCGGCTGTACCAATTGTGGTTTTGCCACATTAATCTTGAAAAATGTTACAGGGCAAAATTAAATTCAGGTTAAAATTTTTGAACCCTAGCCCTAATTATTCATGAATTAGGGCTAGAGGACAAAGGAAATGGAGAATCAACCTAGGTTCAAAAATTTTAACCTGAATTTAATTTTGACCTGATATGTGAGCTACAAAACCATCAATACAAAACAAGAAGCTAGCCAATAAAAACAATTAATGTCAGGGAAAGGTTTAGTGAATTATTTTATCTGATGTGTACTTTTTAGTGTTAGAGTACTAACGATACATGTAATAATGACACTCAAACCTGTAAATAGAATGGCCAACTGACTGCTTAATACATTTTGACCATTGCAATATAAGTTTGATAAACCTATAAGTAAGAAAATGTACTCATGCCCAAATAGATTTGAAAGGTTAGTAGGTTACAAGCATTTGTTTTTGGTATACTAAGCTTTGGGATAAAAGCAAGGTACACGGGCAGTTTAACAAACTCAATAGGACCCAGATCTTACAACAGATTTGATCTTGATCATTTGTAAATGCTTAAGTAAACAAGATTACAACACCTACCGCCCACTCACAAACATCAGAGTACTGATCAGAGGTAGATGGAAGGGCTGACACTTCAGAAATTGACTCTGCCAGTGTTGCAAGGTCATGAACACCATTATTTGCTACTGCTGCATCACTTCCTCGCGGTTCACTCATTGCCTCTCTGTAGGTAAATATATTTCCTGAGTCTTTGCCTTCTAAGAGCCCAGGGATGCAGCTAAGGAAAAGCTAAGCAGGTTTTCTCAAGTCAAGCGTGTCAGGTTTCAGTGATGACATTTTTTACAGGGATGGGATATAAGCCCATTGCCCTACCCCCAACCTGGAGAGCCACCCGTCGCAATTCATCTAGCCTTTCACCCAAAACCAGCCCAGCAGCATTTCTTTAACCTACCAGGGATCAACCTCCCAACTGTTATATCTTCCTGGGTAACCAAGGCACACAAACCTCCCCACCAGCCATTAACCCTTTGAATGCCAGGAACGTATAATTGTACATGTGCCCGCTACCAAGGACATATATATATGTCCTCTCCTTACCACAGTTTTATCTCTTCTGGTTGCTCAGCATTTTCATCTGTGGTTGTTTGAAAGGGTCTGAGAAGGAATAATTTTAACTGCTGACCTGAATGTTTTTTACAGAAGTCATAGAAAGTTGCATCACAGTTGATGATGTATTGCGAAGTATTGACAGCAGCTGCCATGACAGTTCTGACTACCTTGCCAGATCACTTACATTTTTACCGTATTCACTTGTTTAAGGCAATAATAATTATTGCAACAAAAGAGAAGTTATAAAATGTTAAAGTTCTCAAATTGCGAAAAACACATTTTCATGAAAATATCCAATACAGTTGCCGGTTGCTAGGGTGTGTTTGGGTTGGCATTCAAGGGGTAAGATCAACACTTAAGTGGTGCAGTTTCATTCTTTACAAGAAATGAAAAAGTGATCAACAGTACAAGAGCATTTGGTGTGCAGACAAACAAGCTGTAAAAATATTTAGGACCAATGAGAACTTTCCTATATTTTCTTTAACTATTTCTTCCTTGTACACCAAATTTCTGGGCTAAAGTTAATGTATTATCAAATGTCCATAATTTAGCTTTTGTTTTTCCAGGTAACACTGTAGCCCGACTTAACATTTGACAAATTAAGTTTCTCATTTTCATGTTAGATTTTCTTTCACCAATTCACACTACACCATAAGAAATTTCCCTTTTTCTGAGTCAAAATTACCAAAACCCAATATTGCTGCAATACGTCATTTCCAAATAGGCCCAAGCCTCTGTTTTAAAATGAGGTCAAGTGCGAAGCCTTTGATATGACAATGACTCTTTACTCTTATGCAAGTTAAAGTAATTTTTACAAGACAAGTTAACTCAGTCAGGTAAATCACACCAATAATAATTAAAGTTATTACGGTGAGTTTCTTTATAATATTAACAGCAAAATGTGGTCAAACCAATCCAGACCATTATTCAGCCCCTACAGACTACTGAATCAGTCAATTCCATCTACAGAGCTTCAGATACAACTGAGGACCAGTGAAAGAAAGATCAGATAAGAACAAGAATCAAGATTGATGTTTGCATGAAGCATCTGTTGTACCATGTTGTCGTGATGAGGAAATGGAAAATGACTTTTAAAACATCACTTTATATATTTAATTTGGACACAAGGTTTAACAGTTTCTCACACTTCTTCTAGTCTGTACTCCAAGCTTTGAATAAAGGCATGATACTGACCCTGCATAACAATGTATTATCAACTATGAAAAAACTGCAATGTCACAAAGCCAATGACCCATGACCACCCCATTTTGTTAACAGTCAAATGCCCTACCTGGCGTCTTTTTTTGGCAGCAAACTTCCGCCCATATAGAGCTAAACTTGCATCAAATGCTACAGGGATGCCTGGGGAAAGACGAGGAGGGGGAGGGGGTGGGGGGGTAATAAACTTTCTTGGAACTGACTAATGCAAAATCTCCCAGTTCTGGTGTGGGTGTATGGGATATAAAAGGATGTTTTTTCCCTAGTACAGGATAAAATTATATCCTATGCCTACCACCTATCACACGTTATGCATGAGCCTTATGCCTGTAGACTAAAAGCATCGATCTCATGCATCAAGGGCAATTTCTCACGCCTGACTCACAAATCTGGATGAACTATTCTTTCAGACATGATTAATAACAAAAACTCAATCCAATTTCCCTGATAATCATAACTATAACAAAATTCTCAAATCTGATTGGTTCTCAACTGCCCTGATTTCAGCCTTAATAGGACAGTTTAATAGGACAGTACGCGTCATGCCTAAGTAATTGGACAGTACGCACCATCACGCGCGCGCTTAAATGGCTTTTTTTTTATTGCTAGCGAAAAACTCTTGGAATTTCTTGTGTTTTGATTTAAAAAGAGCCCTATATATCACAAATTTTGTTAAAGTTATGATTAATTGGTAACAGAACTTCGTCGTCCAATTCGGTCTGTCCATATTCGGTCTGTAATCATACTCCGTGATTTTGTTAATCAAATCGGACTCCGTTACCATTACTAATCATAACTATAATAAAATTCTCAAATCTGATTGGCTATCAACTGCCCTCCGACAGTTTGATGTTAATCACTGTATGATTTTTTTTTTTTTCACTGCTAGCAAAACAAAATTTCGAGTTTCTTGTGTTTTTGATTTAAAAATAGCCTATTATATCACAAATTTTGTTAAAGTTATGATTAATTGGTAACAGAACTTGAATCATACTCAAATCGGACTCCGCCACGCGGTCATCCGATTTTGTTAATCACTCAGTCCTGTTACCATTACAAATACTTCCAAAAAGGTGCTTAATGTTAACCTTGTGTCTCATTTGTATCTCGACCCTAAAATTGCTGCCTATTTATTTAAAGTGTCAGAAGTGCTCAAAGGCTGTCTGAACATCTTCCGACATTTTGGGCAATGTTCCAAAGTCTTCCTCGGAAGTTGCTTAGAAACCCCAGTAATGACAAGACAAAAATCTCACGCACTTTACTCAGAAAAAATTGGCAGGTATAAAAATTCTCTTTAGAATTAGAATCAACAACTTCTTCAAACATTTTTAATTTGAAAATTAGTATTAAGAGAACACTAAGTTTTGGAATACTGCCCATGAAAGCATTTTTGTAAAATTTGGTATTATTTATTTTTCCACAGGATAGCTGTATTTTCATAGAAAAGACACCACACTATGTTCCTAATTGAACGTAGAACGGTTTTATCTACTGTTGCTAATGGCTCTGAATTACTTTATGCAAATATATAAAGTCCGTGAATTTAATACAAAAACGTGATTCAGTTATTGAGAAAACTAACTTTTGATTTGCATTTAGTATTAACGTCCAACAGTAATAACCGACCTCTTTATTTTCAAAGTCGAACAACTTATTATAATAAAATCACCGAGACGATACCATTGCTCGCTTTGTTTGCTAAACAAAAGTTAAACATTAAAATACATATCATTGCTTTCTCTTTCACATAGAATACTAAGCTTACAGTACAAAGGCTTTTGACAAGTTGAAGGTATGAGCTTAAGTGATATCTTCGCTGATACGATGTAAAAGTCCATGCCCTTGGAACGGAATTCGATTTTTTTAATAAGATGAATGGCGAGACAAGCTTTCCTGGAGAAGTACAAGTTAGAGGTAGAGGAAATATTCTAAGCTATTACCGAACGTCGAATGACTTGCCTAAGAAGTAATAATTACCAAGTTATGAGTCAAGATTTTTTTATTTGATAAAAAAACAGCTTTCTTTTAATGATTAGGTCACCGTTCTACTACCAAAAATCAAGCGACTAAAAGGAAAAATAAATCACAATCGAAGATTCTAGCGGAATTTTGATTCAATGAATGTTCGCCGCAGAAGAATATAGCTAAATTCTTATTTATATCGATATAAATTCTCAAAACACAACAGAAATTTCTAACAGTTTCACACCATCAAAAGTTGCATTCACACCCCATAACCTAAAGATCCATCATTAAATATTTATTCATCCGTTAGCAAGTCGTTAATTTTAACATGAACCCTGCAAAATCAAGACCTTGAAACTAGAAGTCAAATTGGACCCAGAGTTAACACAGAACAGCACAGCATGAACGAAGAAACCAATAATATAACGAGAAACAATCAAAGCAAATTATTTCCTGTGGAATTTGAGTTCAATATTCGCGCTGTAAAATCACTGATAACTACGGTAAACGATGTGAAAGTGTTAAAACGTACCTATAAGATCGAGACTTTGCCGCTCGACGATGGAGTTTGTGGTTCCCCTCGCTTCGACCTTCATCGTTTCGTGGAGAATGTTTGCTGATAAGCCCGTCTTTCTCTCCAGCAGAGGCCATTTTATATGAGCCACTTTCACCGACAAATATATATTAGCATGGCGAAATGCACAACTATTTCGTCATTCTCTGACCGAAAATTGCGGAAAAGCACAAAGTCAATAAGACGCAAACGCGAGGCACGTAAAATGTTGACAAAGTGAGACTGAACTGCATGTAAAGCGCGACTGCAATGGAGTCTGGGCTTTTTTGTGGGGGCGTAAAAAAACTGTTATGGGGTAGGTATAGATGAAAAATGGTCTCGGTGTGAAAAAAGCTTTATTTCCTGCATGCCAGCCTTTTATTTGCTGGATCATTGATTGTTAAAATCTAGATTTAGATAACCCTAGTCACAATAATTTTCATTATGTCTGTTTACGACGGGACTCGGTCAATGCGTGGTTATAATTGCAGAAGAATATTAAAAATCCATTAGTGTTTTTTTTTTTTTCAGGTATATCGCACACCTGCGTTCTAACTGCTATGATGTGCCTCTAAAAATGACTAACTTTAAGGGCCAAGGCTCTTGCTAACGTTCATCTCGATTTGTCATATTGGGATTTTCTTTAGTCAAAGAATCGGAATAAACCTCGAGTGGCGCATAATCACGGACGGAGCGTAAAATCTTGAACTGTCCGATTCTGATGTATATTCAGATTCACTAGCTCCTGGACTCACGCAATGATCGTATCCTTTTTCTAGTGGTACGACGCCGTTGGTTACGTTGTTAACTACGTCAGACTTAGCCTGTACACAGCCGTTGTTTTCTTTCTCTTTTTTTTTCTCTCTTTGAAAACGACGTTCACACGAAGGAAGCGAGCGTGGAGCGCGGAGCGCGAGAACGAGGGTGGAGCGCTAGATGATGATCCCCAGTGGTTTTTACTTTTGTATGCGTGCTCAACGATCTCTATTAAAAGAGAAAACAGAGGGTCTGTGAACAGGCTATGTCAGGCTCAGAAATTTAAGTTATTACTGAGAAAAGAACCGATGAAATTTGGGTTACAGACCACACTGTGAGATTACTACACCTTTCCAAGTTTAACACCCGTGGCGGGCAAACTGTTTGAATTTAATTTAAGGAATTTATAATATTACAAAACGAGTGATGAATCACGCAAAGCATGTGTTATTCCATAAAATCTGCCCAATTCAGGAGCGCAGCGTCCATATACGCACATACGCCCGTGCAGCTAAAATATGGAAAATATATTTTTTAATTCTTGAAAAAGCATTTCTTTATCATTAAATCGGGCTGACTGATAGTTTTTCGCACTAAAATGGTGTCGGTTTGTGTTAGTATTTCCTTTATTTTTTTATTATTCCATAACTCTGATTGCGTCACTTGCTTTTTTTCCCGTAAACACTGTACCTTACCGAGCTAGAGATGAATAAATTAGCAACTAACTACTTTTCCTTTTCACATGTATTAATTTACTGAAAATGTCTTGCGGAAAACGCTGGAAATGGCATTTCCGAGACCCTAAATATGAAGGTGCGTACACCTTCAAAATCTCACGCTACCTCACTGGAACTAAAAGGCTTATCGTCGTAGTCTAAAGTATTATATATATTCAGCTCTCAAAGTTTTTACGTGATTCTTCCTTTGTTTCTTGGCCAGTTTTATATCTTTAACCTTGAACGCGGTTTTCGCTTGAGCGAGGGTGAGGAATTTCTCAACTTTGTCTTTGACTGCAAGCAAGCTATCCCATATGTAAGTCGTCACTTAAAGATCGGCGCGGCTCAACTTGGCTCCGTTGCAGAAATCGCGCCGAAATCCGCAGCTGTTACGTCTGAACAGAAGCCCTGTCCAGTATGGTTTAAGGGCAGGCGCAAAGCTATCTGACGTGAACGCAGTCTCAGTCCGAAAGAGTTTGACCTTAAAAGGGAATCTCTGTGGTCACGTGGTCTTCTGAGAGCTGCATGCCGGTCCACGCTTGTTGAACTATCGAAGACAAAGTTTTTAAAATACTCCTTGGCAGGAATTAAGTTGTCCTTAATTAGATTAGTTATAATTCTATCAGTTTAGTTAACTAAGTTCCAAAGAACTGACCCATGAAAGACTAACGATTCTTTCGCTACTGTTGCATCTTGGGATCAAATCCTGATTAGGACATTCCCCAAAAAGTTACTACTCAGGTTCATTACAGACGCTACACAGTCTCACAGGGTCGTGAACTCAAAAGAGCGCGGTCTCATTTTGACAAATCTGAGCTTATTCGACACATGGTCCGCCGTTGCCAACTTTTGTTTTACTTGGTACGTGTCTAAATAATTTTATCACGGCATCACCGAAAGAATACAATACAGTCGCACAACTTATGTCAGGAAATGCACGCAATAGCCAAAGTGCTGAATCTGGCAAAACATCGCCGAAGGGTTTGCGAAAATTCAAATGAGATGTCAAAAAACGCCCCTAAAGAAACTGGGCAATATCGGCAAAATCTTTATTACCGAGAAAGTATTGTCTTTAGTCTCGTCAACATCGTGAAAAATGTCAAAACTTATAACTCGACGCTTTTAAAAGACGCTTGACTCCAATTAATGTTTCAAAATAGTGGCAAGTTTAGTTATTCTTGTCTTCGTGATAATTTGCCGTTATTGTTAATGCCTCTTTTCGAGGTCAAAGTTCTTTTGAATTCTGTGGATGCAACTGAGGCAAGGAAGGGCTGACTAAATCACCCCAACTGCAAATCATGTAATGGTATAGAGACTTTATAAAGGAATATCAAGCTGAATACCACTAAATACTCTCAGCTACACTGTATATTTTTTCTTCACCAAATAACAAGCTATTCAAGAACCTACATAGCCTAAATTTGTGCTAATTACCATTTACGTTTGAACCTGTTTAGGCTAAATTGGGAAAATGCAGGTTCTTAGTTGCAGGTTTTTACTGTTTAGAAATAAGGTGTATGAAATTTTTAAACTGGGCTGGGGGGAATAGAGGAAGACAAGACATGTGTATTAGATCTACTTTATTGCGAAAACTCACAAACTACAGTTAAATAGTTACGCTTGCCTAGTTAAATAATTCTACGTGGTGACCTTACCAAAACATACACCACATGAATGACTCTACTCTAAATAACCCATTTGCATCTCAGACTTTTAAATACGTTAGTTTGAACAAACATTTTGCATCACACAAAACTGGTCACTAGGTAGTAAATGCTCCAAAACGTGCGTTTTTCTTAAAGTTGCTATTTTGAAAGACTAATTTTGGAACCATTTTAATTAACGAAAATGCTACATGCTACGCGGCGTTAATGGTTTTACTGTCCTGCAGTCGCTGTCAATAACGACACGAAATAGATAAGATTTCCATCACTGAAGTATGTGGACATCATATACGACACCAACATACGAAATGGATTAGATTGCTATCACTGCAGTATGTGGACACCTTGGGTATGCGCGCCGTATGTACCTATCATGTACAATGAACTTTTTTTCGTACGCTAGCCTGGACAAAGGTATTGATATACGTCAAACGTGTTTACTGCTTATGTTATTGAAGAGCTTTTCTTAACCTTTCTCCAAGATAGACAGTACGCTGGTAAAAAAATATCTTTTAGTTAGAACAACTATTTCCTATGTGGAATATTATAACACTCGCCAGAGAACAACTCAAGTCGAGAATATAAGAAAGACCCATTAATAAATGCTCCTCATTGCGACTAGATCTACGTTGTTTCTATATAAAAATATATGTCCGTGTATCTTCTCGATAGGTACTTCACCATGCCGTATTTACTGTCTCTATTCATATTTGCCAAGTGCGTCATGCAGGGTGGAGATATCACTTCTGATATCACTGGTCAATTTCATGATCTGGTCCTTAGAGTCCAGTACCTCCACGGACTGTGTATAAGGGTTGTAGCGGACCGAAAACGGCCTGGGAATCTTGGCAGCAAATTCCCTAGAAGCGAAAATTTCGAAAGGAGAACAACATCAACAACAACAATAACAACAATAGGGGCCTTAAGCGAGGACGACGACGACTGCAGTCGTCGGTAAACAAATGACTTTGCGTTCTTTCAAACTTAATCGCGTCTATTTGGACCCGCTCAATATGTCAAATGCAGGGGACTTTTCCTGGAGTTGAATTCTTAAGGATTTTATTCAGGTTCAAAAAGATGAAGGAAAATTCGTCGTCGTATGTCCACGTCCTCCTTAAAACGTGAAATTAGGAGGTTTCACCTCGTAGTGGTGCAGTGGACGTCAAAAAAATGTACTAAAAAGCGTGATGCACGTGCAGAGCTGCTGTTTTGATCATTAAACCTCTTGTTTTTTTTTGAAAGTCGTCGTTGTGGTCGTCGTGGTAGTTCCTCCCTAATAATGGTGGTGGTGGTGGTGGTGGTGGTGGTGGTGATGATGCAACCTCTTTCCCATTTTTTCAGGGAAAAGCCCTGGGGACGAGGTTGGTAAGGAGGAACCAGAAACATCACTGTTATAGGCTATACTCCTCGAGAACTTATAGGAAGCAAAAAAGCTCCTAACGTGTGAAATTCTGGGGTGTTTATCCTTTACAAAAACCACCCGGGGGAAATCCTGAGGATATGAAACTGGAAAATTTGACGTGGTGGGAGAACGACCTGCTACAAAGCATATCCAAAACAGCTGAACAGACTTAACAGTTGAAAAATTACATCGCTTCAAACCACAGTCCATATTTACTGAACCTTCAAAACGAAATGGTGCGAGCCATTTGATTGTGCAACCAGAATTTCCAGTTTTCCCATGTAAATAGTAAGTGCTCCAGGCTACCCAGTATTTTGACGTCTTTTCGCCCCAAGAAAATTCTCGAGAGGCTAATGACCACAGTTTGAACATAGTCTTGCTGTTTACAGTGAATTCACAACGTTTCAATGCTTACCTGACTTTTTCCTTGGCACTCTGAAAACTGTTAGCCACAAAATACACGGGTTGGTATTTGGTTATGGGATAACTTTGAACTGAGGTCTTCTCTGGTTCAAATGGCCTCTTATCTGGTTCATCTGTCAAACAGTACTATAATACATCATAGGATAGGCATTTAATGATACAATTAAATATCATTTTGAGTAGTATAGTAGAAAGGAATTAACCCCGATTCGTTTGTCGTTGACGTCTTTTGCAGTATATTCAAGTGCGGTGATATTAGAAGCCCCTAATTTAATTCCATGAATTAAACAAGGCAAAGCCTTCCAAACTGTCACTGTGAAAGAAATCTAGTATGCAGTGAACTGAATCGTATTTATCTATCTATCTGTCGTAAATATGCCTCCATCAAGTTTCGGCCGAGCGAGGGCTTAGTTCTTTCCAAACGCCATCTTTGATTTTGAAAGCAGAGAAAGATTAGGGAGAGTTAAAAGGGTGATTTATGAAGTTGGCACATAGCAGAAGAAGAAAGTGGGGGAAGAAGGCGGGAAGGTTAGACAATCTGATTTACAAAAGAAACGTTTCTCTACTTACTTGCAGTTCACCAAAGCTTGACAAGAGTCCAGCACCATAAGCTTTGATATTCCCGTCTTGCTTGCATAACCCAAATTCAACGGTGAACCAGTACAACTACAGACGACGAGTAAAACAAAGAACAATAAACAACAACAACAACAATAACAAGCTAAGTAACATTTTATTATAATCCATAATTTTGGCGTTTTCTGGGGACTGAGTGGTTGAACAGCTCAGGGGACTCGGGGGCTGTTTATGTTACAGGTATGAGAGCGAGGATCCTTGCTAGCAATGTACTCTATTTTATTTCAATAACTGATAGTTTTATCATGTTAGATGCAAAACTATTGAAACCTCTATCTTGCATGTAAACAACAACAGCTTTACGGACCCGTTAATTTTCGGGGCTTTCCAGAAATGGGCCCCAGGTCGGCGGGTTTCGCGTTGAAGGAGTTCCGAGTGAGCGGGATTAGGTGCACGTTACGGTGATCGACATCTGTTGTAATATTTTGGTTCCAGTTCTGGTTGGTTTATTCCTCTGTTTTTGCCGAGCGCTTCCAATGAAATTCAAGAATTTATCAAAGAGAAAGTAACAAATTTTCCCGACTCTACGGCAAGTAGAACAACCTCAAATCCCACAAGTTCCATGTCATTTCCTCTCCAAGATTTCAACGTCTGTTCGCATTAGTATTTACGTTACGTTTACACAGCTGGGAACAAACACTCCTCACCGTAGCCAATTTATCAATCCACTCATCTGGGGCCCCTAATGATGCCAGACCAATTTCCTGTTTAACAAATCAAGAAAAAATAAAAGAAGCACTCATAAAAAATGAAATATTTCAAGATGTTTCTTTCCATAGAGAAACTATGTTATTACATATCATCCCTGAACTCTTACCGACAAACTTCCACTTTAACATTAAATCTCGTTTTCAGAACCACCCTTATATATTCTACAAATAGAAATTGCGAAAAACAATTCTAGGCAAAAGCGACACAAAGATGGTATTTAGTAAAGGACTCTCCAAAAATGTTTTTAATTGCCATCCAAGAAATAAAACTTAGGAAGGTGCACTAGCTAGGGATTATAACTGGCAGTTTAAAGTTACGATTGTCAACCTTGTGACCACAGCGATTCCAAACAGAGAGGCTTTACCTGGTTTTCCTGTGGCATGAAACAGTTACGAGGAGCGGGATGCTAAGAAAACGTTGGGTGACCATACCCTAGCATTCCGTCACAGATAGCGAATTAAAGGAATTGGTGGACAGGCTACAGTGAATTAGAATGGTCATCTGCTCAGACATCCGCTGACCAACATAAGAAAAGACTGTTCATTAGAAAATAAATGTATGTGGATTGCAAGAAGACAACAGTCGGTATATCTCGCGCTAGGAGAGGGTGAACTTAGGCAAAAGGACGGAAGATATGAATGCAAAATGTCTGTCCACCACAAACGTGACAGGGTTTTTACTTGCGAGTTTGGTGGCGATCTTCACTTAACATTACTCCTGGAAGGGCACTTAAAGAAAGTCTGTGTGAAGTTTAAGACGAAAACCGTCGTTTTCAGTGTACTTTCTCCCCTTATTGGTTGATGGGCTCCTGACTCACCTGACTGAACTGCGCAAAGTCAGGATCTGCAAACAAGGGAACGTGTCCGATGAGCTCGTGAACAATGTCTGGTTCAGGGGTGTACATAGGAGTGCTACCGTGGCGGATGTATTGAGTCGCGTGGAACACTCGGAACGCAAGGCCTGCTAGGAAGTCACGTGATGACAGCAAACCAGCTACTGGACGCAAGGAGAACCCTGTGCACTCTGTGAAAAAAGTGAAGAAAAACAAAAGACCAATAATCAATACAATTTGCGATTGGCTTTTTGAACTTTGAGGTCTAACCAAGCTATGAAATGGATCCCTGCTCTTTACCTTTTAAAAACCTTGACACACCTTCTTGCTGCGGAATGTTATCCAGCCTGAAAGAGCCAATTTAGTGGTTAGAGCGCCTTTGAAACGTGCAGTCCCAACACTCCGACAACATTTGTTGACAGGCGCCTCCTCTTATCATTGTTGTGAAATTTTCACAAGAGTTTTGTCTAAGACGGTCACTTTATTACTCATTGCGACGTTTTGATCGAGTACTACTTGTCCTTTTATAAGGCTTTATTAGGCTATGTGCTTGAGAATGGTGCTTTTCCAGCCACACTCAAAGCAAGTAACAGCGCACGCGCCGATTTTTTTTAGGGGCGAACGAAGGGACTTATTGCAGGGACGCGCGCCGCGCTGTATAAGCAATTTAAAACTAACAGACGCCAGCATCTTTTGCCTATTAAACCGACATCGTCACCTGATGTGGACCAGCAGTTTGAAGCAATACGTGGTCGAAACGTCGCCAACAAAGACAAAGTCAAACAACAAACGATCGCGCGAGCCTGTCAAACAGGTACCACGAAATGCAATGTCGCTGAAACCGCACATTTTTTTCATTTATTTTTCTCGAGCGCTCGCAAAATTCGTCGGGAAAAAGAAAAGAAGAACTGTGGAGAGGCTAAATCGATGTGGAAGAGCAATTTGTTTACATGAAACAATGAAATCATAAAAGAGAGAAAACTCACTGTCGCTGTCTGCCCTTTTTGTTTCTCTCTTCTCCTTATTCCCCCAGAAACGCCTGATACTATCTCAGGCTACAAATACTCACCTATAGCCACAGTTCTGGGCTAACAGTGGCCAAACATAATTATGTTCACGGCAGGCATGCGTAGGGTACAACTTGGTCAACTCAGAAAATACAACATTCCTGTAGGATGATAAGGCCAATAATCAGCAATGTTTTTTTTTTTTGCTCAAGGATTAAAATGCAATACGATCACATTGTAGCTACAATAAGCCAGCTTAAGGTGACTCGACCCAGTTTTTTTTTTTGGGGGGGGGGGGTACCATCCTACTTTGAAGCTCTCTGGTATCCCCACCTTTACTACTACTAACACATAGAATAGATAACATATTTATCAATCTACAATATAACATAAAATTTTTGGCGATCGGAGTAAATGTCACGTGGTTATAATGCCACGCCCCTTTGAGGTCTGAGTCGAAAATCTGCTTTTGCCGGCATTTTTTCGTGAAAATCTCTCGGCTACACATAGTGCACATTAGTGCCTTGCGCTGAACAGAGTTTCACCAAAATCGCAAAGACCCAATTCGAGAAATTCAGCGGTTTCCAAATTTAGGTCATAATTTGTGCGAAAATGATAAGCAAACTTTACACGGATTATATCTAATACACTAAGAGATTCATCCCTTTATTTTGGGCATCGTTATAACAGATGGGTCCTTGCAAGTCAGCAAAACGCTTTAGGGCCTTGTAAATGCGCGCGATTTCGAGCAAAGCAAACATATAGAAATTATAGTTTTCGCTATTTGTTGACGTTTGTCAGCGTTTAAGAGTCCTTCTCACGAAAAACGCATTTTCTTAAAAATTAATAGTTTTTTTTCCTTCAAATTTTTTCAGGGCCACAATTGATTAACTAACTACCCGGACTCTGAATTTCATGGTCATTGAAAAACTGTGACATTATCTTCTATAAGCCCAAACTTGAGTAAACATTGAAGATTTTTAGCGTTTTGGCTGAGTTTCATGCTTTGGGAGTTGTCTATTGTTTCTAGTCTGCCATGATACAGCATTCTTGTTCAGCACGCGTGCAATGACCACGCTTGGCTGTGATTGGCATCACATTTCTTTTAGTACCACTTAAAAGACAGAGTGGTAATGAGAATTTAAGGACGAGCCTGATTATACAAGATAAATTCTAATGATGCACTTTAATCGAAAAATTCTCTAGTGTTTTGGTTTTATGGCAAATGTATGGAGACAACAAATGAGGATTTAAATTTTGTTATTTGCATTTATAAAGGGTTAAGTATACTGAAAAGTGTTTCTTGAGTACAGTGTTGTCCTTACCAGGTCTTGATCTCAGCTGCTGTATACGTCACTTCTGGAATTGGCTCACCACTGCAAACAAGCAATTTATCTTATTCTTCGATCAACAAGTGAAATAGAGAAGTATATGTACACACTGTTCCTGCTTGTTACAAATATTCTTCTAACAAAGTAAGGTGTACAGTTATAGTACATACTGTTTATAATTGAAGGCAATATCTGCAAACTCCTTTCTGCGAGCTCGGTAGACTTGATCTGTGAATCCCTATACAAAAAAGCTCTCAATTAGTCACTGCAAAAAATAACACATTAATAAAAAATTATAACATTAAATTAGTCATTAAGAATTAATTTGGATTAATATTATGCAGTAAAGAAAAAATATATCATAACTGTACACATTTAGCACAATTAAACAACAAAATATGATAAGTAATTTTTTTAACATCAGATCAGTTGTCTGAGAATTAAGATCTTTTCAAATATGAATAGAACTATTATGTATATTGAAAGGTGTGTGTGAAAACTTTTCAACAACTTCGCAGATGACATCACTCAGGGGATGGAAAAAACATCGCTTTTGATTAATTTTTGAGTGGCACTATTTATAATAAGCTAAAGAATGAAAGACCAATGTTATAGTTTACTGGATGATCTGAGTCAAGCTCTGCTCCATAGCTCAGCACCCTGTTGGCAAATTTATCCAAATCAGCAATCTTGCGAGGAAACCAAGGTACTAAAAAAGGAAAGAACAGAATCTATGTTGACATCATAAGCTCCAACATTGCAGCTGAAGTAGTATTACATGCGTCACATCGGTATTTAAAAAGTCACGATCAAGCATATCTTCATCCAAATGTCTTTAATCAAAAATTCTGCAAAGTTAACCTCACTGATGTACATTATGTAAAGTTTTAATATATTTTTTGATGTACCAGGCTCAGTTGATTCTAACAACAGTATACAATGAAGACATATATTCAAGGAAAATTGTCACATGTCCTGATTGCTCTCTAACTTAATTACTTTGACAAAATGGGATTTTACATTGCATATACTGCATGAAGTTTAGAGAGTTGGTATTTTGTAATTTTAAAAAACCTGACTCAGAACAATTCACTTTTCAAAATATCAAAAAAGAATACTTTGCATAGAAAAGGCTGGTGGCAATAATATGCATTGTACTGGTGAATAAACTCTTAAGCTAAGAAGCCAAGTAAAGGCAAAAGGCAAAGGCTGCGACATTCCCCAAAGACAGAAAACATTTAATATCTTTGTCAATGTCACACTCTACAGAATTTCTAGAGGGAACACCGAGGGGCTTTGCTAAGTCAATAAGTACAATACATAACATGTCATTTACTTCATGCATGTAAATCACATCATTTAGTAACGTATACCAGGGAAAAGGGGATGCTGCTTTCAGGGGATACCTACATGTACATATAAGTTAAGCCTCCTAATGTACATTATTTATGCTAAGTTAGCAGGGGTTTTGATAACTTTTTCCATGTGTAGCTGATAATGTTGGCATATTGGGTGGCTGTGAAAGGGACCGCTGGAGCCTTTTCCCTAACATCTTACTGTAACATCCTTACTTCAGGAGTACTGCAACTATATATAGCCCTATATATATAGGCAGCACTAGACACACCTTAAACTGGTTATTGAAACTCCTGATTTTATAGGTCGTTCAAATGTTGAAATAATAATGATAATGATAATAATAATAATACTACTAATAATAATAATACTTAAAGGTAGAAGTGCAAAAAATCTCGAACTGCAGAAGTGTATCTGTCATCCCTATTGTAATCAAAGCTCTTGGGACTGTGAGTAAAAACCGAAGGATGTGGATCAGCTTTTAGCTGGGAACACATGGGATCATTGTACTGCTCCAGGAAGCTTAGCTTGTTTGTTGGGAACAGCTAATTAAGATCCTAAGAAGGACCATAGACACGGGACAGCTTGATGCTTTATAGGGAATAAGGTCACCTATAGGGTGTGAGAATAATAATAATAATAATAATAATAATAATTTAATAATAATAATAATAATAATAAACTTTGTTTTAAACTCTGACCACTCAGCCACCCTACCTAAATACTACTCTCATTCCTTTTTACAGCTGTATATATCATCCCTGAACCTTATTTTTATCGTAAAGGGTTCAAACCCCACTGTCAGTTGAAAGAATAACTACTTCAAAATATAACTGATGAGACAGCAGTCAATAGTTTTAACAATTACAGCCCTATTCAGGGCTAAAGTTGCATACTTGTGAATGGGCAATTCCAGAAAATATCCATACCCAACCACGGACGGCTTCCATGTTTTAACCCCCCCTTGCCTTCGGAAATTCCAAAATGCGCTACCCCCCCATGCCCTCAGAATTCCATAGTCGTGAACCCCCCCTCCCCTTCAGAATTTCCGGGTTTTTTTGGAAGTACATTTTCGACTTAGCAATGCCTATAAGAACAAACAAACATGAATTTATGCCTCCTCAAGGCTGTGATCTAGCGGCGCCAGGTGACAAGCTTTACTCTTCAGTGACAAGAAAAACCTACGCTAGTTGCCAGGCCGTGCAAACTCCTTTTTAAGTCCGAATTTGGCTATAAAAATAAACACCACGTAAGGTAATTTTACTCCTCTTTGTTTTCTTGTGCTGTTTTGACGTTTACAAAGGAAAATAGCTCAAACAGACTGTTAAAATCTTTCGGCGGTCAAATATACCGTCGAGTCGTGTTCGCCCTTTTATACGTCATGTAGTGCGTCTGGCGTTCTAATCTGACAGGCGTTCCTTGGAAGTGAGGGACTGGTGCGAGTTTTTTACTGTTTATCGGACGGTTTTGGACGGGAGTAACAAGAAATTTGCAAGGGTATTAAAAGATACATTTTCAGTTTTTATTCACGTGACAAGAAATTCATCAAGGTAAATGTGAAACCAACGTTTTACTGTTCACTTCTATAAGTTATGAGCGTAAACACGTGTCTGATCTATCGATGCTTGTCTTCTGCTTCCGTGGTCATCGTTCGTGGTTTATTTACGTAACTACAAAAGTCCACAACAATAGCGTTTTCCAGGAACTTACTCTACACTTTCTACTCCAGAAATCCCACCTGTGGAATTCCCCCATACCTTCGGATTTCAAATCGTAAATACCCCCCCATGCCTTCAGAATTCCATAATCGTGAATCCCCCCTCCCCTTCGGAAATCCTTAAAGCCGTCCGTGGTATGGTATGGATATTTTCTGGAATCGCCCAATAACTTTCCTATTTTAATTTTCTTACTTTATTTTAATCATTTTTTGTTGCCAATATTATACTTGATCTAATAACTTTAAACTAATAAACAACACGTAAATCAATTAACTTACCATCAGAGGACTCTGATGAGTTGTAATGTATGCACAGTAACCATGACAACAAATCAGTTGCACACCAGAAAAATCAACAGATATGGTTATTAGTAATTAACCAGTAAGATGGCAAACTAAAATTATCTGGTGCAGGTGCAGGTGCATATGACTTGTGCAAGTGACTTGTGCCAGGAAATTAACATACTGTAATTCCTCTATACCTGGTTTATTTACCAACTGGAATTTTAGATTTGATTCTGATCCCTGGCTGCATGACCTCCAACCTTCTCATACTTGAGCTTTTCCAATTTGTATTCTAGTTCTTTATGGAGTAGTGATACCATTATCTTTTCTACATGAAATAATCTCCCCCCTCTTAAATAAGCTCCCCACCTCTATTAAGTGCCCCCCCCCCAAAAGGGCATGAAATAAATAAGCCCTTGGGGGGCTTAATAGAAGATTTACAGTACATTAAACACATCATATCACTACGTATACCACAGTGTCACACATGGTCAATGGACTCTTATGGTTCTGAATTAATTGATCTTAAATTTAAAAATACAGAGGATGACAAATTAAGGCCCTTTTTAATAAAATATATTAGTTCGTTTCTATACATTTCATAACTTAACACTTTATTTATCCATACATTGATTGCCAGTGTGTCATTTTTACTAGTTAAGGATGAACAGCATTAACCCATTCGCTCCTGGAGATTTTGCCGAAAAACGCGTTTTGAAGCTAGTCAAGTGGTTTTCTGGTCACTGTCGTGCTATAAAGAGCTAAAACTTACCACAAACCAGTTTACAGGTTGTAAACTTCGCGGCCTTCTGATCCAGATGCAAAATATATTCAGCTTGCGAAGTTCAGGCATGCGCAGAAAGCAAAATTTCGAGATAGTTTTTGGGTTTAAAAGTGACACAGCAGTCTTGACTTTTACTTTTCGCTTTCTCTCCTCCCTTCTTTTTTCGCTTTTCTTGCCTCATTTTTTTTTTCTCTTGCTGGGCATTTAGTAGGCTTCATTTTGGTGGGAATAGTTTTTAGGAAAGCTTTTAGGATCTTAGGATTAGGTGAAAGGAAAGGTAGGTGAGTAATGGAACAAGATTTTCATTGAGATTTTCGGGTCAGTGTCACATGGTTTTTTGCTTCTTTCTCCGGTGTCCTTGACTGAATTGTGCTCATTCTGGTATGGTTTGAAAGATCTCTTCACTCTGCACAAGTTAGCGAAGAAAGTTGTCTTTGACCGTTAAAACTGATGACGTCACAAAGGGTAGAAAGGACCTGGATCCGCACGGGCGGTTACGGGCGGTTCAGGGGCAAATGGGTTAATATATTTTTTTTAATATAAACCTGTATGCAATGTGTCTTCATTATTTTTTGTTTAACATATTGTTTTTCCAAAAAACGCCCTATAAAACTAAGTTGAGCCATTTTCTGGATACTGTGAAGTGCAGGTGGGAAGTGGAACAAGATTTTCATTGGAATTTTCCGATCTCTTTTATCATATGGTTTTTTGGGCTTTAATTACTCTGACCTGATTGACTGAATCATGTGCATTCCAGTATGATTTGAAAGAGGTCTTCCCCTGCACGAGTTAGATGTCAGAGTTGTCGGTGACTATTAAGTCACTTAGTTACTAATGACATACACAAGTGGTAGAGGGATGTGGATCGGCACAGGCCATATGTGCAGTTCAGGGGTAAATGGCTTTTAAAGTTTCAAGTTTATTTGCACCATAATATGCAGAGAAGTGCCTACCATAACAATATTATAACAAACTCACACTTAGCCCACAAATGTGCAAATTGCCACCTGTGCAATACTTGAGGTCTTAATTTACACTTGACTTAAATCAGTCACTACTTTTAGGTTTAAACTACAGTAAATAATATTCATTAAAATCATCATTAATATTTTATTAATACTATTAATGTACGTTTACATGCATATTTAAGCACATTTATTTTTATTTATATAATAACCTTCAACAGAATCTTTGATTTAAATCGAACTTTCTACTTAAGGCATAGTTATTGGAGAATAATTTTATTGCTAACCGTTTTTTTTAATGTAAATATTACTGAACGTATTCTTATACTTAATTCAATTTTAATTATCACGTTTCCCTAACTAGCAGGCTACCTGTTGAAGCCAGCTAGAAGATGCAACAATTTTTGTTAATAAATTAAGTTCATAATGTTCATTCATTCAATTCAAGTACTCAGGGAGAATAGTTTTACAGCTAAATTTTTACTGATCAAATTAAAAAGGACCAACTATCAAAAATATCAAAGTAAATGAGTTTGTGGGTGCTACAACACCAGAAAAGCTTGGGCCATGGTGCTGTGAAACGAAGTTGCAAATGCTATACAAATCTGACCTAAAATGTGATTTCACAACAAATTCACATAAGATAACAAAGCAGTCATACAACTGATCTAGTACAATTACACTCACATGCCTGCAGTGCAAGTGCTGTGCTATTACTACAGCTAAAACAAAAAACTCTACAAATCTCAAAGTTAAAGTGGAGAGGAAAAATAACAAATGAAAACGTTACAAAATGGAACAAAAATTTCTGATCAGTGCTTTAGCTACTTGAATATACATTTACATATTATGCATATTGTTTCTAAAGGATTGACTACGAGAATGGTAGTATTGAATAGGGTATCTTTCTTTGAATTCAACAACTTAACACAGAGGCATATTCTATGAATGCAAGATAGTTTACCAATGAAACAATTGATACCTGCAGATTTTTGTATGACTGTTGGCCCAATTTTTTTGGGCCTCTGGAAAAGGGATGTAGTTTAGAAGGGTAGCGAGCTGATGGGAACTTACCAATACACAGGAATGAAATCTTGACTAGCAGTTTAAAAAATAATCTTGTCAGTTTGACTCAGAATCAGCATAAGGAGTGGGGGCTTTTTGGTACATTCAGACTGGGAGCTTACATTATGTATAATTTGGTTGAGGGGTTTACTTAAGGCTCAGGGGGAATAAATATGGGAAACATAACGCTCACCTCCCCCTTCTTCTGAATGCACAGTGATTGACAAGGCTTGATCTTTTAAGGCATCCACAAAATTTGTTAGCCTGGGTCCTTGAATTTCTTCACAGTCCACAAAGAAATCGTATTCTGTCTTGGAGCGTTTAGAAGGACGGGATTCAATGTGGGACATGTTAACCTTGTGAGCCTGTGATACATAAAAATTAATAGCATTTAGGATGACCTCTCCATTTTCTGGCTCTCATTTACTTTGTATGCTAGCTGCTAGGTATATATATTAATCTCATAACAAATCCTAGTGCTGGGATTGGTCATAACACAATAAACATTTCTGAAATATTTCAAGAGTTCATGGTCTTGCCAGGTTTGTCTGCAGCCTTCCATACAGATTTTCTTTTGGCTTGTCACGCAATCCTTCATGGCAAAGGAACGCGTTGCAAAGCCCTAAGAACGTCTGCATGGAAGGCTAGTTTGACTGAAACTCGGTCACATCTATTTTCTGACCGGTCAAAATAACAACTTGAATGTATGACACTGTAGCCTAACAAAGCAAAAAGCAAAAATGTAAAGTGAAAAAAGTTGCTAGTCCTCTTGAAATGTAAGGGTGTGAATTTTTTTTCTGGTGACTTGTTTACATATCTAGTCAAAATGACTGGCAAACCGAAAGTTTTTGAGATAAAATAATTAATATTAGCAATAAAAAATCACGACGTTTCGACCTCTCCGAGGTCATTTTAAACACTTGAAAATGACCTCGGAGAGGTTGAAACGTCGTGATTTTTTATCGCTAATATTTATCTCAAAATCGATTTCTAAGAAACTACTTATTAAAACCGAAAGTTTGCCTGGATAAAATATTGGTCATCTTGGCAGGATGTAGTCTGTTGACCCCCCATTATTTCAAGCCCTGAAACAGCGACATCAGACAGATGCATTCAGGTGACAAGAGGGTACAGAGATGTTTTGAATTTGCAAAAAAATACCAAAAGGGATATCTCTTCCTCGTTTTGAGATTTAGGGTAGGGACAGATCCTAGCTGCTGAGAATCACCAAATGATATTTATTGACTATTTTCAAATCCTCCATAATGGGCAATTCCAGAAAATATCCATACCCAACCACGGACGGCTTCCAAGTTTTAACCCCCCCTTGCCTTCGGAAATTCCAAAATGCGCTACCCCCCCATGCCCTCAGAATTCCATAGTCGTGAACCCCCCTCCCCTTCAGAATTTCCGGGTTTTTTGGAAGTACATTTTTGACTTAGCAACGCCTATAAGAACAAACGAACATGAATTTATGCCTCCTCAAGGCTGTGATCTAGCGGCGCCAGATGACAAGCTTTACTCTTCAGTGACAAGAAAAACCTACGCTAGTTGCCAGGCCGTGCAAACTCCTTTTTAAGTCCGAATTTGGCTATAAAAATAAACACCACTTAAGGTAATTTTACTCCTCTTTGTTTTCTTGTGCTGTTTTGACGTTTACAAAGGAAAATAGCTCAAACAGACTGTTAAAATCTTCTGGCGGTCAAATATACCGTCGAGTTGTGTTGCGTCCTTTTATACGTCATGTAGTGCGCACGAAAAGCGTTCTAATCTGACAGGCGTTCCTTGGAAGTGAGGGACTGGTGCGAGTTTTTTACTGTTTATCGGACGGTTTCGGACGGGAGTAACAAGAAATTTGCAAGGGGTATTAAAAGATACATTTTCAGTTTTTATTCACATGACAAGAAATTCATCAAGGTAAATGTGAAACCAACATTTTACTGTTCACTTCTATAAGTTATGAGCGTAAACACGTGTCTGATCTATCGATGCTTGTCTTCTGCTTCCGCGGTCATACGTTCGTGGTTTATTTACGAACTACAAAAGTCCACAACAATAGCGTTTTCCAGGAACTTACTCTACACTTTCTACTCCAGAAATCCCGCCTGTGGAATTCCCCCATACCTTCGGATTTCAAATCGTAAATACCCCCCCATGCCTTCAGAATTCCATAATCTTGAATCCCCCCTCCCCTTCGGAAATCCTTAAAGCCGTCCGTGGTATGGTATGGATATTTTCTGGAATCGCCCAATACACTCTGTTTGTCCCCAAATTTGCATAACATAACTATTGTTGTCAAATGCTGCAAAATTTTAGGTGGCAATCAGAGTGACTTGTATTATGAGAGATTCAAAAATACTGTGCTCAAGCATTGAAATACTTCTAGTTTGCATAATTTGTCCAGTGCTTCTGATGAAACTAGGTTTTTGGATAACATCGTCATGCTCTCCAAAGAGTTCTCTGTGAACTGATATGTGTACAGCCAAGAAAACTGGAGGCCTTTCCGCATGAGTAACATGCCAGTAGCTTGTGCCAATGAATCGTAGGCTATTCTAAGGATGGTACATTTAAATGCAGACTGCAGACCGCTGGAGACCATTGTTTTCACCATGCCAATGAGCATGTGACACGAATAGTCCCGTTGCTTTCTAACCCTGAAAACAATTAATGAATGGTCTGCAGTCAGTCTGCAGTCTGTATTTTGTACTGTCCAATTGTAAAGAGCATATTGAATTTGCAATGCTAATAAAAATTAAAAACCCATACATATAGATCTCGTCGATTATATAGAATAAAAATTTTTGCTTTTCCGCAGAAAAAGTTTTTGTAATCAATGCGAAAGTTTAGTTAGTCAATAGAGTAAAAGAATGTTAAGATGTATGTAAGCTCAAGCTGCGTAGCTAGAGAGTTTTTTTTATCATCGATGCATGTGATTGGCATAATTATTATTTACCTCAAACAGTTTAAGCGCCCTGGCCAGAGAACCAACCTCCTCTTTCAATGAAAACACGATTGAAGTATGTTTCTTTCCATCAGTTTCAGCCTGGTGTTTCTATGCAAAAATTGTTCAAAGCAATCATGTAAAAGAGCGGAACAAAACAATCGAAGGACACGTAAGCTTTAAATAGTGCAGTACATTTTCAATTAATGGCAGGCACGTCTCGTACAAATGCCTAAAAACTAAATAACATCTAAATACTATGAGAGAAAAGAAATCAAATGAGACACCACCTTGCGATTAGTCGCATCTTCGGGATCGCTTGTGTCAAAGTGTTTTCGTTTCAAACCTGCGTCCATGTTGTGAAGGGAAATTATGTGGATGCTCACTGATGCACTGCATTCCACTGCTTTGTCACGTGATACGCGCTATTGTTCGTAAAGAGGTGTGTAGGGCGGTGTGGTCTCTTCCCTGGCCCCACAATACCTTGCACGGGAGAGAAAAAGTGAGCGTTCCTAAGAAATGATAAATTAAGGAGAAATAGGACTAAGAGATTGATGGGAGGCTGAATCTTTTGAGAGATATCACGTGGGGAGACGAAGGACGACAAAGGTGAATTTGTACCACGTGACCACGCTATGGGAGTTGTGTTGGTTGTGGGGAGTGTGCTGTGTGTGAACGCTTTGCTAGCTTTGGAATTTGTGCTGGTTGTGGGAGTTGTGCCGGTTTCGGGAGTTGTGCTAGTTTCGCTGGTTAAGGGGTTAATGCTAGTTGTGGAATTTGTTCTGGCAGTTTATGCTTTTGGGAGTTCTGCTGGTTGTGACAGTTGGGTTGGTTGTTCAAGTTGCGGGCGTGGAGTTGGTGCAGCGTTTTATGTAAGTCCATCACGAAACGGGCCAGTTCGTTGTTAATAATCTAAATGCAGTAGTTCATCAGTACGATGCCTATTTTACGTGCTATCTCAGAAATGGTTTCGGCTCAAAAAATCCGACACCAACTGTAGATAACTTTAGAGGCCACCCACTATCTCCGCATGAGAAGACTTCAAGTCTTTCGATGCGGAATTTTTCGATAAGTAAGTGCGATGTCCGGCGGTGACTTTTTCTAAACCCGGGTCACCAGTGAGAATTATTCATCACTTATTTTAGAGTAAAAACGGTAAAGAAACGTCAGTGGGAGTGTGGTGAGGGCGGGGGACAAGAATTCTGCAATTATACCCCTTGGCTGCTATCTATTTCCAAAGGCTAGCGAAGGTGCCAGTAAAACAGAAATTCAGGAGATATGGGTGATTCACTTTTTATTTTTTAACGTCTTTGAAGCACGCTTAACAAATTTATAAATATATTATTATCACTTTATGAATTTTTCTTAACTGTAAAATCTAACAATTTTGTTTCTTTGGAGCGTCAAGCGATAGAGAGTATTCTAACAATGGACTTAAATGCAAGAGAATCTCCAAAGTATTTTACTGGAGAATCTTTCAATCTGAGGTCAAAAGCGTCTCAGCCACTTTGTAACTAACCGCGACTTAGGCCAGCTGAAAAAACAACGCTAAGGAAAAAGGGTCGAGAATAGAGTGGACATTAGAAAATCAGATTTCTTCTGAACGTCTGTATTTGCAAGACCGTATATTGCAAGCGTACAAACTAGCTAAGTGTGCAAACGGAAACACCCCTCTGATAAATACACAAGGTCAAGCCAGTGACCATTCTAACCAGCGAAGCGATGAGGGTGTCCGTACTTATAAAGAGCCTCTTTTAAATGACTGACTAAAGATCACAAGCAGAGCACCCTCTTTTTTGGTTTACGTCGCACTCGAGAAAAAGTCTAAAAATTAATCTAAATGAATGGAAATGGAATTCTTTAACTATTACCCGCACAATCTAACTGTAATTAAATATAAAAATCTCCATTTGTCAAAAATATCCACGTTCAATTCACCCATATGTCACAACATTTGTTGTGTTGTCCAAAACTTTTGACCAAATGTAAAACAACTCGCTCTATTTACAACGATTTTTGTATTAGTTTTAAGCTTAAGGATGTAAGTTGATATCATGTCTATATTACATACAAATATCAGCTTGTAAATCTGCGTTCAGTGATCATCAAATTAAAGTAAATCCTTTCTGGGATACTTAAATTATTGTAGTCAACTCTTAAGCTGGTCCACTTTACCACAAAATTTGTCAACAATCATAGCCTAACTGACAAAATAGAACTAATAAAATTAGTTGTACTATAAAGACTCATGGCAAATTATCATATTTTTGGAGTGACTACGGCTTCAACTATAAGCGCAGATTTTGGAAAAGGTTCGGGAAATTAACGGTTTATCTTCTCGGGAAAGAATTCCTGTTAGAAAAGCAAGACTCGCAATTGCCTATCTTGAATACTGCCAGTTTTGGTTGGCTCGTATAAATCTGCTACAATGCCCTGCAGTTGAACATGCATCGTTACTTAAGGCTGCCAAAAACGTAGGCACCTTTCTTTTAGTTCACCCTCCCTACAAACTGCCCTTCTTCGTTGAAGGAGCTCGCGTCCAGCAATCTTCACGGTTGTTGTGGTTGCTTTGCAAGACGTGTTACGAGATTCCCTTCAGAAGCGAGGCTTCTAGTGTTATATTGAACTCCATCAAAGTTTGCAGTAAATCCACCAAAAACTGCACCAGCGTTGTGTCCCGAAAGAACGAGGGCGTGTCGTACATGTTGGTCGTTGCTGGGCACGTGGACAGGAGTTCGAACCAGTCATGGAGCAAATGATCTCTGTCGAAAAAAGGCACACGTAGAGAGATTTCAAGATTTCAAGATTTCGCACTCTAGAGTTACAGAAGTTTTGTATCTCAAAGGGTATTTTTAGAGATAGCGGGGTTCAGCTAAAGGTAACTCGCACTTTTAAGGTAAGGAGAATTTATGATGAGAGTACGAGAAAAAAAAAGGAGTACTAGGACACGGTGACACTCCTCTCAGTCGTCTCTCAATTCACCAGTCTCTCCTGCAAAGAAACATTTCTCCCAGTCGTAACTTCGGCGTCAACTACCGTACAAAAGGCTTCGCGTTTCGCAATTTAGCTGAGGCAAAAACTACATTTTACACACACGCTTATAAATAATCTTCTATGCCAAAAGTAGCCTGCTCGGAGGAAATGGGCGCAAGAGATAACGGGGCGCTCGAGGGAGACACCCTCGTGCGCTCCGTTCTGCGCCCATTACTTCCAAGCGCCTGCTACGCAGGCTATGCCAGAAGCAATATTGTGATTATTAAGTCTGCGTTTCTATAGTTTTTGGTTGGCTGACAAATATCTTGCGCTTTTTCTCGCCTATCGAAAATAAAACTAAAACCAACCGTGAATTCACCACTTTAGAAACGAGAAGGGAACTAGAGCCAGAATGTGTCAAGCAAGTGTTTGTGGGATCGCTACTGGGGACGCGCCTGTCAGCTATTGGCCAATTTTTTTCCCTGTTCCCAGTAACAGTCCCAGAAGTCTTTGCCAAAGTTAACTCGGTCCAGTTTCCTTCTCGTTTCTAAAGTGGCGAATGTGATTGGCTACTCGAATGAGTCGTGATACCTTTTGTTAATTTGATTCCGTGGCACGTATGAGCATAGCTGTAAAAAAAGAGTTTCTTACCTTGCACCGAGGCACACAAAGGACTGGAACTGAAGAAGAAGAAGATTAAGAAGAAGAAGAACAAGATGAGCATTGAGAGAGATCTTCAGCAGACTCCAATGTTACAAAATCATTCAAAAATAAGTTCTGGAGGTTCGGTGAGGGAAGGAAAGCTTAAGAGAAAAACAGGAGCTCTCAACGCTGCTGTACAAGATCATGCAACACTTATTACCCTAAAGCGGCTATTCAAACGGCGTGAAATCGTCTCAGTTTTACGAAGGAGTACAAAGATCAGAGCGATACTCTGTAAAGCCGGAGAATTTGTTCAGCACATCGATAATAAACTCGTCACAATTTCTCTAGAGAGTTCGAGTTATTGAAGGTCAAATTCCATTACCTAAAGGGGAAAAATCAATTCGCGTTAGCGGGTTTTTCAGATATCGAGGGTTTCGGTAACTAAGGACCGGATAAAACTACAGTACGGGGCAAATCCAAGGGAAATCAATTTTGGTTGGAGTTAAAACGAGTTTCGAGTAACCGAGGGTGTATTTAAGTAGCACGAAATTAAGTGAAAAGCCAAAGTATTACCTTGCCATCTTTTCCAATGGATTGTGACGCGTTGTTTATCCTGGTTATCACAGTACAGAATGTTTTTCGCGCCCTTTTTACGTGATCAGGTTGGTCAGAGTCCTCCTCGACAGACGTAAGATACTGCTGACCTTTCTCTACAAGAGGAAGAGGAGATAAGAATGGTGCTATTGTCAAGCTTTAGTGCTGGCTTGTTCGCCATTGGCTCATCTTCCATAATACTGTTTGTTTGCCCCCCCACAATTTTGCATAAGCATGGCCTTCGATTTCGGTTGGGACGACTGTAATACCCAGGAGAAATAAAAAACAAAGGTTATGCAAAATTTGGAGAGATGTGCAAAAGACTGGGTCGCGTTATTTTGAACGGCACTATGGGAGTGTTTGGAGCGGAGGGGCAAAAACACTTCTCTTATTGAAACACGAGCATCAATATTAAATTCGTACCCAAGACAGTCCAAAAACGCAATTCAACATAACATCGACCCAGGCCCCAGAGTAGCCTTAAAATGGCCATTTGTTCCGGGAGAAAAGACACTCGCAAGTCCGCCCACTTCGGACCACCGGATTTCCTCAAACAAGCGTTCAAGCTATAATAGGCGCTCTCTACCCCAAACGATCCCCTCCCTTCGCTAAACAAGCAAATAAACGGACCCCGTTCCCGCCTCTTGAGTCTTTTCTCCAGGTATTTCTGTCTCTATGGGCATGTAAAGTGCGTCTACGACCATTATCTGTTCTTTCAATTTTTAGTCCATTTTTCAAAATGAAGATTTTGCAAAACTTTAGTTTTAGTTCTCATTACCGTCCCCTCGAATATGCTTCCTTGGACTAAACATACGTTTTTTGACGTTTTTTGGACCGGGTGCTTATTAAAGTAATAACGTCACATCTCTTGCAAATTCATACGATATCGCGTGGAGTTTCATGTTTTCACAGTGGTACAATTTCATCGTTAAATCACTGCTTGCCTTTCAATACAGGTTAAAATTACTACTTCAAAATGTGACTAACCTAAGATGTCCCAAATGAAGAAGTTATTTCGAAAAAGTCGAGACGATCTGAATCCACACTGAAATACCTACCAAACCAGACAAATAAACAACAACAAAAAAGATACATTCAACTTTACCACAAACACTCTTACTGGTCTGATCTACAAGTGCAGCTGTTGTTTTGTAGTTGGAAAACAATAGCCACACTGGTAAAGTAAAGTTGTAAAAGAATTATTGAATTGAACCCAGGTTTTACAAAGCAAACATCTACAGCTGGTACCGAGAATTCCTCGCATAGAAAAAGTTAAAGGGAACCTCCACTTCAACAAAAAGATAACTTTAAATCACAGGAAATAACTGTTACAGTCAAGTCAATCTAAAATATTTTTAAAGAAAGCGTTTGTATCCGAAAGAAATAACTTTTAGATTCGCCTATTTTTGTTTTCAAATTTTGCGGGCGTCGCCATCTTGAATAATTGTGACGTGTAATGGTTGCCCTATTGTTATTAAACAAAAGCTCTTTGTGTCAGAACAATAGAGCAACCGTAACACGTCACAATTATTCAAGATGGCGGCGCCCGCGAAATTTGAAAGTGAAAATAAGCGATTTTAAAATTCACTTTTCCTGATATAAACACTTTTTTAAGACAAATTTCGAACAAATTTGTTTATCAACATAATTTTATTCGATTTAAACTTATTCTGTAGTAAGAGTGGAGGTTCCCTTTAAAGGAAGTTCGTTATGTACGGGATAATGATAGAAAAAGTGCTCTTGCGACAGAAAGATCGAACAGGACAGAACGGTCTCAACTACAATCCTCGTCACATTAGTTAAAACACTTGACACTTTCGATGTCCCCCACCCCCACCTGCAATGTTATTTTACATGTTACCCATTTGCAACAAAAATGCTGGACTCACTATTGAGGAACGAGAGGGGAAGTAAACAGACTGAAAAAATATAGAGTGTTTTCAGTTTCTGGGGCCTGCATCTATGCAAATACATCGGAACAAAAGAAAGCGTTTTATACATAAGAAAAGAGTTCAACTTTCACAGGATTTGTTAGGAACACCAACATGGCCGCAGTTTTACTGGTTTGGAATACCAATATGGCCGGCATGACGTTATGTGAAAACGCTCTATAGAGGAGTGGGTAACGTCTAGCGACGGTTCCAACAAAATTAGACCAGTACTGTGGACTTCGCTGATTAAATTCCATAGTGGTGGTGTTTGTTTGTGAATATTCTTGTAACAACTAATTCAAAAAAAAAAAATTGTTTGCTAATCGAAAAATCTATATGTCGTAACTGTTTGCGAGTAGGATGCGGAAAATACCTGCAATTCCACAATTGGTTTCGGCTGTAAGGAGAGATTTTCCATGAATTCTTTATTTGCCTCGAAGTTCATATATAGCTTTTAAATGCTCGCTTTGATGTTGTTTTCAGTAATTCATACTGAATTCGCATAAAGAGGTTTTCGCTCCCCAAAAAGGCTCATGCCATTTTATTGTACTTGTTTGATTACTTAGTGTTCGTTAACGCAATAATTCCAGTAAAAGCCAACAGTGTTTACAGCCATCAAAACTATTCACCGCTTACTCTTTTCAACTGGACACGTTAAACTTCAATTGTTGACTTTTCGGAAATAATCATTAGTTTTCAGAATAATGGCTATTAACTTTAGTTTATCTTTTAATTTAAGCTTTCTTTTTATTCTGCACGACATCCGTTAAAGGGAACCTCCACTTCAACAAAAAGATAACTTTAAATCACAGGAAATAACTGTTACAGTCAAGTCAATCTAAAATATTTTTAAAGAAAGCGTTTGTATCCGAAAGAAATAACTTTTAGATTCGCCTATTTTTGTTTTCAAATTTTGCGGGCGTCGCCATCTTGAATAATTGTGACGCGTAATGTTGCCCTACTGTTATTAAACAAAAGCTCTTTGTGTCAGAACAATAGATCAACCGTAACAAGTCACGATTATTCAAGATGGCGGCGCCCGCGAAATTTGAAAGTGAAAATAAGCGATTTTAAAATTCACTTTTCCTGATATAAACACTTTTTTTAAGACAAATCTCGAACAAATTTGTTTATCAACACAATTTTATTCGATTTAAACTTATTCTGTAGTAAGAGTGGAGGTTCCCTTTAACATTACCTCCTTTTTACAGATGTGCCTCGCTTTAATTGCATTTTACCCATACGTATTTGCGAATATAACGTTCATTAGTCTGTTGGTTAAATAGTGGCAACAGCTGAGTTTGGGATATGAAAGGTTTTGCTGACTTGCAAATTCGAAATATATTTGCTTTACTTTAAAACTAGGAAACTAGTAATTGGTCCCCGTTTCTTCCTGTTTGAACAGACGCTAGCTGGCCTTGCAATTTCATTCATATTGTAAAATATTGTACATAAATGCTGTTTCGCTGACCTAGCAAACGTAGCTAGCTTTTGTTCCAGTACTTTTACTTTTTAAAAATAGCAACACTAACAAGCTATAACTATCTCTTTTATTTGATTTTCATTTACTTCTAAATGATTTGTGTTTACACATCTATTGTACTCTTTTGTTTTCAATGGTTGTAAAAATCATATATAAGTTAGTTTATACTGATTTTTCAGTTGCATCGCCGATTACATTTGTGAGCTAAGTTACGTTACGTGTACAAGAATAAACGCTGTTGGAACCAAGTTTAGTTCTGTTTTATCTACTGCTGTACCAGTTAGTGGTTTGATCCCGGTGCTACGGAGAAGTGACGGCTCTTCCCCGCAAGCGAGTTGCAATTGATTCTAGTTTCCCCTAGTTAACCGATAGTTAAAGCGCCGAGTTCCCGTTGAGCCTTAAATTCGTCTCAAAGTGGAAAAACCTTCCGTCACACGGCTCCATCAAAAAATCAATTGTAGAACATTTTAGCAGGAGCCACTCACAATGTCAGCACAGTTACGGACAAGGCCTATGAGTAGGAAAACAGTCTACAGAAAATTTAATGCGTTAAATAACGAGATAAATACACACAAGAAACAACAGAGTTAAGTCAATAGGAAGAGAAAGTTCACCTGTTCTAGTGCTTGACAAAGACCACCATCACCACACAACAAGTACGTCAGATTTCCTCTCTAAAAACGGAACAAGATAAAAAATATCGGCCTGTTAAAATGACGTGGTCAACCCCAACATAATCTTTTTGTTGATGTCCAAAATGTTAATTTAAAAGCACTAACAAAGTAAAAGGATTGTTATTTTGAATTTGTCGTTCACGTTACAGCCTGAAGTTGCGTTGTTTGCCGATGACACACTCCTCGATTCGCATAATTTTTCACATCATACGAAGGCCGAATCAAACAATTCCTAAATCAAGACTCGATTACAAACAGTGGATCATAAACAGTGGATTATTTGAAAATTTAGCGTCGAGTAAGACTGATTATCACTGTCAAATAAAGAAAACATTATTTATTATAAAGTCCGGTAACTCAGTTGGGCTCAGTTGCACGATCTAACCCTTAGAATAGTTCCAACCGAAAGATTGAATTAGGAATAGGTAAGTTGATGTTACCTCTTTCTCGGGTTTGTAGAAGTGTTTAACTATGTTATTAACGGCATCAGCAACTCTTTCTTGAACTTCGGGAATACGGATTTCTGGAAAAGAAACAAAAGCATACGTTAAGGATACAAATGTACGTTTTGTCAACGTATTACTTCGAATTCAACTCGAGGTGACATTTATCTTTGTTACTTTCAAGCATTTTCTAAGGATTACGGACAACAGTTTTCTTACACCTACAAGTACAAGTTTAGATTGCTTGTTACGTATTACTCCATAAGCGCCTCCTTTTTTTTATCCCACAAAGAAACTAGGCGTCTAAGTTGGGAACGTGAGTGTTTACGCAGGTCAGGCGAGTAGCGACCGACGAAGACGCGGGCTTCAATGGGTTGCTTATAGGAAAGATTTTGAAAACGTTCTGAAACGCTGTTTTTATTGTTCATGACCAGACAAACAGTTTTAATTTTTTGCAGGCACATTGAGATGGCATGTTAAACTTGTGAAATGATTATCACTGTAAACTAAAGGAAACATTATTTATTCAAAAGCTTAAGCCACATTTTTATGTCGACATCATCAGTCAAAAGCTAATGCTTTATTAATCAGCTGTTGCTTCATACATTCACTGTCAAGATTTTTTCTTAATCTCGGTTCCAGAAACCTTATCACTTTCGTATTAACGTATGTTGACTAGCATACGAAACGTCAAGTTGATATAAAAATGCGTAAGCTTACAACGCTTATCAACGTCGTTTGTGATTTAATTTTTTGATAACTAAATAATGCCGAGAATGGCATAGTCCTATTTTTGAGATATCGTTCTATTGCCTTCAAAAAACAAACGGTGTGAAAGGTTATACTGTCTTATTTAGTCGGAGATTTTGGCTGAAAAGACATTTCCAGATTTCAGGCACATTCTCGACTAGCCTGCGAACAGCAGACGTATTTCAGACGTATATCTCGGTCGTCCCTTCTTTTCGGAGGGAGAGAAGCGACGACCGGAAATACGTCTGCAGTTCGCAGGTCGACCGATGTTGTGAATATTTCAGTCCCTCTTTCCCGTGTTTAAATGCGTCATGGGTGTTTGCAGTCAGCAGTAAGTTTGAAAACGAACAAAGACCACTCGTAAGTGATGGTGAGATCATTGTCATATTAGACCCAATGCAAAAACGGCTGCTGGATTAATATTCTTCTGTTTAGATCAAAACTAGCCTGACTAGCCTCGTTCTCCAGTACCAAATTCAAAAGAATTCATTATCTCAAGCGAGACTAGTCAGGCTAATTTTAATTTAAACAAAGAACATTAATCCAGCAGCCATTTTGGCATTGGGTCCATAACTTTTGCATCTATTGAAATCAAAGGATTTTACAAAAATGAAATTTGGAGTATTTTCGAATGTTTACTTTGGCGCAAATAGGAGTGAAAGATCAAAACAGGAAAACAGTATAGACAACCGAGAAATATTTATTACGGTTGTCAAGAAACCATAGAAGAACGTGTTCAGTACGTGACAAATACCGAGACGAATAGGATTACGATAATTTGAATGGAAAGTTATTTTTTTATATAGTCGGTAGCTATTTTTGTCTTTCTTTCTGCATTTTTATTTTACTTATGTCTTTGTTTTAGCTCGTAAGTATGATTTTATATTTAACCATAGAAAATACTTTTCATGGGTTTTGTACAGAATGTTGACGATTTCAGTTAGACAGCATCTAAAACCCAGCTTATTCTTAAGTAGCCTCCCACGTAGACGTTCTTAGGGGTTCGTCACGCGTTCCTGCCCCACGGGCAAATTTCATTTTTGTAAAATCCTTTGATTTCAATTGCAATTGCCAAAATGGCTGCTGGATTAATATTCATTGTTTAAATTAAACTGAAAGAAATACGCAAGAGAAGACTGATATTTCCCACGCGGAAATAGTCAACAAAGTTTTTCATGGGGAGGCTCCGCCCCGAGGTCCAATCCCTTACCCTTTTATAAACAACTTTTGGCAGAAAAGGTACCCGTTTCGTATACCTTCCATTGAAATATGGTGAGCCTTAAACAAAGCTACTGATAGTCTGTCTTCAAGATCATATCATAAATTAACTAACAAATGGACCACAATTTTCCATGGTCTGCACTCTTATAGACCATAGAAATGACGTCATAAATGTTCAAAACCCAAGTGGAACCACCAGCCGCTGGCGAGTGGTTTCACTGCAAAGTTTTGAACATTTTTATGGCGTCATTTCTATGATCTATAAGAGTGTAGACCATGGAAAATTGTGGTCCATTTGTTTTTGTACGATAACATTTATTTTTCACTAGTTGTTGAAAAATCGCCGCTGGCGAGTGGTTTCACTGCAAAGTTTTGAACATTTTTATGGCGTCATTTCTATGATCTATAAGAGTGTAGACCATTGAAAATTGTGGTCCATTTGTTTTTGTACGATAACATTTATTTTTCACTAGTTGTTGCAAGTCGTCCTCTTCCAACCGCGCGAAGCCACGTTTTTCTTGTTGTTTTTCGTATTTTTGCTCTACCTATGCAGCTTCAAGCACCAACTCACTCACAGAAATTTCTACCAATATGTTAAAATTTGGTTCTTCTTTGTCCATGTTGAGGGGTAAAATTATTTTTACGAAAAACCAAAAACAAAAAGACCGGCACTGCGTGAGATGTTACGTCATTTCCATGGTGTGTACTCTCATATGCCATAGCCTACGTGGCAGGCGTACGAAAGGGAAGGGGAAGAGAATTGAGGGCGCGAGCTTTCTTCCTCGCGCGCCCAAATTCCCCCATCCCCTTCCCCTTTTAACGCCTGCCACGCAAGCTACTTAACAATTATTCCTCGAGCCCGAATGGGCTCTGAGTCAATAGCCCTAAGAGGCCTTGAGGGCGAGAGGAATAAATGTTTTAGTAAAATCCAACTAGTTGGTCAAAAATATCGAGAATAAAAATTTTTTAGTTATTTAAAAGATAGACTTTAAGCTTTTTTTGCCGCCAAAAAGCCCGCGGCTTTCGCTAATAGGGGGCTATAACCAGAAGCATATAACCCCGAGGGGGTTACATGCTTCCGCTATAACATATAGCCCAGTACTAGCTCATCCAATCAGAACGCAGCATTGATAATAGACCACTAGTTGGTTTTTACTAAATAGGCCATAGCTCTCGACCAATCAGCGCGCGAGGATTCGCTCAGAACTTCGAGGTGTTTCATCTGGTGATGAAACACTGCGTCGAATGTTTGATATTTCTTCTCAAACAAAATCATTTTTGAAGGAGAAATTAAGGATGCAAATACTGAGCAGTTTTTCATCCGATTTCCAAACACTCATTAAACATTAATTTTCTTTGTATTTTCTTTATGAATTATTAATGAGTTTGAGAAACGTATATCTCGGTCGTCCCTTCTTTTCGGAGGGAGAGAAGCGACGACCGGAAATACGTCTGCAGTTGGCAGGTCGACCGATGTTGTGAATATTTCAGTCCCTCTTTCCCGTGTTTAAATGCGTCATGGGTGTTTGCAGTCAACAGTAAGTTTGAAAACGAACAAAGACCACTCGTAAGTGATGGTGAGATCATTGTCATATTAGACCCAATGCAAAAACGGCTGCTGGATTAAGATTCTTCTGTTTAGATCAAAACTAGCCTGACTAGCCTCGTTCTCCAGTACCAAATTCAAAAGAATTCATTATCTCAAGCGAGACTAGTCAGGCTAATTTTAATTTAAACAAAGAACATTAATGCAGCAGCCATTTTGGCATTGGGTCCATAACTTTTGCATCTGTTGAAATCAAAGGATTTTACAAAAATGAAATTTGGAGTATTTTCGAATGTTTACTTTGGCGCAAATAGGAGTGAAAGATCAAAACAGGAAAACAGTGTAGACAACCGAGAAATATTTAGTACGGTTGTCAAGAAACCATAGAAGAACGTGTTCAGTACGTGACAAATACCGAGACGAATAGGATTACGATAATTTGAATGGAAAGTTATTTTTTTATATAGTCGGTAGCTATTTTTGTCTTTCCGTCTGCATTTTTATTTTAGTTATGTCTTTGTTTTAGCTCGTAAGTATGCTTTTATATTTAACCATAAAAAATACTTTTCATGGGTTTTGTACAGAATGTTGACGATTTCAGTTAGACAGCATCTAAAACCCAGCTTATTCTTAAGTAGCCTCCCACGTAGACGTTCTTAGGGGTTCGTCACGCGTTCCTGCCCCACGGGCAAATTTCATATTTGTCAAATCCTTTGATTTCAATAGATGCAAAAGTTATGGACAGATACAAAAGTTATGGACCCAATGCCAAAATGGCTGCTGGATTAATATTCATTGTTTAAATTAAAATGAAAGAAATACGCAAGAGAAGACTGATATTTCCCACGCGGGAATAGTCAACAAAGTTTTTTATGGGGAGGCTCCGCCCCGTGGTCCAATCCCTTACCCTTTTATAAACAACTTTTGGCAGAAAAGGTACCCGTTTCGTATACCTTCCATTGAAATATGGTGAGCCTTAAAACAAGCTACGGATAGTCTGCCTTCAAGATCATATGAAAGATATCTAGCGTCTAATAAATTAACAAATCGGCTACAATTTTCTGTGGTCTACACTCCTATAGACCATAGAAATGACGTCATAAAATGTTCAAACCTCAAGTGGAACCAGGAGCCGCTGGCGAGTGGTTTCACTGCAAAGTTTTGAACATTTTTATGGCGTCATTTCTATGGTCTATAACAGTGTAGCCAATGGAAAATTGTGGTCGATTTGTTTTGTACGATAACATTTGTTTTTCACTAGTTGTTGCAAGTCGTCCTCTTCCAACCGCGCGAAGCCACGTTTTTCTTGTTGTTTTTCGTATTTTTGCTCTACCTTTGCAGCTTCAAGCACCAACTCACTCACAGAAATTTCTACCAATATGTTAAAATTTGATTCTTATCTTTGTCCATGTTGAGGGGTAAAATTATTTTTACGAAAAACCAAAAACAAAACAACCGGCACTGCGTGAGATGTTACGTCATTTCCATGGTCTGTACTCTCATATGCCATAGCCTACGTGGCAGGCGTACGAAAGGGAAGGGGAAGAGAATTGAGGGCGCGAGCTTTCTTCCTCGCGCGCCCAAATTCCCCCATCCCCTTCCCCTTTTAACGCCTGCCACGCAAGCTACTTAACAATTATTCCTCGAGCCCGAATGGGCTCTGAGTCAATAGCCCTAAGAGGCCATGAGGGCGAGAGGAATAACTGTTTTAGTAAAATCCAACTAGTTGGTCAAAAATATCGAGAATAAAAATTTTTTAGTTATTTAAAAGATAGACTTTAAGCTTTTTTTGCCGCCAAAAAGCCCGCGGTTTTCGCTAAAAGGGGGCTATAACCAGAAGAATATAACCCCGAAGGGGTTATATGCTTCTGCTATAACATATAGCCTAGTAGTAGCTCAACCAGTCAGAACGCAGCATTGATAATAGACCACTAGTTGGATTTTACTAAATAGGCCATAGCTCTCGACCAATCAGCGCGCGAGGATTCGCTCAGTTATTGTAAAAAATGATATGGCCATAACGTGCGTCTATTCGAGAGATTTTCTTTTTTATTAACGGCCCTTTAAACACCTAAATTACGGATTACCCTACCGTTCCATATACTTCAACTTGTGAAATCCCTACCCTATTATATAACCGGAGACAAAAAAGGTACCCCTTTCGGGCGGAGCCTCCCCGTATAGGCCATCATGCAGAATACCCCCCGTAATCGGCTCCTTCCCCCGAGGATCGTACCAACCATCAGAGTTAAGGACACTCCCGTGCGCTAATGGGGGTTGCATGCTGATCAGTTTTTAAAATTCAGTGAGGACATGAAAGGCATTACATAAAGTATCCCCTAAAGGGAAAAACTTACTTTCTCGATTCTTTCTGGAAAGAACGGGAGAACGTCTTTGTGGTGAAAGGCGGCATACTTCGGCAAGGTTACCGTCTGTAAAAACAAACAAATAGGTACTGGCTAGCAACAACCACAACCGCAAAATGGTGGGAGTAATGCATAACTTGATATCTCGCAGAATCCAAAGGATAATGTGGTTACATATGTTCAGTAGTCAATAGCGAATAAACTAAAACACTCAAAATTGTCTCCTTTATACACTGTTACGTGAATTTACCACGGCTGAAACTCTTGGGTGTAGGTACTTGTCACGCAATCTTTGTGTACCATGAATAGAATGATTAAATCGGATTATTTAACCAAAAAAACCCACTGAGATAAGTAGATTATTCAGTTCGATCGAACAGGAAATAATCTTTGTTATTCAAACAAATAAAATCCCCTTTGAAACTGAGGATAAGTGCTGACTTTGTGGAATTTAATTAACCACCTTTTTTCCGGTCACAAGAAACACCACCACCCAAGACAAAACAAACACAAGCTAAGTGCTCTACATGTTTGGATCGATGAGGGCTGGCTCTTAAAGAAACAAAATTACCCCGAGGATCAGGGGCGAAAAAGGGTGAAATTCTCGGAATTGATTCAACGACCTGCATCCGGTCACAAGAAAAAAGAGAGATACGTAAGGGGTTGAAACAGGGCCGGAAATCCCCAAAGTTTGCGCACCCTTCTCTTGCATAATTTTACATAGGTCAGCAAATAATCTGGTCGCACTGTTGGAAAATTTCCGATCTAAAACAAATACCACATAATCCAATGCAATACCAACATATTTTCAGACATTTTGCCATTTACGTCTCACCACTGTGGATTTAAGACTTTTTTTAGATGTGAAGCGCCTGAGTGCGTTTAGCAGAACGCAGCGGGATTTGCGACATTTGCGAACCTGGCTGAGAGAAAGTTTTAACCGAAATAGACTTGAAATATAGTACCCAGTGCGAGGGTACGGAGATCAGCGGAAGACAGTGAAGAAGGCAGGAGTTCAACTCACAATTCTTAGTCTCAGAGGAGACTGGTACCCAGGTTTCGATGAAACTTGAGTGACTTCGCATTTTGATGATAAATCACTACGACCTTAGGCGTTCAACAAGCGCTATATAACTGAGATAATAAATGAGAGGACTCATGTACTTCCGCATGCTAGATTGAGTTGCGCTAGTGTTAAAAGCAATTCTGCGACCCTTACTTGAAGTGGCTTTTACCACCTCTCAGATATTGAAAGACCCAATACTTGTTACCTCATTTCAAGGGTATGATGTAAGCGAAAGATAAATTGAAGACGTCGCTTTGAACAGCACGGATAAACGCAGAAAAATAATATGCTCTAACCATTTATTCTAATCTGCTTTTGGGACATTTTAAAATAAAAACACCGAAGTTTCGTAGCATATTTAATGGCAATTAGACACCCTACGATTACAAGAAAATGTTTCTAAAAAAAATACGGCTACAGTGCAGGTGTACTAATGATAACGCTCGCAGTTAACAGGACGAGAAATAAATAACTTCGCTTAAAGTTTTTCCTTTCTTAAACATTTTAATTCATAATCATTTCAGCTTTTAAAACCAAGTTTTCACAAGAACACTAATTACATTTTATGCACACTTTGCGTGACACGAAATGGTCTGTACATTATCAAATATATTACTGATATCAATATTTGTAAGCAGAATGACATCATAAATAACCTATGAACAGTAAATAACTAAACGGGCGATTATAAAAATGTATATATCTATGTGCTGACAATTACAAATTACAACACAAGTTTTATAACGACATGACAAAAATAGTTTTACCGTCACGATGCAACTACGTGTAACGTGGCCGGAAGTCCAAATGCGGTTAAAATGTTCTTAAAACTCTACCATTTCTAATCCTCGAAGATTATGTTCTTGCTTCACATTTTTCCCTTCATAAAGCCTTGCTTTTCAAATCACTGAATTCATCTGATGGCCGATAATTGATCATTCTCCTCTCATCTGCTGATTCAATCAACCGTCACCTGCCATGAGAGGGGGTCTACCTTGGTCTACCTTTGACCTTGCCTAGCTTATAAAGCATTTTTTTCTCAATTTTCATAAGAAACTGCTCTATATCTTTTATCAGCAGTTTTAGGTATTGAAGACCCTGTAAAACACAGTTTAAAAACGGACTACAAAATAAATGCATGTGTCCGCAGATGTTATATGACAGCTCTCGTGTTACCTCAGCCACAGTCACAACAAAAGTACACCATAATGGTTTTCTTTTACGATATTGAAATTTCACTCAGATTTACATCCTGTGTTGAAGTCTGTGGTCCGATGAACAAGGATTAGCGTTTAACAGTGTATCCATCCCGGAGTACTTTTCTTCCTTCAGCCCCACATAAGTGTTCAGCTGTTTTCAAAACATCTCTGTTTATATCTTCATTCTGTTCATTGACTATAGCGTTGACGGTGCGCTATACTTTCTGCCCCTCCGACTCCTCTTACCAGTTATCACAGGAGTACTACTAGACAGCACTATTTGCCCCATCAAAGCAGTGAACACACCGCTCACGTTAACGTCATATTTGGCCGAAGTCTCGGCTAAAACACAGTTTTTCCCTCGCAAGAGCGTGGATGCGATAGCACGGCGGACCAAAGGCTCATCTGTTCTTGTAGAAGCGAGGTCGCATTTGTTCCCGACTATCACCATCGGAACATCTTCTGTTCCCTTCGCCTCGTAGATTTCCTGCTGTAATTTCAACGCCTCCTCAAGTGAATCAGGATCGTTCACGCCGTACACAATGATGAATGCTTCGCCGAACTGCAATGTTACTCTTCTCATTGCGGGGAACTGGTACGTTCCCGCAGTGTCTAAAACCTGTAGAAAGGCGCTGACACCTTTCCTCAGATGAATTGGCTTCTCGTACAAATCCTCCACCGTTGGGTTGTGAATTTCCGGGAATTCGTTCTTGACGAAGCGTGCAACGAGCGAGGTCTTTCCCACGCCGCCTGCGCCGAGCACAACCACGTTAAAAACGTTTCTTGGGAGCGGTAAAGTGTCCACAGAATTGCGCCACTTCTCACCTTGTTTCTTCATTTTTCCTATCATTTGTCTCAAGAGCCTAAAAACACTAAATGATGATGCTAGATCTAGTTGAATGATTCACCATGCGACTGATTATCAATGAAATAGGACTTGTCTCGGTTGTCTCTCAAGTGGTCAAACTGATTAAAATGCGAAGTCGCGCCTTATTTATACCGCGGGCTTTAACACGTGTAAAAAAATATTGCTTGTCATCGAAGTATTTCTGGCAAGTAATGTAATTAAGACGCGACGGGGTATGTAAATACTGAAAGCAGATGAAACGTGAGAGTAGCGCGCGGTGGAAACATAAACAAAAGATATGCCCTTGAAAATCAGGAACACTTTTAAGTGAATCACTTACTGAAAAAATCGTGATATTTGCTCAGCGATTGAGATCGCTTTAAGCAACATTCTAGTATCAATGAAGCAAGGCGCCAATCATAGCTTCCGTGTCTCAACAAGGGAACTTAACATACCAGAAACAAGATGGTCAGTTCTCTTACGATGAAAAACGTGCAAGCATGTACACTGTTAGCAGGGGGAAAAAATGATTTCAAAAAGTAACAATACAAAATAACTCTGATGATTTGCCAACAATTTTTTCTTTTACTTCCGTAAAAAGCGATAACAGAAAAAGACAAGAGTTCTTTCCCCTTTGTAAGAGAGTTTCCCCTGCGCAATTCTATACCTTTTTTCCGCGTTAATTTACGTCGAAATGACGCACATATTCAGCCGGGACAGGACAGTAAAGAGCAAGTCTATGCAAGCGTTAAGGCTGCAAACGGCTTCACTCGAGCGCAAACCTTCCTCTTGCGCAACACCTACACTGAGGTAACCATTTCTACCCCATCATATGATACTAACTACTACACAACACCTGTCTGTGTCCTGCAGTGAAGTGCAAGGTCAGTGTTTTTTTTACGACTAACGTTCATCTAATATCTACTACTACTCTACTGTCAGCCTTTTCTCATCCAACCAACACCACACAACAAATGGTGCGGGAATCCTCTATTCAGCAGTGCGTTTCTGGCTTTAAGATGGTCTGATATGATTTGATGCAGAACCGCTGAAGTTCTCAGCTGTATTACTGTCTATCGGTTGGAATTCTCAACAAATACCAGTGGCACCCAACGACTTTTTTCTGTAAAATATCTGTTCATGGAAGCAAATATTGCCACGAATTTTCCATTACTTGAGGACGGCTAAAAAGTTCTAGATGACCGTTCCGTTCATGTATAGTTTTCGACGCTTATCTAATAAATTCGTAACGATTTTCTGAAGTGTAATTTTCACATTTCACCTCCCAGGTTAGGATATTTTTCGCAGAAAAAGGAAACCTAAAATTTTCGGATTCAAAAATGTCATTGAGAGAGGAATAAGAAAATGTCTCTTTTTTTGTAAAATAATACTCAAGGCCTTTTAATTTCGAAAAGACTTAAGGTCCCCTAAGATGACCTGAACAGATACAAATTTTATAGCGCTGCTTAGAATGCATTTCTAGAGATCTAAAAGTACTCTAGATAGGCCAAAAAGTGTTTTCAATGTGTTTAGGAGAAAACCGTCCATGAGTGCCGCTGATATACGAAAACTGGGTAGTATTTTCTTATTGACATTGGCTTCGATGAAATGCCCTCATAACTCCTCCAAACTTCAAGCTAAGCGATCCTTTGTGACCCTGTTTTCTGATACCCGCGTTCAAGACGGTCCTGACTTTCGAATCAGCGGAAATCATCAATTCATTGTCGTAGTTTATAGGAAAGGTAGATATCCCCGGTTATTCAAAACATAGATGACGCTATTCCCTGGCAAATCACTCTCCAGTTGACAATTGACCGTCAAAAAACTAAATTCCAAGTAGCTAAGTAATCCCCTGAATATGGAAATTTATCAAGAGGATAATCGCGCAATTCACCTCTAAAAAACAGCAACTAGTATTCTTTAACGGTGCTAGTAAAATTACGCTGTGTGAAGTGGCTCAAACTTTGTAAAGTAAACACTGAACTGGCGGTACTTCTGTTTATTATCAGGCTAGTAACGTGGTTTTAAATGCTATAAGCGTTAGGTAACAGCCGCTATTTAGTGCGCGTTGTATACTATATAAAACACCATTCAAATGAAAGTAACTTTAGGACGCTATGCATGTTATTTTTTAATACCCTTTACAATTCAGCGGCGGGGTCTCTACAACTCTAGATTATGTAAGCATACTCCAAAACGTCCACTCAAATTAAAAACAATAGAAAAACGTCCTTGAGTGGTGTTGCACTGTTTGTAACGGTGGTCAAATTGCAGGTATGCTCTCATGTGGTAGATAATATTTCCATATTTTTGTCTAAGTACAAAGCCACTAGATTCTCGAAAACTTTTACAAGGCGCACTTTGCTTTGACTTTGCGGACTTATCTGTTGTAGAAAGATAGTTCATTTAATGAGAGACAGATCTGTGCAAAGAATTAAAGGATTTTGAAAAATGCAACGAAAATAAACGCTTTTGCTGGTAAGTGAAGGTCGACAACTCCCAAGATCTCCTAAACTTCCTCATGTTTTCCGCATAAAGTAACATATACAAAAATGTTTTCTACCATTGATAACCATGCAAGGGTCACACGAATCTACCATGAGTTATTTCCTATTGGAATAACACGAAGTCCTTCTCCACCTATTTGTACTAAAAAACAGAGGACATCTTTAACTATTTAGTAACTATTTAAGGGAAGTGTTGCAAATTCCACATATCAAGCAATCCGGCACGCGCAGGCTATTATCTCAAGTCATTAACGTTTGCAGTGTTGATGATGTTGTTGTTTTTTTAATGGCACAACACAATGGAAACATAAAGATTAAAATATATGTTTCACAGGAACACATGGACCAAGCTGGCCCAGAACGAGAGGGAAAAACCAAATGCCGTTGAACGCAATTAAGTCAGCCGTTGTTGTCATTTTTGCTAGGCTTTTGCCTTATGACCTTTCTTGACCGGTTGTACTATAAACGATTCCTAAAAATAAACATTTTGTGGAAGCGTCTTGAAGCACTTACTGTAATTTGCAATGTTACAAAGAATAAGTAAATCTCCTTGTAAAAGCATCTGGGACGCTTGAGATAATGATACTGTATCTACAATTCTATCGCAATTATATCTCCATTTGTTATCATAGAGGAAAGCAATTACCAAATATGTAACAAACATTTCCGTACCTACTTGTTCCGCCAAAACTGATCAAAAAATACGTAAAAAATTTATAATTATATGGAAAACGAAATCCGTTGCCTCTAGATCATACATGATGCGAACGACATCACATGAGTAGATGTGAGTTCAATTTCTCGAAAGGGTACCGTCAAGTCTCGTTTTTTGTAACCCTACAATAATGTTACTTATCTCGATAGTTGCAAGTTGTAAGGAAAGTGCAGAAATGATTACAATTCGAGGAGGTTTCAAGATATGATCTTTAAACTTAAAAACTCTTCAAGAGACCTCATGTGATCGTAAAAAACACTCACAAGCACGTCCGATTTTTCAAGAGGACTGACAACGTAAAGTTCGTTAAAATTCGTCCACGTTAGAATAGCTAAAAGGGCTAAGACAATAAAAGGGGATGGTTATTGAATCATTTTCTGCCACTTACACGATATTTATACTGCTAAAAGCTTACGAAACTACAAACAGAAATGTAGTTGAAGGGAATAAATCCTTCGGGTTTTCAGGGAAGCTAAAAGAGCTAATAAAACACAGGGGATGACCACTATAAAATTTTGTCATTTACACGAATGAAACTATAGTACTAAAAGCCTAAGTGCAAAGGGAAATGTAGTTTAAAGGTATTAAACTTAAAATAAATCAGTAATAAACAAGGCTACAGCGAATCCACCCTAGGCAAAATGAGGTAAGTTTTAGAGGTCTGAACGAAATAGAAACTTCCGCTTTCTCTTTCCAATATGCCTTCACTGACTCCGTGATGAGAAAACGAAGAAACTGAATGTTTGTTCCCTCACTTTAGAAAATAAAAGGAAACCTAATACATAGGTTTAGGGGGCTACTAATAATCATAGCCCCACGTCTCGGAATGTAAGTCAAATTCTTGAGAGGACGCCACAATACTGACCACGCGAGAAGGTAAAAAAAGACAGACTTCAAAAACACAGAAAAAATTCAGTTAGGTTAAGAAAATGGGAAAACATTGAAGGTACTACAATTGTCATAGTTTTGCAACGTCGTGGCATGGCAGAGACGATGGTCACGTGAAATCAATTGACAGCTGTTTAGAATACCTGCCATAATTGGTTTTTGTTCCAGTCAAACTGACGACTGTTTCATAAAATAAGACTAGCTAGAGTATTCTAAGATAAGGAATGGATAGCTTTTGGTCGCGTAGAGCGGGGTTGCGGCAGGTTCTTAGTTTTGAAAACGTGTATTAATTAAGGAGTCTATTAAGAGGAATGCTCTTTCGTAGCTACTAAAACAAAAGGTAAAAGACAAAAAATCAGAAATCTGAATCAGGAAATTATGTTTTTCTCTTCCGTCGACTGTTGCACTGGTTTTACTGCGGGTAGACTGCTTTTCTTCTCGGGCTTCGCGGCTCGGGTGAATGGGTTATGTGGGATTAACTTTGCCAAGAAAAATAAGAGACTGCTCGTTGTCTGCACTGCGGACACGCACAGAGTACAACATATAACAACACAAATTCAGCTTCCTTGGCCTACACGTTTCTTGTAGAACGGGGAAAAGACAGATACAGGATACGTTTAAGAGTGATCCGGTTGACGGTGATGTCCATAATCAGCTGAATGATCCCAAAACATCAAACATCACGCACAGGGGAGGCGCCAGCCATGCATTTGCAAATTGTAATTGCAGCAAGAGTTTTGCAAACTTTAAAGACCAAAAAAGGAGTTCGTATGTCATGTTTTAAATCAAAGCAGCCGTGTTTATTCTTTGCCTACCCATTCCACTGTTGCAACAATATGTTTGTCATTTCTTTCAAAATATACTTAAATTACCAAGTGCTCGTAAGACCTGAACCGCTAAAGAACTAACCACGCCTAGCCAATCTTGGAGACTTCCGTGAACCCAACCGTAAACAAATTACCCAGTTTCCTGCTAGCAAGTCCAAATAACGTCTGACAACGACTCCTAGATAGACCTCTTAAAAAAAGGGATGTTTTTTTGCGTTTTGTCTTTGTTCTGCAGCTGTTTGCAGGCGGAAGCAACCTTGAATTTAATCACATGGTGAAGAAATTAAGGACACGCTGGGGGAAGGCGGAGGGTGCTGGGAACCACAACTTCGCAAAACATCTTATCATCGAACAAGGATACTCTTAGTTTGGTTACTTAGAGGATTTCAAAATATAGTTCAGGCGTCATGAGATTACTCGTCAAACAAAAAGCGCCGAATTATAAAACAATAATTGCATAAGTCAACTGCATAACGCTCACTCACACATTTCTTATAATATAATTACATAACGCAACTGCACAACGTTCACTCACACACTTTGAATAATATAATTGCATAACGTTCACAGGCGCATTTCATTTTACACCTTATGTTTAGTTCGTATGTCCATATATGTATAGACGGAATTCAGTCCCTTAATGCGATGTCTATTAATAATATACGTATAAGCATCTGTTCTGTTCTATTTCTATTCTATACTTTGGCTTTAACTACAACTTTCTCTACAGAAATTGTTGCCAACAATCGTATTCAGGACACACCAACAAAGGATAAACTTATTCCACCTTCTTAGGACATACAGAGCTGTACATCAAAGGCATATGCAATATTTGAAAAAAAAAGCATAGAAACGCAAAGATTAACCTGGCTGACTTGCTTCAATTATAATCCATGACAGCTTTTCCTTGTTAACAACTGATATTTTGGGGATTACAAAATTAACAGTGGAATTTATGGACAAATATTTGTTGCAGATAAAAGAGCCGCTAATCATAGCTTAATTCACTGCTTGGGGGGGAAAAGGTCACTGAATAAATAAGACAGTCACCTCAAGTTTCCTTTACTTTTGGTGTTTATTCTGTAACTTACGTAACAGCAACATATGTTAGCTGCAGTGTGTTTTTATCAGTTGTAGTTACAGTCAAAACCCGTTGTCGCCCCGTGTAATGGAGGCCAAGACAGTCTTGGATTCTGCATCCCAGGCCGTGGATTCCCGATTCTAGGTACTGGATTCCAGTATTTGTCAATAGAACGTGGATTCTGGATTCCAATCGTTAATGGGATTCTGGATCCCTTGAGCTGTATTCTGGATTCGAAAACCCAGAATTCCGGATTCCACAATCAAAAATTTTCCGAATTCCGGGACCCGGATTTCCTTATATGAGGTGACCGTTGATACTGACCCCGAAGGAGCCACAGAAAGTGTCCGTATTAAGCGGGTCGTTCTATTTTAGTCGAAAAGACACCTCTGATTAGAGCAAAATACCACAGAAATAAAAGAGGATGTAAGCATCGTCAATTTAAACATCTCTAACTATTACAAAGCCGTCCTTCCGCGGAATAAATCCAAGCAGACACTCGAAAATCGCTCATCTATATATTATTTAATCAAGCCGTTCTCGATCAAAACTCGTTTGATGCCAAAATAGTCTGAATTCATTTTATCCGGTGCACTGTAGGTCCTGCCGTGCAGCGTTGGGAACATCGACAAACTGCCAACCGAGGGTTTTTTCTTCCTTCAAAAAGGAGAAAGTCTACTACAAATGAAGTGTCCGCATTAGCGAGGTTGGCTTTCTGAGAGAATCTGCTGATTGGGCAAGAAACAATTGTCCGTTGTCCACATTAACAGGTGTCCGTATTAAGCGGGTTGAATTTAGAGAAAATGTAAAGCCTTACTCAGGGACATTGAAAGCAAACTGTCCGTCATAACGAGGTGTTCGTATTAAGCGGGAGTCCGTAAAGGTGATGTTACAAGGGACGCCGTGATTCGCAACGACGATTTTTAGCGCAACACAGCATTGCAACATTGTTCCGACATTGCTTCGAATGGTTACAACATTGTGCCAGCATTGCAACGCTGTGTTGCGCTAAAAATCGTTCCGAATCGTCTCGTGTATAACATCACCTTAAAGCGGGGTTAGATTGTATTTCAGTTATATTTATGGGCTAAAATTCCATTATGAGACCAAAACTTGCAAATGGCAACGATCACTATGGATGAAAAACAAACTTAAGTTGTGGTCCATACTCAAAAAAAATAAATAAATTACTCCATGTTTTCTCAACGGCCATATGGGTGAATTAATTTGACTATTTTTAGCCTACTGGTGAAAACTCAAAAAAGGAGAACGCTATCAACAAATGCACGCACAAGGCGAGAGTAGCTTTCTCTTCTTCCGTATATTTGTGACAAACGTGCGGAGTTTAGCTTCTAATATTATCAGCGCTTTTAAGTGTCAATGTAAACTATCTGCACGTCCAAAATCTATTTTGTTCGAGGGATAAAGTGTGACCTTGCACATCTTGCATTTACAGATTCATGGCCAAAAATGCGGTAACTCGATTCCACAGCAGGCCTTCCTCTGCAAAACACGTTTCTAATTTTCTTCATACTACATATTTTATATTCCTTTTTAATTGCACATCTTGTTATTATCTTCTCACTTATTTTAGACGACTGAAGAATCCGTAACTAATCGTGAAAACTTACACGAGCCAAGTTATTTTTGGCAAGAGAAGAGTAGTTTACTCAACAGGTGTGAATTATCAGGTCAGCAAATTCTCAGTTTTTGGATTCACATTGACGTCATACACGACAGGTTAACAGGATATTGCACGGTTATAAACAGAATTAGTTATATAATGATAGCATCGAACAGGGGACTTCTACAACTTGTTCGAAGGTTGTTTACATTAAAAGGCACACATTTTTGCCGGTTTGCGACTCTTCAGTACAAATTGCAGTAGTTAAAAAACTTACCACATCATATTTTGAATCTACTGTAATTTTTCGTAAAGGGAACTGACGGTAAGATATTTGGAGGGATGTACGGGGGAACAAGGCACTTCTGAAGTTTCATTTAATGATTAGCATACGTTGCAAAATACTAATAGCAGGCGGTCAAGACTTTTGAATCTCCCTCGATTCTCGACGATAAACTACCCTCACGGTTTCTGTACAGGAGATGAAAGAACAATTCCTCAAACCGAAGAGATATTTGTCTTCTTTTAGACGTCGTATTTGTTTCTACCCTCCGGCTCTCTTTATTACACTGACCAAAAAAGTCAACATTTCTGCCTAAATTCGGTATTTAGGACATAGTTGTCAACTTGATTTTTCGTTTAGAATTATCGTGCTTTTTCAGCAACAGAGAATTGTTGGTGGCGAATATTGTACGACGTTTCAGCTGGATTTTAGAAGTTGCATCACTACATACAATATCCTAACAACTTTTGGAAATTTAGGTATTGTACTGCTAAGCTCTCTTGCCTCTTCAATACTTGATAAGTTGGCACGGTTTATCAGATTATACTGGCATACTCTTTGAAGTAACAACTTTTGCGGTTTCAGTCGTCGCTTCAACGACTGAAACATTAACCGCAGAACCAAACCTTACGTTTTCAAGTAATCGGGGTTGGAAGCTGAATAATTGGATCACGATTATTCATTATTCTTTGCTTTTTTCAACAAGTCTTCATTATTCATTTAAAAATTTTCCATGTTTTTCACGATTCATTTTTTAGTTTTTATATCGGTTTTCCTTTTCAAATTCCCTTTCTGAGAATTATATAACTACAGAAGTTAAAACTGTGATATTAAGTAGAAACCTTGAGATTAAACAATATATGGAATTTATTTTAAGCGAAATTGTGTACAATTCTATACTATGGTTATCAAAAGTTTGCGTCTCAGTATACATTCAACCTTATCTTTAGCAAGTACCTTTCTATTTTTTCTATACACCTGGTCAATATAATGTTATCCTTTTCGATCAATGAATAGACCATCCATGAAATTACTGGAACGTGTGGGACCGAACAACAGCAGTTTAATATCCAAAACCAAGAGCCGTAATAGGACAGTCCTATTATGGCTCTTGCCAAAACCTTAAGCACTAAAAAACAATAACTAACAAATAAACTATAACTGAAACGAACACTAAATTTTAGTATATACACACTCAGTGATCTTGGTGATTTAAGCAATCTGATTGGTTCGCTATCTCGGACTATTCAACAATATTCACCTCCTAGCGAGTGGATAATGTGTGAGCTCGGTGTTTTTCCCGTTTTTTTAGAGAACGATCTTTTAAAAGTCGACAAAATCCTAGGGCTGACTTTTTTTAAGGCAAGAAAAGACTTGGAAGGATTCAATACGGCGTTTTTCAATTTACTGTAGCAGGAGTTTTGCGCTCGATGGATTGTTTACAACTCCCGTGTATTCGCGTAGAAGAAGCCGTTTCGTGAACTCAGCGTTTTCTAAGAAGAAAATTTTGGCTCAAAAATCGAAGTTTATTTATGACAAACAAATTTAAAAGGAAATGTTTGCAGAAATTCTACATTTCAAGTAAACAGGAAAAAGAATGATACAGGAAGACGACCTCTTACCTCGAGCAACCGAGCCGCCATTTTTGTCGGCACCTCATGCGAAGAACAACACAACAAACCCTTTTGGCTATAAACTTGGCGAGTCAACAGAAAACAACACAGGTCTACTTTTTTTCTCAGGTAAGGAAACAGTTCAAACTTTTAGCGCTTCCATTGAGGCCATTACGCTGTTGTTTGCGAAATGAGTAAACTTGTGAATTGCTATGTTTGAAAATTCTGCAAAGATCTATTAAACTTACGCGTGATTTGATCTGTCAATCAAATCGTACTTTTGAATGGTTTCCTTTCTGATTTTGTTGAGATCACTTCGTGTGTATATACCAAAACAATTATTCTTTTCAATCTCGGTGAATAGTGGCTTTGGGAATATTTACCTCGCCGCTTTCGCGGCTCGGTAAATATTTTGCCACTATTCACCTCGATTTCAAAGAATAATTGTTAAATGTACAATAGATCCGTACGTAATCCACATGGTTCACAAGTTGGGCAGGATAGGCTGCCTGTTTGCACGGGACCTGCTATACAGCACCACCTATACCAGGTTACTACTCGGTCGGATTTTATGACCTGTCTATTAGCAAGTCCAGTTTGATTGGAAACTTGACGCCGAGACATTGATTAATTTCCAGATTGTCCAATTGCCTAGATTACAAATCCTCTATCGAACATAACAATGGACGATTCTTAGAGAGCAACTTTTTAGACAATTGCCTCTAGTAATAGAATAAGGAAAAAACTGTCAAGTTTTTCCACTTTTACCAGCAAGTCAATCGTACGTATAGTTTGTACAGTAAATGTATTATAACTCACCATTACGAGTCTTCGGGGTGTTTAAGGTAGTAGCAGTTTTCATATTACAAAGCAGCCTTATTTGTAAGCAATAACTGATGATAGTAATTAACACCTGCGTCGCTTAGTGGAGGTGGGTGCCCGGGATGTCCAGGGGCTTCCACTTTTGGGACAGCCAGCCCCTAGACAGAGTTACGCCCCCATGGCTGGCAAACCCGCGCCCTCCAGCCATGAGCCCCCACGCCAATGGAACCAGGTACCTGTCACACTGATTTGTCAGTGGAAGAATAAAGGGTGGGGGGGGGAGCAGGAATGGGGGTAAAAGAATGATCCAAAGGCCAAACGAAGAGAATGGCCGCCAAGAAAGCGTTGTACTAAGCACGTGGAGGTGATTCAAGCAAGGCTGACCGCGCTTGAGCCAAATGACGGACCGCTGACCACGCCCGCGCTCCTTGTTATTAACAGTGTTAAAAAAATTTTTAACTTCATTAAAAACGCTACCTTCAACGGTCCCCTTGGTCTTCATTAGCTCTGCTACAAGTAGCCTCTCAGTGCTCCCGTCGTCCATGTTCTTCGCTAACCAACGACCACACGAAAACCTTCCAAGAAATACAATGCATACGGTCACCTCTTACAGAGCTGCAGATAACAATCGGTTATCGGGAAATGTGCAACTACAATTTGTTCATGCCCGACCACGTATATCCTTTCTAAAAAGAAAAACTATTTGGTTGTCTGTCTCGTTAGTGTGAACACCCTCAGGACTGCGAGTTAAGCTACGTCCAAAAGAACGCAACAACTCCCAACATTGTTGGCCCAACAGTGTTGGGAGTTGATACGTCCATTTGCACGGGCCTAAACGTTTGAACGGTTTCAAACTTTGCGCAACAACTCCCAACAACATGCAACAAGATGTGCAAACGGACGCAACATTTAACATCTAACAATGTTGGGAATTGTTGGCTAACAAAGAGGCGTCCGTTTACGCGGGGATTTACTGTCTGTTCAGAGAGGCTCAACAATTAAGAAAAAAAACATTACACAAAAAGAAGACATCTACGTTGGAGAAGCAAGATGCTTTTTGGGCTTGATGTCCTTTTTGACGAGATTTAATACAATGCACTTTAGTTGTCCGGACCGCAAAATTGGTCTGTAAGGCTGCGTGCAAACGCACGCAACATTGTTGGCCAACAACTCCCAACATTGTCGCGTCCGTTTGAACACCCTGTTGCATGTTGTTCCCGGCGTGTTGTTGCGCAAAGTTTTGAAACCGGTCAAACTTTTAAGCCAACAACTCCCAACATTTCTTTTATTCCGTGATCGCCGAAGCGTAGCGCAACAATGTCACGGTTGGATCCGTTTGCACAGCTCTTCCTACATTGTTGGGGCCACGCACGCGCAATAAACATGGTCTCGAAAGTCTTATGGGTTGTATCCTTCTCACGTTGCACTGTAGGTCCCAACATTGTTGGGAAATATTGCATCCGTTGTCACACCACTGCCAACACGGGCACAACAACTCTTATCATTGTTGACCCAACAATTTTGGGAGTTGTTGCGTCCATTTGCACTTAGGTTAAGGCAATATTAGCGAGAGTCTGTAATGAACCCGGAGGAATTTTGTTTCAGTCATATGTCTAACATTTGCAAGGGGATTCATCTGCTGTCCTCTGCGCAAGGCGAAAGCTGACTGTACCCCCCAATAAGGAAAAAAATGGAATTATATAAAGGGGAAAGTCAGTAAATATGAACGTCCTTTCTACCTGTAAATATGTGATGTCACTTCATTCTTGACAATGATTTGCTCGATGAACAAACCAGCGCTGTAACCTTTTAAAAAGAGAAGACAACAACTTTTCATAAGATCACGACAGATAATTAACCGAAGAACTTAATAATTTTTGTATGACTGCCGCTCCAGTGACTCAAAAGGTATAATTATTGAAAGAACAAGTTGTGTTGTAAAGAAGATTAAGTAAGGTTTGAAGGAATTTTAGGCGAAATTCGGAATCGTTCCTTTTTTATCACGATTAGCATCCCACGAGCCACGTTGCTGCTGAATACGACCGAGAGCTAACTATTGATAGCCTGTGAATAAATCGGCCTCTCACCGCTCCCCGCCGTTACGAACGTTTCTCTCGAGAGCCAAAACATCCCTAGTCCATGGCGGGGCTTGATAAGAGGAGGCGAATTCGCAGGCTTAACTAGTGGTAGCCTGTGACAGGCTCCTAGATGGTAGGGACGTTGTGAAAATGCGAAAATAAGACGTGCGCGATCTGGGGAAAGGAAAGGTGGCGGGAAAAAAGTAGCCGCACTCTCTCTCCCTACCCCCTCTCCTCTCCACCCTTGTTTTTCGCATCACTTTTTTACTGCACGATTGCACTACTATCTTGGAGCTGGAAGCCTGGAACGGGCTAAACTAGTGGCGTCCTTATATTTAAACAAATTAAGAACGGGTTTCTATTAACTTTATGCTCATTACTGTCTCCAGCGATGCTCCAATTTGTCGTTGATCTGTAAACTCCTTATATTTCATCTCCTATTTCCAAGCAGAACAGAGAACCACACCTCTTTGCTTGGGTACGAGAACACTGATGAATGGGGGAAGAACAAGAGAACGAAATACGCTGAAAGCAAGGAAGAGAAGCCCCAACTTAGGCTTAGTTTACCTGTATTATCGTGTCCTATTCTAAGTGTCGTCAACACACCCAGGTTTGCATGCTGCCGAAGATAAAAAGGACAATAAATCACCAAAAAAAATCATTCTTGCTAGGTCAAATAAAACTACCGGTAGTTTTCCACCTTCAAGATAAGGAAATCTCTTTCCAGTAAGGCCGTCACTATCTAAATCGCAGGCTGTGGTACCTGATTCATCGACGAGTCCTGTTTACAAATTAGAAACACTTATTTCATTTTGCCAATATTTCTGTTCTCCTTATTGTCTGGAAATATAGCTTCTACTTCCACCACATTACAGCTCAGTTAAAATCGCCCGGCTCGGATGACCACGTAAAATGGCGGTCCCTATCTCCAGTAGGAGACGTAAAAATAGTGTCCTCAATTGGTACTTTCGTGCTAAATACATTAACACTCAAACAAAGTGCATTATTTACCTGAAATCTAAACTCGTTTTCATTCTTAGGGATGTTCATGACACCAGTGTCAGTAATACTTCCTGCCAATGTCATCCACACCTGCGCAGTAGTGGTACTCCCACCTAGCTGCTTCCCTGTCTTGATAACAACCTTATATGTGATGGCTGAAAACAAAAAGTGATGCAATGGCGATGATTGTTAGTCTGCTTGTTGCAACAAATAAGTTCACCATCCACAAGCGTTTAAATAATCATGTAATTTGTTTACCCACGAAACTTCTAAGAGCTCTTATCCACAAACAAATTGTCCAAACTGATCCAGATTGATCTCAAGTACGATTCCTTTAAAGGGACTGTGACACACTTCTGCGCATGTGCGGCGTTTTGATTTCTGGTCTGGCGCACCATTTTGGCTTTCGGTGAAGAAATCCCTTACATCTACTCTGAGAGGCCTGAGAGTATTGAAGAGCAATTTGGTCCATTTTGGAAGTTAAATGAGAGAATTAGATAAAAGATCAAAGCATTTTCCTTTTGCTGATCATTTTATTAATTCTCGTAACTTTTTTTCTTGATGAGGTACAGACATTGTTAGTTAGGGAAAAAAAATTGGAACTATAAGGGTTACTGAACCACTCGTTCGAAGGTGTTCATGTGTTCCTGAGTCCCAGATCAAATGGAAATTTGGAAGTGTTGGTTTTTGAGGAGAAAAAAAAACCAGTTTACCTGCAGTAAAACCCTCCTGGAACAAAAGCGAGAACCAACAACAAACTAAACTAAACCGACATGAGAATTCGCCTCATGGCCAAACTGGTGGGAGGCGAGCGCTCGCACCAATGGACAAGTCTGGCCTTCACAATGTCTCCGGCTTGATAAATTGTAAATGAACCTGGACTAGTAGCACTAAGCAGTCCTTAATTTTCTAAGGGAAAGTTAGGCACACAAAATTCGCGAGCGTGAGAAAATCGCCGCGTCCCGCCTCTCCTCGCGTGAAGCGATTTTCACGCGCGCTCGCGTATTTTTCTCGTGCCCTACTTTCCCACGGAAAAACGCAGGAACAGAGCGGGGAAACGCTCAGTCTAGCCCTTGGGATATGTGAATTTCATCAAAGTTATTTTTAGACCAATTCAACCCTTGAATTAATCGCAAGTTTTTTTTTTTCGGAGAGGTCCGCAAACCTTTATTCAGTGTTTTCGAGAGAGAATTCAACAGTCGTCATTAAAATACCGGTATTCCGCACTTTTTGTTTTGAGACAGTCGCGCGTGCACTTAATAACCTTTCAAACAATCGATTAAAATTTGCGGACGTCTCTGGAATTAGACGTCCTAACTCACAAACCAGTCAACTTTGCTTCGTCAATGGATAGTTTCATGTGATCATTTTTGAAATCATCAATGCCTTGATCTTGAATACAAACCAGGCAAACAAAAACAGCTTTCCGGGCCCGAAAAGTTACCAATACTTTTGAGAAACGGACCCCAGGACACGAAACAGACTCCCCAAAATACATTGCTACTAGAAGACAAACCTGTGTTTTGGAAGCCATTTGTAAAACAGAAGAAATCTACAGCGGTGAGTGACAAGAGATGATAGAGGAACTGCTCTTTTTCTTCCTCTGTCCCTAGGAAGGCATAAACTTTATATCGGTCCCTGGGAAAACGAAAATAATAAGCAATTATTGGTGAAGTTTTTCTGATATCCGAAATAATGGAGGTGGAGGTAAGTATCATCAGCCAACCGAACCAAAGGCCGAGGCTGATAACATTTACCGAGATCTTGATTATTTAGGATATCACAAAAACCGAATCTAATAATTGTGTTATTATACATTGTTTTAAAGAAAATAACGACAAACACTGTCGTAAGGAACCGAATTTGACATTGTTCTTGTAAATCATGCATTGCGCTTGCAACCTACAGGTTGGTCACGAATGTACTAGCAGATAACTAACTAATCTATTGGTTGCGCTGATTTCCAAAATTCACTGTAGGCTCTTAGCAAGTCAGAAGACAATGAGTGAGTACAATGTATAAAAATAATAATTAGCAACTTTGTTACGCGACCAGAGAATTTTACCTGCTCTAGAAAACAACTAACGTTCAGCTTATAACTTATCACACGCGAATTCAACCAAGACAACCAATTCTAAGCTCGCGCATACAATTTGATTGAATTTAGTGCAGATCAGATTAAAACAGTTGCGGCGTTTGAATGGCTTAGAGAACAGCCGAAACTAAGAGAACGTCTGGGTGCTAAAAACTGGCTACTTGGCTGCTCATTTCTTGACATTGTTCGCTTTTAGCATCCTCTTGAGTCAATCCACATATTTCACCGTCAAACCGCCGAGAAGTCTTCAAACTAGTTTCGTAAAACATATCGCATGCACTGGGGGAATCGAGGAAACAATATTTGTTCGTTGCTTTTTTTTCTTGCAAAGGTTTGATGCCTCACCTGAGAAGTTCTGAGTTTAGAAGCACTTGCTTGAGGTGTTTGGAGAGCACTTTCTTCTCTAAAGCAAGTCTGAAAATTACAGTCAATACAATCAAACATTGCACTTTCAAGACGCAAGGAAACGGAAATCAACGTCTCTCTGTGTCGCCTACCTGATCCAGGCCCGCGCATGTCCGATATCTGTCTTGATTTCATGCATTCCCTGCACATGACTAAGAGAATGAAATCAACAAAGTAAGTTTATCACACTGGGTTAATGATTGACGTTAAATTTCCCCTGTAAGGCTCATCAATCAGAGCGGAGATGAGAAATTAAGATACCATCAACATGAAGCTGAATTTGGTTGATTTCTCCACCCTTTTACTGCCAGACCCGACTCGTCCCCAGTCGTCTTCGCGTAACGCGCACGGCGGGAGCAGGGGTGATGGGAAGGGAGGAGAGAGGTCTCTCCAGCACCCTCGCTTTCCACCTTCCCATCACACACAAACTGGGGACGAGCTAAGTACTAGACTAAGTTATTATCAGCGCACAAAATCCTATTGCCTAGTTTCAAACCGAGAGGGGCTGGGTACGAGTCTGTTTATTATGGGATAAACAACACAAGACCCACATAGTCAGAAATAGCACACTGAAGCAACATTCTCAAGTTTAGTGTTTATCTGGCCTATATTGAACGAGATATAGCCAGTCAAAAACTCCAAAATTTACTAAGAAATATGGACAACCGGACATTACGTCCAGCAATCCATACATCTCTTATCTTATAAATTTTTGCGGGCTCCTTTTGTCGCCCGCAAAACCTAATCTCCGGGTTGTCATTACGCAAGCGTCGAATGTGGCTAGAATTCGTTTGGACTTCCACAAAGAGTGAATGGAATACACAGAACGCAATTTGATCACGGGCGTTTGGACCCTCTATCGCTCGTAATCTGATCACGCGTGTTTTGACCGTCTCTTAGTAAAACTTACGTAAAGCACAGCGTTGGAGCAATGGCGTTTGGACCTTCGATCGTTGTCGCCCGCACTCCGTAACCTTTGGTTATTACGAGTAACGTTTTTAAATAGCTGTATCTTGTTCATTATTGGTCTGATTGACACCAAACTTGGCATTTTGCCTGACCTCAACGTACTATTTCTGACTACGTAGGTCTGGTGTTGTTTATCCTATAATAAACGGACTAGTAGCCAGCCCCTCTTGGTTTGAAACTGAGCAATGTTGTTAACATTCAAATGAAACCTATTTGGCAAACCCTTTGGCAAACCCTTTGCGTCAAGGTTAAATCGACCTTTTTCTGTAACTGACAGAAGCAATAAAAGAGAGTACTGTGGTATTAAAAAAGTCTGTTGATTACAAGGAATTTCATGGCTGAGCTCACTAGAAATTTTAGCACATTACCGATATATTTTCGAGATGATGAAAGCAAACAGTCAACATTGTCATTCAAGTAAGAAACCAGGAAATTCATTTAAGGTGGAATAAGCAAACCTTCTTGTTTAAGTATCAGAATGCAAAGTCATTCTCACGATCACACAAAGCCAGGGAGGAACGGGAAATTAGACCGAAGAGAGGACTCGGAAAAAAATTCGCCTATACGAGTAATCACAGTCGATTTTTGTTCATTCTTTCAAAACAAGAACACTATATTAGTCTTTCAAAATGTGTAGTTCGAGTTTCCGCAAGTTTTACGTCATTATTGCTTGCTGTCAAGACATTTACGGTCGCTACCGCTTCAAAAAAAACTAACAATGATCACTTCCACTCATAATTTGCCATTATGGTCTTTACGATTTTTTGTTGTCTAGATTGAACAAACTCGACCGCGAATTCTTCTATTAGCAAACTTTATTACTTGTCTATCCCATGAGAAACCACGTGACATCCCTTTTATCCCATCAGTCCTTGCGCGCGAGCAAAGATGGCGGGTATGGTGAATAAGGTCTATTTTTTACATTTCTGCACAAGAATTCGCTTAATAGGGCATACCTCATATCGGCTAACACAGAGCTAACGGTTGGTTGCTGTTGGGAAAGCTGAATTGACTGCAGCATGTTTGATATATCAGGTGATGTGCATCGTCTTCTCAGTTGGCTTTGTTTGTCTGTCTCTTTGGCCGCTACAAATCAAATAAAAATAAATCTGAGGGGAAAGCACAAGAAAGGTTGGTAAAATACGGAATACTTAAGACACTGTGATTCTCAGTTTTAATACTTCAGTCATATTAGTCAAATTGTCCTTGGTTGTGTAAATGGAGAAAGTATGACATTTTCCAATATTGCACAACAAGTTGTTCAAACGGATCCCACAGCAAGCAACATGATGGCCAAAACAAGGTGTTGAAAGGGATTCAACATCAGTCAAGCCAATCCAACATTAGTAAACATCGCCAAACAAGGTGTTCACAACATTCCAACATTAGTCAACATCGCCTGGCGACGTGTTCACACCATTCCAACATCATCGTCAGCATTGCCAAACAAGGTATTCACACCATTCCAACAATATCAATATCGCCTGGCAAGGAGTTCACACCAGTCCCATGTTAGTAAACATCGCCAAACAAAGTGTTCACACAAATCCAACTTTAGTCAATAGTCAACATTGCCAAACAAGGTATTCACACCATTCCAACAATATCAATATCTTCTGACAAGGAAATCACACCAGTCCAATGTTAGTAAACATCGCCAAACAAAGTGTTCACACCATTCCAACTTTAGTCAATATCCCCAGACAAGTTGTTCACACCATTCCTATATTAGTAAACATCGCCAAACAAGGTGTTCACAACATTCCAACATTAGTCAATATCGCCTGACAATGTGCTCACACCATTCCAACATTAGTCAACATCGCGAAACAAGGGGTTCACACCATTCCAACATTAGTAAACATCGCCAAACAAGATGTTCAAAACATTCCCACATTAGTCAACATCGCCTGACAATGTGTTCACACCATTCCAACGTAACTCAATATCGTCTGACAAGGAGTTCACACCATTTGAATGCTAGTAAACATCGCCTGACAAGGTGTTCACACCATTCCAACATTAGTCAACATTGCCTGACAAGCTGTTCCCATCATTCCTATATTAGTAAACATCGCCAAACAAGGTGTTCACCAAACCATCTCGTCACGGACGAAATCGTCAACAATAATACTTGATACTTTTCGAAAGGACAAGTCTTTAAAAGATCAACAGATTTGTATTTGGGCTTGATAAAGAAGTAAAAATCCTAGATAAGTAATCCTAGGTTAGTACACTGTGTGAATCATTGCAGAGTTATTATGTGGTGCTAGTAGACTTCTTCGTGGGGATTTCGTTGGTGGCGAGATGGTTTGGTGGCAAGATGGTTTGGTGGCAACTGAAGATGGTCTGGTGGCGAGATGGTTTGGTGGCAAGATGGTTTGGTGGCGAGATGACCATAAACCTTACGACAGCACTGACCCAGTCTCACGCCATATACTTGAAGGGGCCTTCCCCGTCATTACCTGCAAGAGGTGATAGACTGTTTGTGTCCTGGCTGTATGTTGGAGCAACTTCTTCAACCTCTTCACATTCTCGCTGAAATGCTAACAAGTGCGACCACAACGCAGATTTACCCTTTACATGAAAATGAAGAACCATAAAAGCTTGTTAGTAATATTCGCGAACACATAAAAATGTTTTACAAGGCTAAATGAAACATCTTAAGGGTTAAAAACGAGGATGACTTGCTTAGTATTGTCAAATAACGCTAAGGAAAGCTTCGTTTTACTTTTTTCTCCAGGAAAAGTTAACACAGTTATTTTAATGAAGGAGGGTAAGCCCATTCCCGAACACAAAATGTTAAAACTTCAAACACTTGACAACTTGTTTCCGCCATTACGGCATATTTGCTAAAACTTCATCTCACAAAAATTAATTGTGACAACAAAAGGAACAATGTCATGTCAAAATCCTTCTGAAAAGGTATCATTTGAATGGTCAGACCCGATGATTCTTTTTGTTCACGCAGTCAGAAGTTTAATAGAGCTTTACCGCCACCCGGATTAGCTCAGTTGGGACAGCACCAGTCTGCCAAGTGGGAGGTCATGGGTTCAAACAACGGCCGGACCAACAACCAGGGTCTTCAAAAAACTGGTGAGATCATGTTAATTTGTTGGCTGTGATTTGAGACCTTGTCTCAGTTCAGACGATCGCGTCACTGTGCGGTGACGATAAGCCGTTGGCCTTGTCTCCTTCATCCTTCTGTCATTGGTCAAAGCGAAGGGGGCGTAAAAGAACCCACACTACTGTTCGAAAAAAGTCGGGGAAGCTTCCCAGTGGTGTGGTTTGCCTTTCACGCATCACACATCATTCATATCAAGGGCTATGGGTGGGTTACAGTAAGCTCATAGACGGATTGATAGCGGCTGCCACTGGCGCCCTTGTATGCTGAAGTCCGAGCTTTAATGTTGGCCTCTAATCCACGACATTACATTACATTACACTACAGTGGTACTATTATTCTGGTAATGAAGGGGTATTCAGTAATAAGATGTCTACACATTACCTCTCTTGTAGTTAATCCATGACTCCACACTCTTTCTAGCAGATCACATAAACTGGCAATCAGTGTATTTTCCTCTACTCCTGAAACATTAGCATCAGCATGTCCAAGATCCACCGCTTCTTGTCCCATCTTTTGCACAAGAATCTTCTTCACCTGGTAGAAGAAACGAATGAAGTTAGGCCTTAAGTTTTCTTAGCTCCAGGTCAGCTTTACCATCAAGCATTATTTCAAAATAGGGTTAAGATCATGAGAAAAAAAAAATAAAAAAATAAAAACTTCTTTCTATGCTCTCCGCGTAGACGGTTTCAGGTGAGGCAGAATGGCCAGCTCAGCAATAAAACCCGCTCCGGAAACAACTCCAAATTTCATTCATTTGCCGAAATTCAAATAACTCCGTACTTTTGGCATAGTTGAATCATCTTGTTGACCTGGATGGAACCAGGGTGATGCACGTACACATATGACGCAATTCAAAATGGCGCAGAAAACGCGGACCCTGAGTACCACAGGATAACCAAGTAACACAGGAATCCCAAGATTATGAATTGCGTTTTCCTAACGTAGAACGGAAAGGGAACAATAACATGGTGTTTTTTCTTTCCAACCCACACACCATTCTTTAATGAAAGTACTTGCTTCTAGAAAACAAAACATTGCATGGATACCTCTGTGAAGGACAAGCACCTCATCTCATGGTGAGGACCATTACCTCTAGATGGTTTATGCCAAATCAGTTAGTTAGTTAATCAGTTAGTCTTAACTTTAACAGTTGTGTGATCTTGACCTTTCTTCCATTCTCTGGCAGATATAACATTTTGATAAGTTTCGTGATACCACCCCATTAAAAGAAAGATCAAATAGTCAAATAATAAAATCTACCTTTGTTTTGCATTCCTTGAGGAGTTTTTGAATGAATCCACTTTGTGTGGACTCTAGTGCCATGTCTCCAAGCTGGGAACTCTTTGCTTTTGACTCTTGCATGTATTTCTAAAGTTGAAGCAAACAAACAGGCCCCAGTGGAACAAACGTTGCTTAGCGCTATCCACCGGATAAAACACTATCAAGTGGATAAGTATTATGGAAACCAAGTTGCATTATCTACTGGATAGAGATGTATGCGGTGGATACTGCTATCCAGCTTTTGAACAACTGGGGCCTGAACACTAGACACCAGTCCATTTCAACCGGGTGAGTTTGCTTTCTATCCATTCTCTCTTTACCACGTGATCCACAACATACCAGCCCAAGCTTCCATAACAGTCAGGACCCCCCGCCCTTGGGATAATTTTTGCTGGGTATGTGCCACTGGCCTCTCAGAGCCCCTACCCGATTATAGTCGACTCTGTAGCCAATTATAGACCCCATCTTAATCACTTTTGGGCAAATATGTAATTTTTGCAATCCCAACCTAGTCAATTTCTATTTATGTATCTACCTTATCAGTCCTTTAAATAGGTCATCATAAAATGAATTGACGTATTTTTTAAATTGAATGAAGAACATTTTACTGTTCACCTACAGCACAAACATTCTGGTACGTTTGCTAACCGTAAATGTGAAGAACTTTCTTACCCCAAAAATCCAAAAATGTGCGACCGCATTCTAGTAACTCTATTGAAAATGCGACCCCATTCAGCGGGACATCCCCATCAGGCTCATACAGATACAGATACAGTAAAAACACTACACTGTATACCAGCTGGACCAAAAACAATGTTGGTTTGTATATGTATGTACATAAGGCACTCGGAACAAAAGCAATAATAATATTAGAAGGGGAGGTAGAAGTGAAATGTTTAATCTAAGTTTAATGAATAAATTAATGAGAATCGAGTGAGTGACTGACTGACTGAGTGAGCAAGGGATTGAGTGCCATTGCAGTACCTTCAAAAGTAAAGTGAAGTGCCTCATGGAATGACTACGTCATATCCATGAGCTAAAAATGAAGTTATGGTGGCTTGAAAATGTTGCATATTTTCACTTCTTTTTACTGTTACATGTATCTAATTAAGATTCCCCTCATTAGTGCCGTGAAAAATTGAACAGCTGCATGGAGATCAGTGCAGAGAAAATGCATTTTGATCTAAGGACTCTATTACATTAAAGCTATGTTTGTAAGTGTTTTTTTTTAAAAAAATAATGAATGTGAAGTGTGACACATGGTCATCAGCATTTTGTATTCAAAGAAGTTCAAAGAATAACTTTCAAATAAGAACATGATTGTTACTTGTGAAAGATTATGTTACCAGCTTAGACTTGCTGTATTGTTGTACTAACAGAAATAAGACGCCATAATACCTTGATGCTTGATGCTAGTTTATCTCTCATCTTCTTTCCGTCCTAAAATGATTGGAATCAAGAGACAATTAAACCTCATACTTTTTAACATTTCTTCTCCTCGGAATGTCCATGAATAACTTTCAAATGTCGTTAACAAGTACAAAGCACAGTTGTTAACTTGGGATTCTTATCACTCACACACAACCTATAGATAGTATAAGGTCATAACAAATGACCTGGTGACAATATCACATAGTGGTGACCATTAAGTGTATTGACTTTCACCACACCTTTCTAATATCACTTCCTGTCACACAATCAATAGAGGGGATATACGTTAAAAATCAGCAGACAACAAATTAATTAAAGCAGGAAAGATTAAAAGTTTGATTCAGCTGCCTTCTTTTAACCAATGTTTTCTCTGAGTTGGACAAAAATTTATTTCTTTTCACATAAAAAATATTGGCAGGTGTGACAGTGTCATTAAAATTCTATAAAGATTTCTAATTCTCTAAATAACAACTGGTCACACAACTTTCATGCCACAAAAAAATGATCAAACAAATACAACACACTTTACTCTTTTCTTTGGATTTTTAAAGGGTTCATCATGCTAAGAAATGGGAAAGGCATGAATCGTTGTTACTTTTGTAGATTGTAGAAACAGTAATGTTTCAAACCTGAGTTGTATTAAGGAATATGTGCTCTGACTGCTGTTGCTGACGGCTCTTTTTCCTCCACTTTACTTTGGACTGATGGCCACTAATGCAGACAACATAATACTTAATCAGAAAATCTATGATTTAATATCCTCAAAGACTTAAATGCAGCAAAACCACTACCAAAGTGTACTATTAAATACTTCTTACTTTAAAATCACTCTATGTCACAGGGGCATCCAACGACTGTTTTCTATTACTTGAAAGGGGGTGAAAAATTTCTAGATGACCCAACATTCAAGTACAATCTTCGAAGCTTATCTGACAAATTCCCTACAATTGTCTGAAGTTTACTTTTCCACATTTCAATGCCCAGGTTAGACTATTTTTCATAAAAAAAAAACCTACAATTTTCGGATTCAAAAATGTGACAGAGAGAGGAATCAGAAAATTATCACTCTTGTAATACTTTAAATTGCATCAAGACTTAAGTTGCCCTAGGATGACCGAACAGATACAAATTTTCTAGCGCTGTTTAGAATGCATTTCTAGAGATCTAAAAGTACTCTTGATAGTTTAAAAGGTGTTTTCAATGTAATGTAGGAAATCATTGTTGGGTGTTCCTGATGAAATAATATCATTTTTCCTTAATTCACAATTTTTAGTCCCTTGGTTTATAAATCACATTTACGTTCATGACAATTGTGCCACACTGAAAAGTCCAAAAATTATGTTAACACATGTAAGTGTCACAGCCATTTGAGCACACATGGTAGTTTTCTTCTGAGGACAAAGTGTGGAGAGGTAACTTATTCAGAGGAGGGGGGGTGCCCATTCAGTGTTAACAAGAGCTTAGTAGTGACTTAACATGTGCTACGTCATTTTGAAAACGGAATTTTAGTGGTACCAAGCTAAAAAAAAAATCAGTATGCATGTATTGAATTCATTTGATGGAATACAGTAGACTCTCTCTTAATGGACACCTCTATAAGACAACTTTGTAAAATGGACACCTAGACTTGGTCCCTCCATTTATTCCTTTAATTGACCTCACAAAGAGGGACACTTTATTTGACTCTCTGTAAGAATTATTTTAGACTGTGTCAAAGATGGATTTAAGACTTATGTAAGTTTTTTCCTCGTATAAATGGCCCTACTAAGTTCCACTCCCAAAGATGTCCGTCTTTGAGAAAGTTGACTGTATACATCATGTACCTCTTGGAATTGGGTCCATCAGATAACACTGAGGTATCCAAGGACATGAAATATCCACTGCTGGACACTGCAGAGAATAAATTATGGTGTACAAAACACTTTAAATATCACAAATACCAGTGCAAAGAAACCTACTGATAAAGTTATTGAAATGATACCAGTATGGAATTTTCATTTTGCAGTGAAACCAGTAGTGGCATTGCGAAATGTCTGCTGTTTTCTTAGGCAATCCAATTTGGAGTTTCAGTATTAGTGTCATGCAGAGGAACAGTAGCCAGTTTACAAGAGATTTGAGACCTTTCCTAGCTCTGAGTTTTATTCATTTCTTTAGGAACGTACATCCTTCAGCTCTCCCATAACCCAGAAACAATTATGCACACATGTAATTTATTTATTTAACTTTTGAGCAAAATTCCATGGTGTGATTATTGTAGGTACTTGAACTTGACATTGGTCTCTTTTAGTGATAGGATTCATACCTGGAATTGCAGGTTTTTAGGAGAAATGTGATGTTTCACATTACATTTTTTAATGTTGATGGTCTTAAAATAATAATCCCAGAAAAATCTGGCACTATACATATTTTTACACTGTGGAAGTAGTGTGCTTAAAATTTTTTTGTTGCTGCAACCTGGGTAGAACTTAAGTAATTTAGCAGACCACAAAAGGTTACAAATATAAATAGTGAGAAAGAGACCTTTTTACCTTTCTTGGCTGAAAGATTTAGCTGATGAGGCTGAGTTGCCATGTGATCCACAGAGTTTGAGCGTCGCAACAACACTTGTACTAAGTAAAATTAATAGACAGCAAACAAAAAAGATTTAACTGTAAGTACCTTGGGCATTACAGAGAGTAATGATTTGTGTGTAACTGACATGGGTCTATTTCTGCCTGAGGTTCCGTGCAAGAGCGACACCTTGATTTTTTGGCCATTTTTGAGAGTGCTTCAAAGTTTACTGAACTCTTGCATGGGACTTTTGATTTATTAGACAAACACTGTTCTGTATTTTTTTCACTAGTTTGTGCTTTATTTTTGAGAAATAAAGTATGCAAAAAATCCATCAGTGTGCTTTGAATTTCTTGGTCAAAACTGGAAACAAAAGAAACCGATCAAGTTCTTTGTTATTGTTGGTGGGGTTCTTTTCTCTTACGAACAAAATGTGCAGTGATGCAATGCAGAAAACCACCAAAAAAAGACAACTCTCCAATGCTTTGAACTGGCTAGAATAACTTTTAAGCTCTGCCTACTTACCTGCATTCTTGAAGGTCATGCATTTCTCATAAGATGGTGACCTAGTGATTCCAAGCCTTGACTTTAAACTCTCCACTCGCTGGTCAAACACTGCCAGCCTGGGGTCAAGATCCTCCCAAGTTCCCATTATTTTCATATCAATAAAGCTGGCAAACATTTGAGTTTCAGTGAATGGAGAAAGAAAAGGAAGAAACTGTGTCGGTTGATCAGAAAGAAAAGAAGCTTTGTCAAAGTTTTGCATTTGTTCTCTGTTTGAAGTCCAGTCCTCCAGATCTTGCTTAGGTTGAATCACAAATGATTCATACTCCAACAAAAGCTGAGTGAATCGGTTTGCAAAGATCTCTCTGATAGCAGCATTGAATTCATTCTCATGTTGTTGTCTGCGTGGAATTTCCTTTGCAACATCACCAAGAACAAAATCATTCTCATTGTCACTAAACTGTTGCAGCTGGGTGTCAGAGACAGACTTTTCCAAGTTTGAAGTAACAGTTGAAATTGGAGCTATAATTCCTGTTCTCTCTGCAATTGCAGCAATAGCTTGCAGTCTTGGATTTTTTGAAACATCCAAACTAGTAGAAGATTTAGACTTAGTTACTTTACCATCTGACCGCCTTGCTTTTGTTTTCTGTGACCTCTTAGGTGATTCTTTATACTTAATTTTCCGAGCTTCTAAAGCAGGTGATTGTGAGCGTGGTGATCCAGAATTGGGTGAACTAGAATGAGGTGATTGTGAACGAGGTGACCTTGACACAGGTGGAGATCCCGAATTACTACCAGTCTCATAATCAGAACTTCCATTAAATGTGCAGTTCTGTGAAATTTCTAGGGAATTTTCCAGGCTGTTAACTCCACTTCCAGGCATACTGATGTCACCATCATTTGGCAGACGAATATTAAATCTTTTAACAGCGTCATTTAGTTCTTCAATCAGCTCTTGTTCATCTGGAAATACTGGAAGATCCTCAGGTGTAGTCACTTTGCAATTTTCTATGTCTACCAAGCAAAGAGAAGCCTGCAAATAAAAAAAAAACATAAAATAAGGCTTTTCAGCAAACTCAAAAATCAAAAGTCATTGTTTTTTGGTGACTTCCCTTCGATGTTAATTAGTGGAACTCCACCCCTACACCAAGTTGTGGCAAGTTGATTTGGTACTTTTGAACTTTTTATCAACCTGTGGATGAAATCCTGTTATAATGTCTAAATTCAAAAGAAATCAGCTCTTTGGTAAAACTTCAGCATAATGCTACAGTGGACTCGCGATAACTTGAACCTTCAAGGGATATCGCAAAAAAGTTCAAGTTATCGGGAGTTCAAAGCAAATAACCAAGAATACGGAAATAAACAAATGACTGGGGAGGGAATGCAACTATCATGCACACTTCAAGGGCAACAATAGATATATTGATACATTTTTGAAAAAGGAATTGAAGCAACAAAGCTTGAATAATATTCAGGGCTGGACACTGTCTTTGAACTGGACTGACAAAGAAGTACAGACAAATAATGCCAGGTTGTTTTGAAAGAAATTCAGTGTTTTGGACTGCATAACATTGCTTTTTTTTTCCGACTTGTCACACTCTTAAAACATAGCTCGAGCTATCAAGGGTAAAATAATTATTATCTAGAAATGATTTCAAGGGAAACAAAAGCTACTTCAACTTAGCAGTACGTTTGAGGTATCGACGGTTTGAGTTACGGAGGGTGAAATTACAGTGAATGTTCATGAGGGAAATCCAGGGGAAATCGATTTTGGTTTGAGTTATCGGGAGTCAAGTGTACTTATTTCTAAGAATTTTACAAAAAGAGATTTGAAATTTCTTATGGGTTTTCACTTTATACACTATTATGAGTAAACTTTAAACAAATGAAACCAGTCACCTCTGATGGTAGAGCAAGGTTTGTTTTATCCTCTTCTGATGCACAATAAATTCCTATTAAGAACGGAACTGGAGCATCAAGGAAGTGCGATAGAGCAGCAGGAAGAATTGGAACATAAACATGTTGCCAGATAAAGGGAAAAAGAACTGATGTTATACTCTCTGCCACTAACATGAACTTGTGAAAATCTGTAAATTAAAAGAAAGGAAACAAATTAAAAAAAATGCACTCTGGATTTTTCACTATTGATTATTAATTTCATCAGATATTATTAAGATACTGCAAATGAAGGGTTGAAGATCCACTCATTAATGTATGGCTGAAAATTTGACATTTTAACATAATTCATCTACACTGCCAGTCAAACCTGTATTAAGTGGACCCGCATTAAGCAGTCACCCTCTATCAAGGGGATACTTTCTTGAGGATTAGGCCTGAAAATCATGTGAGCAGTCCCTTATTTACGGTAGTACTGACCTCTGTTAAGTGATCACCTCTATTTATATAAGTGGCTCTGATGACTCCATACAAATCCTTGTAAAATTGGCTTGGATCGTAAGGTTAACGATCCAGGCCTATTTTAGAAGGATTTATATGGAGTCATCGGAGCATAATGTTGCTTCTCTCCTCACCAATTTGCACCAACAGCTACAAGGTGCAAAGAAAGTCAGTTTTACGGTGTGCCATTCAGGTAAGCTGCAGCTAGCATGGATAAGCCCAAGAGAAAAATGTTTTTAATGAGCAGGATTCATTACAGTTCTTCTGTAATAAAAATTTCCCAAAAAAATTCATTTGCCCATCCCACAACTTAAGAACAGAATTCACTAGCCCGATAACAAAATCCAGTAGTCCCGGGCTATTGGACACAACTCTTTTGCACACTGCAGGATGATTAATTTTTTGGAATTTATGTGAACATTTTTAATCTCGTTCTTTCTGGATACACCACGCCAACCAGTCCATAATTTCGCAAATTTAGTTTTTGTGATGGCATCACTTCACTCTTCACTCTATCGAATCAGGCCATAAACTTGTACTTACCATTTGAAAGCAATAGAATTTGCTGTTCCAACAAAGTACACGTAAACAACTTAACAATGTTCTCAGTACCAAGCAATGTGAAAAACGCCTTGAATGAGTAATCAAATAATGGAAGTTCATTCATGCCAGGTCTTTGACAGGTGATGGTCAAATCATTGCAACTAAACCTCATTGTTTTTCCAGCTGGAGGCAGTGGAACCTCGTACAATAGATTATAAATATATGACTCCAAAGGTAAAGATAACAATTTCTCATTCTGTGCAGCGTTATATAACTGCTCTAAGAAAAACTTTCCAGCGGAGATGAATGGCAGCGGCATGATAATGCAGATCGATTTGGAAACTAGAAGAGAATCTTTATTAATATTAAAGGTTCTCTTATTGGATATATTCAGCAACTCAGAACTTGTGTTTAGATGGTCACTATGGCTTAGTGTCTCCACGGAGCCAACATTGTCTGTTGTTATAAATACTGGTGATTTAGAACGTGATCTTGATTTTACAATGGCTAATTCAGCTTCATGCATGGCTTGTAAAGTGTCCATAGCTTTACAGATCTGAGGATCTTTAACAACTTCATAGAAATTAAGAGCACATCCATAAACCCTTGATCCATCCTCACGAGTGATGAGAAAAGAATGAAAACTAGGTTCATGTGGCTCTGATTCCTTTTTGAATGTTAATCCCTGGGGTAAACACAGCTGAAATGAATAAAACAGTATGTATCAATTTTCATACATGTAGTACATAGATACTTGCACCCATGTACAATTTGGCCAGCCTGTAGGTTGACCCAAGAAGACCTCAAGAGCTTTTGTCAGGCAGACATTCTAAAATAACTTGTCACACACAATCTTTCCAAGCAACCTCATTCCCAGGGTTCTCTCCAACCCATCTAGGGTTCGTACTCTTTTGAGTTCTTCAAATTCCATGACTTTCCATGACTTTTTCCATGACCTTAGGTTTAGCTGTCACTTTCAAAAATTATCAAAACTTTACTTGTTCAAAAACACATTTTTTGACCCCAAACAGTTCAACAGAAACAAACTATGGTATCCACCAAAATGGGTGTCGTTCACAATGTTTAATTACTCCTCTTTATCTTACAATCATTATTCTTGCTTTATCATCTGTAGTAACTAATCTACCAAACAAAACTTTAATTTTCCATGACCTTCAAGGACAGAAAATTATTAAATTCCATGACTTTCCAGGCCTTGAAAATGAAATTCTTAAATTCCATAACTTCCCAGGTTTTCCATGACCTCTACTAACCCAACCATCCCTACAGAGGGAGGGAGTGATAGAGAGACTGTCTCTTGATGGGTAGAAGAGAACCCTGGGAACCAGGTTACTTCCCATGAGCCAGAGCTTGTCTTGGTTATGTACAGTAGCATTCAGAAGCAGGGTTAATTGGCCAGGAAATTGTTACAAAATGTAACTTTTGTGGGTGTCCACCTAAACTGTCAAGCAAGCAGTTCTGAAGACTTTTTCTATGGAAGCTGGTTGTTAACCAGCTGAACACCCATTTGGAATGGATATGACTGGCCTTCATCACCATCTTTGAAACCCCATCTTAGAGCAACTTTTCATCCTATTAATGACAGTTCATTACTATTTTACTGCTACAATGGTGGAACTATCATGCATTTTATGTAATATACCCAGTTCCAGGAAATGTCTCAAGCATGCATGGCTGCCTGTTCCTACAGTAGATCAGAAGGAGCTTTGGGCAGTACAAAAGTTTACATTAAAAAGGTATTACAATGTACTGTATGTCGAAGACCTTCACCCTACTCAGGATTAAAGCAAGGCCCACAGTTAAAAAAACTTATTTTTGCAAAATAAGCTTACCATACGGACAGCGTCCTCGTCAAAAGGATTCCATTCAACATTTGAAGGAAAATGCATTAAAACCTTGGCTTTAAAGGAACGTTCCAAGGGAGAGATATGCAAAGAATCACCTGGACAAGCATAGAATAATAATTACACAGGTTATGTAAAGGGTGATTTTTGATATAGGGTTTGTTGCAATAAATGTGCATTTTGGACAGATCCAGTGCCTCTTTTAACCCTTTAAGTCCCAATAGTGACCAACATCAATGTTCTCCTGACAATATCCGTACATTGTCAAGAGATACGGTTATGAGAATTGACAAAATGATTACCAAAGAGAGATGCCTTGATCTTTGAACAAATTCTCTCAACTCATTCTTTAATGAAATGTATGGAGACCAGTTTGGATAATTTGTTTGTGGATATTGGGACTTAAAGGTTTAAAGAGACCAATAATAATATTTCAAACATCATCCCAGTTCAGTTTAACCCTTTAAGCCCCAATATCCACATACAAATTCTCCAAACTGATGTCTATACGTTTCCTTTAAGAATTAGTTAGAAGAAATTGATAAAAGATCAAAGTATTTTCTCTTGGGTGATCATTTTATTAATTCTCATATCCTAATCTCATGACAATGTATGGATATTGTTGGGAGAAATTTGCTGTTGGTCACTATTGGGACTTAGAAAGGGTTAATTCATTCCTTACTGTCAATGATACACATTAGCCAGACTGGACTAAAAATAATGTTAGAGATTTTATTTTGTGAGTAGAAACTGCAAGCACACAATAGGTCTGATCCTGAGAAATAGAAAAGAAGAATATAAGCAGTCAAGAACCCATTGCCAGGCTGCCAGTATAAGATTGGTCAGCTGCTAAGCTACACGTACATGTATACCTGCATGAGTTATCCATGCAAATCTATGGATGACTGTGCAAGTTTCACTGAAACTTTCACTGTCTGGATAAGATCAACTGTGGTAACCGTATATAGATTTTATGTAAAAAAAAACAAAATTCATACATTAAGAACACTCTTCCATGATTTATCACACTGAGGTACCTTAATCACAGCACAAAGTAAAGTTTTAATGTATAAAGAAATGAGTCACCCTGGTAGACTGACTTGAAAAAGGGTATTGAAGCCAATATTCAAGAATAATTATTATTCAAAGAGGAATATCACAAGTAAAATCTACCTTCAACTTTTTGACAGAATTGTCTCTACATAGTTCCCCTTTATGATTTAAAAACTTTGGCTCAACTGTAGAATATTTAACCACTTATTTCCATTTCTCACTCTTAAAATCGTGATCAATAAAAAGAGAGCACACTTCAGTGTATTACTCTTCAAAACGGCTACAGATAATGTAAACAAGAGGTTTAGGAATTTTCCTCTAGTAACACTGCAACGCCTCTAAGATGATAAATAATTCCTACACCTACTTTAATTAAATTTTGAACATTTGAACACACAGGCACAAAAAAATATGTTTAAGGACGACATCCATGCATGTGATACTAAAAAAAGATAAATAACAAGTCGTCGCCATGATATAATCATGAAAGATATTATCACTACCATCCCCCACAGGAGAATTATCTTAAGAGGAAACCAGGATCGAAAACATTGCAAGATAAAATGATGATGCTATAAAAGGTAAGCAGTAACCACGTCGTTCAGCTATGCACGATTTCTGTCGTAAGCTGGTTGGAATTCTTTTCCAATTTACTGCGGGATGCATTTAGTCTTTAATTTAGCTAATTTTTGCTTTACAAAAATTGCAATCAGCCCCTTTTTGATGATACATTTTTGAAGAATCTAAACAGTTCATTCATAGCAGTAAAATCTAAGCGGATCGAAGTACAGAACGCTTCATGACTGACTGCTGTCTAATGGCGAAAACTGGCAATTGGTGGAAAATTATTCGAGAACAGTAAAAAAACTTAAACATTTAATTCTCCATGGCAAACTCTCTTAATTGGAAAAGCCTACCCACATTTCGTACCTTAAATATTGGCGAGATTCGACGGTCTAAATTCACTCTTAATGCATTAGAAAAAAACAAAAACAATAGCCCTAAACTGAAATCGCGCACATCTGCCTCGTTAACGACATGGATTCCCGGGTCCTGCGAATACTATTATTTTCTCACAAACCTGACAACTGATCAGCTTCAAGCCCGGTTACAAGGTCTAAGCCACTAACTGCAAAGTAGTCTGCAAATCGCTGGCCGGCGCTTGAGGACATCTTAGTTAGGCAAAATAAATTTTACTCAAAGAAGGTTGAACTTGGAGAAAGTGCCATCCCAGATGTATCAGGCTGAGCTCGTTAAGCATACATGAGGTACAAAATGTTCAACACCACGACGCTTTGACTTATGGGATACTACATGCGACTTGGAGAAAGCTTTTGAAGACTAGCAGAAGAATAATCGCCGTAAAATGGTATGGTTTGCACTCTTTTAGTCGTAATGCACCAAGCGAACGACACACCATGATTCAACACTCATCTGCATTATTTTTCAGGCGTCAGGAGGTTATCCTCCGTCCTCAGGAAGCGGTCAGGGTTATTCAAGTAACCCACCACCTGTCATGATGGCGCCCACAGGCTACGCGGTAAAACTTTGTTCTATTCCTTTAAAGTCAAGCCTTCTTTATTACAAAATATCGTTGGGTTTGGGTAAGCATTAGGGTTAAGTTAAGAATTGAAGAGATTGGTTGTGGTATCCTGTGGTACGTTGACATGATGGCATGAGATGCATTTTAACTAGTCCATGCTGCAAAGCCTAAGCTTATCTAATTAAGCTAAAGGCTTTCTTACTATAGTCTCGATTTTAAAATTCTGCGCTCTTTTCTTGCAAACACATCTCGTAGTGTTTTGGTGAATGAAACATCTGAAAAGGAAGCAAGCTTTCCTTATTCAATTATTATATATGTCCGAAAAAGTGGCACCTAGCTGATCAAGTTACTGTAGTGTATGAATGTCCCAAGGCAAATGTGGCCAGGTGGTAAGATGCACTGGACGAGCATATGAGTGGTTGAAAAGGTGATAAGTTGTGATATGGCAATATAGTTGTTCCCGGGTGTTCCTGTATATATTTTCGCTCCAAAAAATACACTAAACACTGATCCTCTACAACCCCTCCCGGAATATAGTCAGTTGTAAGGTACCCTAGAAAAAGGAAACATTCAGCAAAACATGTGCTATTTTCCTGTATAACATCCCATTTTTGATCGTATGTAAACCAACTTCAACCATCGAACCTAATGGAACTCAATCAAATTTTGATTGGGTTCGATTGATAAAAAATTTTTGTGAGAGTTTAAGTGTGTTTGATGACCAAACTTAATCATACCCAATTGTTCAATTAAGGTCAATTAATAAAAAGTTCGATTTGGTTTGAGTGGTTACGTCAGCTATGAACTTGAGTCCTGATGAAAGTTAACATGTACTCTAGATATCAGAGTTTTTCCTTTTGTGCAGTGGGGATACATTGTACGTTGATGTCGTCAGGCCAGCACATTTTCAGCCAAAGGCCTAAAGTCACAAGCAGGAAAGCCCAAGAAAAATTCTAGTATGAATTCCCATTTATCTTGTCTGTTGAACTTTGAGCTTTTCCATTTGATTACATTATTTTGAAAAAATCAGATTGGACATCTCCAACTATAGTATTCCTTTGTTGATAAAAACATAATTATATTAGTAAAATCATGTTCTAGACATAATAAGTAAGTCGAAAATTGAAAAATACATTGAATGCGATAAAAATAATACAAAGTTAGATTTGCAAAATATAAATATATAGATTTGTCCAGGGCTTAAAGCAAAGCTCTCTTTAATATACTTCTAGTTTACCCCCCAAAAATATATAATTTCAAGTAATGCTAATGACAACGGAAACAAAGATGGCAAAAAAAATCAATAGGTCTAATTAGCAATAAACAATTTTGCAAATGCTGCAGACAGTTTTGTACATTTCTTTACCATTGTTTTGCATGACTACAATTAATGTGATACTTCCTAGTTACATGTTTTATGGCCCAATTTGACAACTATCAATTGACTAGACTTGCTATAAGTCGACCTCTTGGCGAGCGGAGCGAGCCTCTTTACTTCGCGAAGCGGCCAACCGAGTATTCAAGTTGCGAGAGGTCGACTTGTCTCGCTTGAGGGATTTACATTTGCGTTTCCCGCCAAACATGGGGAGTTGCGTGACTGGCCTTTGGGGTTTCAGGTTGCATTTGCTAGTCCTAAACTTCATTAGCGGAATGTAGTATTTCCACTCCAACAAAAACAATCGAACGGGTGTGCCGTTCTGTGACATCAAAAGAGCAAATTTAAGTACTTTGTGTTAAAGTTGTCACAAACGAAGATTTCAAGTCAATGAAATGGAAATGTGCGCTTCAGATCTTGATACTGGTGAGTAAAAAAAATCACAGCAAAGAACTGAAGGAGCCCTTTTTGTAGCGCGTGATGTTTTTCCCAATCGACCGACAGTTTGATTGCGGCGCTGCTATGCAGCAATGCAACAATATAAGTGGATTTCGGGAATTTTCATGAGGAAGCGAGTACTCTAGTTTCTCTTCAGATTTCAAAATATCCTCTAGCTGTTTTAGCAATCATCTGCGCGATCCTATGCAACCAGAATTGCGTTTTGAGACCTGATCTTTGAGCAGTCGGCAGAACAATCACCAAGACGATGGCATTGCAACCCTCGCCAAAATGGTCAAAAGTGATGAAGCCGGCTCAAAAGTCAGACTTTGCCCAGGTCCGGTTAAAGCAGACACATCATGTATGAGAAGTAGCTTCCCCCCCTTGTCATGTACATATTAAGCTTCGATTGTTTCCTCTGTCCATTGCCACGAGAGCATTTGCTTTCGCAATGGACAAGTCACGTTTTAATGTGCTTAATTATCTGTGAGCAACAACTTTATCCCCAAGGGTCCCAAAGAGCTACTTTGATTGGTCTAAGCGCAGTGATCCATTTTTGGGTCGCTAAATCAAGTAAGAAAAGTCCTTCATCCCACACCATATTAAAACTGACGAAGGACTTTTTTGAAAGTCTATCAATTGACCTTCATGAGGATGGCGAAGCGTATTTATTTTTCTATGTCAGTAAGGGTGACATTTTATATCAGCTGACATGTAAGGGTAAAACAACCGATCTTACACCTGAATCCCCCATACAGTCATGTGATACTTGTCAATGGGTGCTGATTTTGACAGCTGTCAGTTCATCTTCGTATGAGTGGCTTAACTGACAGGGTATTATCATTATTTTTATGTTTTTGTAAAGTACAAGACAGTAGTAAATGTGATACAGACGGTCACCTGAGTATCAGATTTTCTGGTATCCTTAGGTTACCATTTTCTCTTACACATGGTGCTCTGCTGCATGCGTTTCGCATGGCAAGAGCTCCGCTTTTATGTTCCTGGACAAATTATACTAAGCAAATGCTGAGTTACAAAAAACATGCGTACATGTAGATATTTGAAATTTGAATGAAAAGAGTGGGTCAAGTTGTCCTGTCAGTTGATGGCTTCATTCCACAGAGACGAGGGAGGGAGGGTGGGGGTTGTTTTTTTTTCCTTGGGGAGAGGGGAGGGTCTGTTGTTTCTGATTGGTATTGGGATTGCATTGGAAAGCAACAAACAAACCAAAGAGAAAATGTCTGCCCCAAATGTTTCTGTGCTAAAGGAGAAACCATTGCCTAATTTTGCAACTTTGCAGCACTTTCAGCACTTTTACAAGGACCTTTCTTGCACATAGCCCTTCAATAATATTATTCCTGCCTCCTCTGACCAGCGCTTGTGCCTCTTGAATCCCAATATATGTTTTGTTTTAGGATTTTGAAGATTTTCTTAATTTTTTTCATCTTACCTGTTCAAAGGTCATAAAATAATAGTGCCAACAATAGTCAACATAGGAACTTCTTTGTCCTATGTTTGTTTGTGTTATAGGTACCAGGAATGCCAATGATGGCACCAGGATATGGTCCTCCTGGCATGCCACCTTTCCAGACTGTTGCCATGCCAACTGGCCAGCCAATGGGTTTTGCTCCTGGCAGTATTCCTGGGATGCCACCAGGTTATGCCCCTCAAATAGCTCAACCAAGCATGCCACAAGCAGTAGCAGGAGCATATCAGCCAATGACCAACACTGGATCACCAGCCATGATGAGTAAGACAGTAAATTAATAATATTCTCAAATAGCGAGGGATGTTACATTTGTTATTGTGGCTTTCGATTTTGAAAAAAAGGATGTTTTTTATGATTTTGATTTATCAGGTTTTAATATTTAAGTCCTTGTTTGTTTGTTAAGCTTATTTTTTCAAAGGTACATTTTGAGGGCATTTTTGAGATTATATTCAGAGGGGCTTATCTAAGAGGAATTTTGAAAAATCAATTTAATTATAGTTGGAAGGAAATTTATTTTTGTATTTTGTATTTGTTCTTATATTATTTTTATTATTTAATGGAAGGTTTTTATGATTTTGATGGGGGCTTATATCTGATTATGATTATTTTCAATTTGATATTTTGATCTGCAATTTAAAAGTTTTGAAGAAAGAAATGAGTTTAATTTAGTAGTCCTTACATATTTTGTGTTATTATATTATTGTTATTACAACTATTATGATTATGATGATTATGATTATGATTATTATTGTTAAGGCTGAGTTTAAAAAGTCATTATCAATCCAATTCGCTCGTGATTGATCATAGGTCCTCCCCTAGTGTTTTGCCATCTGACTCTTAATTTAGCAGTAACTGTTGCCTTGTGCCACATAAGTCTTCTCATATGTTGTTGTGTGCCTCCAAGTGTGTCTGGGCTTCCCTCTCTTATTCTTCTCCTATGGGTTCCACTCAAGGGCTGTCTTAGCCACATGTCCATCTGGTCTCCTCAGCGTGTGGCCAATCCAACCCCACACTCGTTTTTTTATCTCCTCTCCTACCAGTCACTGCCCTGCCTGCCTCCACAACTCTTCTTTTCAGATTGTATGGAGCCATCAAATGTACAGGATTCTCCTTAGGCACTTGTTAAAAAACACCTGCAACTTCTGGTTCAGTTCCTTGGTCAGTCTCCCAAGTTTCTGCACCATACAAGAGTACAATCTTCACATTTGACCCAAAGACTCTCAACTTGGTGCTAGTTGTTAGTGACATGAACTGCTATGTCAGTCTTGTATTGCAAACACCTTCCTTTCCTTCCCAATTCATTCCTTGATGTCCTACTCAGTTACCCTACTAACTCACAGTACTGATAAGTTACCGACACTTATTCAGTTCCTTTATTTTTCTTACAATCATCACTCCATCCCCCAGTTTGCCCTTTGTCTTTGTGTATTTATCTTCAGGTCAGCCTTTGCCCACTGTTCCTGACAAGCCTGTGTTTTGTCCTTCATATCCTGTATCCTGTGTGACAAAGAGGCCAGATCTTATAATGATCTTATGTGGGACCACTGAACACCATGCTTCCTTATAATGATTATCCTTGTCACCCAATCCAGAGTGACCTGAAACTGCTAGGGTGACAGTGGGCAGCCTTGTCTTACCTCCTGTTTTCGTGCTCAGTTGTGTGGACCTCTGGCCCCAGTTGTTCAGATACTGCATAGCACTATCTTCTAGATAGATCACTATCCAGCAGATAAGACTGTAGTGTTAGGGAAACCAACAAAATATTGCATTATCCACTGGTTAGGGTTATCCACCTTTTTGAATGTCTTTCGCCTGACCATTATGCATAACCTTTGCCGTAAAACTCCCATACGGAGGTCTATAAATAGTGACTTCTTGACAGGCACAACACCTCTATGCTGACACTGTCAGAGGCCTTTTCAAAGAGTATTAAGTTGATGTACAAAGAGGACTGCCACTCAACCAATACTCTGTTCTCAGTGTTACTCTATGGTCCATGCAGCTCTGACCAGCTTGAAATCATGCTTCCTCCTCTCTCAGCTTCTTGTCCAATGCCGTTTTAATGTGCCCCAAAAACACAAATTAAAACACTTTACTTGCCATGTTGACCAGCATGTTTATGATGCCAGGTCAGCTTTTACTGTGGCTCAGATTGCCTTTCTTTTGTAGCTTGATTAACACACCTTTGTTCCATTCTTCGAACACCTTCTCCTCATTCCATATCCAGTTGCAAAAGCCCACAAGAACCTCCTCTGACACCTCACCTTTAGCCTTAATCACCTCTGGTGTATATTGTCACAACATGGTGCCTTTCCACTCTCACACTGTAAGCTTCTTCGTAGCATTCTTGATCTCAGAACTTGTTTATGGAGCCATGTCCACCCATTACCTCTGTTCTGCCAGTGTTGTCTGTACCAACCTTAGCATTCATGTCTTCCATTTCATTCTTAACATCCTTGCATGGCAAGTTCCCAAACACGGCCTTCAACTCTTCATAAAAGTGATCCATTGCCTCATTTGTTGGGGCATAATGACCGTGGCCCATCTTCTTGGAGCTGGGAAGTTATCAGAATTGTGCACGTACTCATAGATGGGATCAATAATTCAAAATAGTGCTTGTTACAGTTTGCCCAAGGGACAAGCAAATGTTGGTCAGCACATTTTACTTTTCTTGCTTTTGACAGTTCCTACTGCTGCTGTGGCACCGCAGCAAGTTGTTGCGGGAAGCACCAACTCACCCTCTGTTGTGAAGCAGGTTCAGGAACAAGAGAACAAAGCTATGGACAGTCCATCACAGAACAGTAAGTCAGAACAGCAAGATGACAAGGATGGAGAGGTGAAGAAAGAGAAAAAGAAAGTCAAGAAACCCAAAGAAAAGGTACTATGATCAGAGAATTGTAATTTTTATGACGTTATTTTTTTTTTGATAATTTGTTGTGAAACACTGAAAGTGATTTTGGTTAATTGAAGACCTACCAACATAAAAGCATGACAGTCAAGGAAACTACAAGCAGTTCCATTTAAACAATATTTGCTGATGACAAGCTCAAGGAATAGTCCTCGAAATAAACTTTAAAATACTCAAAATCTAATGCCTGTTTTCTTCAGTCTTTGAGGCAACACTATGCAAAATTATTTGGTTTCTTTTTGGATAAGTCGGCGGTTATTTATGCCAATAATTGCTGCTGGACTGATTCTTATGCTATGCAATTCTCGTAGCACACAACAAGGATCGTGTAGCTCGCTATGTGATTCTCGTCATGCAGGAAAGGGGACATGACTGGTATCTTCATTTTTCTATGATGCTGTACTATTAGAATTTTTGGATCTACTTGTTTATAATACTTGTAATCAAGTACATCTGTACATATTAGTGATGCAATACTTTTGAGTGGTATAGCTTGAAATATCCAGTCATAGTTCTAAATTACCATCAAGAATATACAATAAACAAGCACAGAAATAAACGAGTAAAACTTTGAATTATGTATACTGAACTGTATTGTTCTACATATCAGTGCAGTCAGTGTAGCTAATGTAGTCAGTGTGGTCAGTGTAATTGGTGCAGTCAGTGTAGTTGGTGTAAAATAGCATCTCATGACAAAATTTGTAAGGTTGTTTTTTGGTATGCATTTTTTAGAAGAACAAAACTCCATGGACAGAACACAAGGCTCCGGATGGGAGAACATACTTCTATAACACTGAAACGAAAGTCTCCACCTGGCAGAAACCAAATGAATTGAAGACTCCAGGAGAGGTAAGACATAAAATAATGATAAATATCATCTTCAACAGAATAAATGGGATACCAACATGCATTCTGATAGGTATAAAAAGCCTGCTTTTTACACCGGTGCATGTACAAGTAAACACATGGTTAACAACTGGCACTTAGTGGAGGTGGGTGCCTGGGATGTCTAGGGGCTTCCACTTTTGGCACAGCCAGCCCCTAGACAGAGTTACACCCCCATAGCCGGCAAACCTGCATCCTCCAGCCATGAGTTCCCATGCCAATGGAACCAGGCACCTGTCACACTGATTTATCAGTGGAAAAATAAAGGGGGGAGGGATGGGGGTAAAAGAATGATTCAGAGGCTAAACGAAGAGAGTGGCCGCCAGAAAAAATGGTGTACTGAGCACATGGAGGTGACGCAAGGAAGGGTGACTGCGCCTGATCCAAATGACTGACCGCTGACCATACCAGTGCTCCTCGTTTTTAACTGTGTTAAATAAATTTAACTTCATAAAATGAGCTTTTGTCATGTCTTGCAAGCAGGGCATTTTGTACAGTCCTCTAAACTCTGTCTCTCCTGGAAATTTGAAGCTATTCATTTTTGAGAAGATTCGCTAAAATGTAGTTTACTTGCACAAGCTTATGACATGGTTGCCACATCCAAGAATTAACCATTCAGGAAGAAAACAGGAGAAAAAAGGACAGCTCATCACAAAAAAAAATTAATTTAATAAAAAATTGTTGGCAGGTCCTTGAAGTTATTTTTTTAAGGCTGGGCAGTGACATATGACGAAGAATCCCTTAGCATTTGTGAAATCATTACCTGAAATTTGAGACCAAGAATCTGATCAGTTTTGCTTCATAAAAACAATCATACATGTATTGCAAGACAAAAGGAACTACAAAATGAGAAAACTACATTCTAGACCCTTCGCATTTAATTTATTAAATTCTCTCAATTATCATCAGATTCAAGTAGACTCATGTCCATGGAAAGAACACAAAGCTGACACTGGCAGAATATATTATCACAACACTGAAACGAAAGAGTCAACTTGGACAATACCAAAGGAATTGGCTGAACTCAAAGGCAAGTACTACGCTAACTAATGGTCATATCAGAAACGAACTGCCTTGTCACGTGGTTGCAAACCAAGAATACACTGAGAAAAGGTCTGCCTTTTTGGCTTTTTTTTATTGTTGTGTGTTTAAACTGAACTAAACATTAATGGTTGGCAAATTTCATTAGGGGGCATGACTGAAGTTCAGACATGTTGAATTACATGTAACTTGCTTACAATACTATAACATCCTAATGAAAAAGACAAAAAGATTTCACCGAAACTGCAAAAAAGAGAGAGAGAGTGCTTTTCAGTGTGTAATTTATTGAAAGCACCACAAACTAATAACATAAGCTTTCACTTTGAGCTGGATTTGTAAGGGAACCTTGTTCTTGTTGGAATAGCAATCTAGGGTGGCCAAAGTAGCATGTATTATGTTTTTGAGCTGGCCACAACTACTGCTGTACTATCCCTCAAAATTTTAAAGCAAGAAACACATTTCTAACCCCTTTGTGATTTGTTCAATTTTCAGAGTTGATCAAGCAAGAGCAAGAAAGAGACGAGTAAGCGTTGTTATGATGTGCTGTTTTAAAACCCAGCAAAAGTGTTTTATCCTGTTTAGATTACAATGCACGAATGTAGCTGAGTGGCAACAGCTACAAACTTGAACAAAACTCTTGATAACATTTCATACTTGCAGAAAATTTTTCTAAACATTTTAGCTACAGTGATTCTTCCTTCCCCGCCTCCCCCCAGAAGCAGTGTTGTTGTGCTTCATCCCTAGGCGGTTGTAGGAAGTAACATTGAACTGGGTGAGGGGGTTTTCTTTCTGCAAGGCCTTTGATTTGGAAACAGTTTTGTTGTGTAAGGTAGTGCGTATTAACAAAAAAACATTCTTAAGTAGTTCTGTCCTGGATTGTTAAACCACAATCCTTTTGAATCGGTTAAAACAAAACTTTGAATAGGTCTGGTCATTCTTCAAACAATCCTTACATGTATAGAAGTTTTGAATCATCAGAGTGATGAGTGCAACACAAGCAACTTAAAAAATAAAAAAATCAGAGTCTTACCAACAGCAGTGAAACCTATTAATTACCTTGTGGTTACTATTGCACATCCCTAGGCTCTACCCCTGAATAGTCATCATAGTTTCCCCTAGCAGTCCTTGAATCATTTTGAAACTTGCTTGAAGGCTCTGAACATTAATCACACAAGTTCTTTGCCCATTTGGGTGAGAGAAGAGACACCATTTGAACATTTTTCAGCAAAGATTTCTTATGACCAATTTTTCCAAGTTTTGTGATGATGTTACTTGCTTCGCCACAAAGAATCTAATAGATCAGACTTAAAGAGTTACTTGATGTGTCCTATTGTGTGGAAACCAAGTCCTTGAAAAAATGGTATTAATTCTGGGAAATGTCCTTGAAAATGAAGTTTTAGTGCTAGAACTATGTTTGAAAATATCACTCGTTAAACTTTCATTTCTGTTTTTTATGTTAGGGAAGAGGAAGAATCTGAAGAGGAGGAGGAGGAAGAAAAAGCGGAAGCAGATGGCAAAAAAGCTGATGAAGGCACATCACAGGATTATCCAATGGCAAGGTATGATAGAAATTATCATCCTTGTTGTCTGTACATGCATTTTTACAATGATTGCTTGTGCCTGTTGGTGTCATGCAAACTATAAAAAGGTTGCCTTACTTGTATACAGTGTACTTGTTCTAAAGCTCGAAGAATGAGCATTCTACTTTCAATTGATTGCTTTGTGCGGTTAATAGCAGATGATAGCTACGTCACTGGCTAATAGCAGGCAGTGATAGTAATAATATTGTGTCAAGTGAGGAAACGTAATATTATCGCAATGGTGTCCAAACACTATCCCAAACTTCAAATACCATCTTTGTAAAATGTTTAGGAATCTAAAATGGATTGAGACTAAAGTACTTGTAACTTCCCAGAATATCCTTTTCCTACTAAGCTACTCATTTGCTGTTTGTTTCCCTGGTTTTTCACTTCTACTTCACATAATATTTTTGTTTGTCGTTATGTATAATCAGTTGAATAATCACACATGCAACTAGGTGCCCAGGGGAATCACCTCAATGCTGTCGTGATAACAGAGATGACAGAATTTTAATTTTGTGATGCTATTGTTGTGTGTTTTGCCCCACAGTGCTGTGAATGTCAGTGAGACTCCAGTTGTGGCCACTGTAGAGAAAAAGGAGTATGTGTATGAAACCAAAGAAGAAGCCAAACAAGCTTTTAAAGAACTCCTCAGAGAAAAGGCAAGTCTTATGTATGGCCCAGTGATACAGTGTAACACTAACATAACATAACATAACATACATGTTTATTCAAACTCATAATAACTACATGAATTTGAAAGGGAGAGTCTAGAGGTTAACCCTATGAATAAAACTCTCCTAAAAACAACAAACAAACAATAAAAATTACAACTTTAAAAAGGATTTGAGTTTACATTTAAAAAGTTCAAGGGAACCGGCTTCAACAACATTACTAGGTAAATTGTTCCAGTAACTAATTACATTGTTAAAAAAAGAATATTTAAAACAGTTGATTCTAGATAATTTACAATAAAGCTTATACGAGTGATTTGCCCTAGTGGATTTGACTTTTGCGAATTGAAAGAATTCCTCAAAATCCAAGTGTGATAAGCCAAACACGATCTTGTAACATTCAACAAGAGAGGAATATGTCCTACGACTGGACAAAGATGGCCAATGTAACGAGTCACAATGCTCTTCATAAGACATATCACCTCTTTTTTGCCTAAGAGCTAATCTTGACGCGCGTCTTTGCACGCTCTCTATTGCATGAATATCTTTGACAAGATATGGGCTCCAGACTGGAGCAGCATACTCTAGAAGTGGTCTGACCAATGTTTTGTGAAGCAATGAAAAAGTTGTTGTATTAGCTGTTCCAACAGACCGTCTTATTAGCCGTAGGACTTGGTTCGCCTTATTCACCATAGTACTAATATGTTCACTCCAAGTAAGATCTTTTGATATAATAATTCCAAGATCTTTAAAGCTCTTGACATCTTTTAAGGCCGTACCTAGTTTATAATTCCTAGTCGATTTGTCACGAGAATGCATGAGAAATAACCAAAGGTTATGAAGTACGGGCGACAATGATCGAAGGTCAAAACTCTTTTTCTCAGACACTCTGCTTTGCCTAAGTTTCATGTGATAGATAATCAAGACACCTGCAACTAAATTACAACTGATAGAAGGTCCAAACGCACGTGATCATGGATTGTGTTTGATGCATTCCATTCATTCTTAGTCATACGTGCGGAACATGCGTAATAAGAACCTGGAGAATAGGATTGTAGGAGACAGACAGAGTTGACAGAGTTGCTTGATCAATAACAGGGTGCCCAAACCTGTGTTACAATGAAGGGTGTAAGTGATCACTGAGTGAAGTGACACAGTTTAATCCTAGTCTGGCTAAAAAAAGGTATTTACAAGCCATGTATTCCTCATTATCCTTAACAAAATGCGTTTCTGCTTTGCTTGATGCAGGAGGTCCCATCTAACTCTTCTTGGGATAATGCAATGAGAATGATTGTCAATGATCCCAGATATGGAGCATTGAAGAAAATGAATGAGAAGAAGCAGGCATTCAATGAGTACAAGACAAAACGTGCCAATGAAGAGAAGGTAGGGAGCAATAATTATCCTCTCATCTTTTTTTATGGTTATTTCATTCATTTTCAACTTAAAATCTTGAAAATCTTTCAATATCCTCCTTATTGACACAATTTCAGCGCCATGGGAACTCAAAATTTCTCATCCAGAAACTTCTATCCACTGGAGTTTCATAAACTGTGCCTTTTGATAGTGGTAATAGGATTGAGTGGAGTCCAATTCAGTCTTTAATCATACAAGTGATTAACAAAATTGCGGGAGTCCCATTTGTTCAATCATGAGTATGATTACAGATACAATTGGGCGACACAAAGTTCTGTTACCAATTAATCATAACTATAACCAAATTTGTGATATTTTAAAATAAAACACGGAAAATTCCGAGAGTTTTTTTCGCTAGCAGTGAAAAAAAGCCATTTAAGTGTGCACAAGCACTGGTGCGTACTGGCCAATTACTTAGGCATGATTCGTACTATCCTATTACACTGTCCTATCAGCGTTGAAATCAGACCAGTTGATAGCCAATCAGATTTTTATTATAGTCATAATTAATGAAATTACTGTAAAATTCCGAAAATAAGCCCCTCAGTGTATAAGCCCCCCAAACTTGTAACGCAAAAAAAACCTCCGTTAAATCGCCCCTCCAAATATAAGCCCACCGGGGGCTTGTACTTGGCAATTGCCCTCAAATACAAAGTAGAACAAAACAAAAAAGGTAAATTTCCTTCCAACTATAAGGCTAGCCCAATCGATTTTGAAACGCAAGTTTCCCTCCATAGATAAGCCCCTCCGAATATAAGCCCCTCCAAAACTAAGCCCCTCAAAAAGGGCCTGTGAAAAATAAAAGCCCCGGGGCTTATTTTCGGAATTTTATGGTAACTTAACTTCATTGATATTGTGACTGGCAAGTATTGTATATAACTGAGTTGGTACTACATGACAGATATGCATGGTGAGACTTTTAAATATTAAACACTCAAGCTGATCAGTCGAGTTTCCTTGCCTGTGTCTTAGTTATATCATTGTTGATTACACAGTGTATTCCATGAGCACTTTGTTTATCCTATGTTTACAGGAAGAACAAAGAGCAAAAGCCAAGAAAGCCAGGGAAGATCTACGCAGCTTTCTGGAAAGTCACAAGAAGATGCATTCTTCAGTTCGCTGGCGCAGGGCCTGTGAAATGTTCGATAGTGATCCTATGTGGGAAGCAGTTCATGAAAGAGACAGGAAGGATGTGTTTGAAGATGTTGTGTTCTTCCTGGCAAAGAAGGAGAAAGAGGAGGAGAAGGAACAGCGAGCACACAACAGGAAGTTGATGTTACAAGTCTACAATACCATGTCTTCTATAACTTACAGGACAACATGGGCTGAAGTAAGTCACTGTACAAAATAATCCTAATGACAGTAGAATTGTTGCTCCTAATGAATGATATTTTAGCCATATTATAGTTTTATTTTTGTGGAGACAGCATGGCCGAGCTATAATTGTGCTGGACTTGTAATCCAAAGGCCCCAAGTTCAAATCCCACCCTGGCCGCATTTTGTTCTCATTAGTCCAAAGTTCTAATCCTCGGCAATGCTTGTAAAGTAGCTAACTGGTTTACCTCAAATCATTTGGGATTCTTTTTATGTTCCATTTAAATTATTTGTCTCATTATCCCTGAAAAGCCCCATAAGGGAAGAGGATGTTAAATATCAATGTGAATTAACCTCAAACCAGATTTTGCTAGGGTATGACATTAACATTTTTTCAGGGGCTACTTGATTCCCTAATTAATTTAGAGTGCATGGCAGCCAGTTCCCAAAAGGTTCTCCTTATTATTTTCAGACTTAAGGTGGCTCGATACAGTTTTTTAGGGCCAATACCTCCCAAGTTTGGGCATAAACTATGTCGCCACAAACAAAGTTTTGGAAAAATTGCCACCACAGTTGTATTAGATGAAGATGAAAATTTGTTATGATCAGGCTTACAACGGCATCGGAGTTGTCATAGCAATGAAATGACGCTATTACCTATTTTACTTGCAGCAGTATATCTCGGCACTGGGAACTGTTCCTCGAAAATCATTCACAGGAGCTTTTTCCTCCAACAGCAGCCTCGATGTTCGTGAAGTTTAAGCGAAAGCTGTAAGAGCGTTATCGAGATATTTTGGGATAAAGATTTTGTGGTTAGAAATACGGTAAAAAATGGACAATCTTGGTGTTCGGCTGTTATCTGTAGAAAACGAAGCGCTTTTGACATGCAATTTCACCTAATAGTAGTTTCAATCTTTTTAAAAACTTGTGTTAAGGATCAAGGAGATAGCTCCAGCCGATTGCTAGAAAGAAGGATTTGATTAGTATGTATCAAGGCGCTCTTGTTAGCGGTTTTTTTAACATTTTGGTCTACTTTAACAAATTAGCGAATAATTTTTAAACCGCTCGATAGATTTTTTAAAAAAATTAAGATTCTTGAGATTAACCTTCCTTTTTTATGAGCTATTAGTTTCAAGATTATTGATATATTGTAAGGCAGTAAAATAAGGGTTACAATTCGCTAATATTTTGGCAGAAGTTTTGTGTTTACAAGTGTGAGCTCTCGTTATTCAGGGTATCGTGTCCAAGTTTCACATTTTCGTGCACAACAATAGCTAGCATTTTTGCATATTTCAAATGCATTGTTAGTTACTGCTGTTCACGTGAAAATGAAACTTGGAAACAATGCCTTAAATAATTAGAGGCTTTCACTTGCAATGACGAAACTTCGGATAAAAAAGTAACGAATTGTAGCCCTTATTTTACTGCCTTACAATATATCAATAATCTTGAAACTAAAAGCTCATATAAAAGGAAGGTTAATCTCAAGAATCTTAAATTTTTCAAAAAATCTGTCGAGCGGTTTAAAAACTATTCGCTAATTTGTTAAAGAAGACCAAAATGTTTACAAAACCAGTAACAAAAGGGCTTCGATACATACTAATCAAACCCTTCTTTCTAGCAATCGGCTGGAGCTATCTCTCATGATCTTTCACTCACGCTTTTAAAAAGATTGAAACTACTATGAGGTGAAATTGCATGTCAGAAGTGCTTCATTTTCTACAGATAACGGCCAAACAACAATATTGTCCATTTTTTACTGTGTTTCTAACAATAAAAACTTTGATCCCAAAATATCTCGATAACGCTCTTACAGATTACGCTTAAACTTCACGAACATCGAGACTACTATTAGAGGAAAAAGCTCCTGTGAATGATTTTCAAAGAACAGTTCCCAGTGCCGAAATATACTGCTGCAAGTAAAATAGGTAATAGCATCATTTCGTTGCTATGACAACTCCGATGCCCTTGCAACCCTGATCGTAACAAATTTTCATCTTCATCTAATACAACTGTGGTGGCAATTTTTCCAAAACTTTGTTTTTGGCCACGTAGTTTATGCTCAAACTTGGGAGCTATTGGCCCTGAAAAATTGTATCGAGCCACCTTAAACCCTTGAAATTGTTATTACCCTCAGTTATGTTTGTGAGCCCACACGCAATAAGTACAAGTACAAGGTGGCAACCTTTGACAGAACATTTGCCAATTTTCTTTTTAACAAACAGGGTTGTTTGGATGCCCATTATTTCCACAGAATTCACTTGGATTGTTGATAACTGATAATAGGGAGCTTAAGCAATGACGGCAGTGATGGCAGCGAGAAGGGCTGAAAAGGATTAGGTTTAGATTGGCAAAACACCTTTGCACATGCACTGTATTTGTTTACATTTCCTGGCACGAATACGATGTGAAACCCCCAAATTTCACGTTTTTTGGAGGTTTTAAACTTCTTTTTTCTTCTTCAGCATTTTGATACAGTCCTTTATGATTTAATTCCAGAAAAATTCACGAACATTTGACAAATTGAACAAGACTGAATAACAGTAAAGAAGTTTGCAACACCAAAGACTCACTTTTTGAGTGAAGTTTCCGCTTCCATTGCTGTCCTGGTTGTTTTAAAAGCTCACTAATATCATCGAGAGTTTTTGCTCAATTCAGAAACTTTAGGTGTATTGGTGCCTGTGTAAGTGCAATAAAAGTGTTTCGTGTGGCCCTTTTTTTCTGGGTGCATGTGTTCCCTGATTTTCTGCATTCATTCCTACAGGTTAAAACCATTTTTTTTGAGGTATGTACTCTACCTGATTGAGATTAAGTGTTCTTGTGGACTTTGTTACACAGGCTTTGCAGATGCTCAAAGAGCACCCAACTTATAGAGATGATGAAGAAATAAGAGGTATGCAGAAACATAACTGTATCTATTCTCTAGAGTAAGGAGGTAGCATGGTTGAGTAGTTAATAGCACTTCATACTTTCAGCCTGACAGTCCCAGGTCGAGCCCCATTCTGACCACTGGCTGGAGTTGTCTCATAGTCATCCTTAGCCCGTTCCAGGCTCTCAGATGGTTGGGAAGATGCAAAAGTGGCAGGGCTGGAAAAAGGGAAAAGGAAGGTCCTTCCTCTCCCCAGTTTCGCCCCAATTTTTTTTTTCATGGTCGTGCTTTCTCAATTCAGCGGACCTGACTGTCTCGGAGCCTGAGCACTTCCACTCTAAACACAACATTTTCAATTTTTATCATTTACTGAAGCTCCATCCGCACCCAAGTTACCATGAAAACTAGGGTTTTTGCATCCTTTAGTGTAGATAGGGTATCTGTAGCAAGATATCTTGCAAAAAACCAACCACAATGATACAGGCTTGGTTGAGTCTCAAATTTCGTAATGCCACTGCAACACAATGTTCTTACCAACCCAGCTGCCCGGAAAACTATTTAGCTAGTTACATGTACCTCTGAATAATGGTGGTATGTAGACTCTGTATTGTATTTTATCTTTAGTTGATTGAATTACTGGACTGGGGGGTGTGATTTTTATCTCTTGTGTTGTAAGTGCTTTGTCTTAATCACACAATATCGTCTGGGTAGGTCCCTCTCTTTTGCCTTTGTTGGCTGACGTGTTCGAAGACTTCTCCATGGTCGAGATAAAAAATGATCACTGGTATTCAAAAACAATTAACATACCTACTGCTTGCTTGTCATTTTTTGTAGAATGTGAAAAAGAGGACATGTTAATATCATTTGAGGAACACATCAGAACACTTGAGCAAGAAGAAGAGGAGGAGAAGCAGAGAGAAAAGAACAGAGTCAAACGACAACAGCGTAAAAACAGGGAAGGATTCCTTGTGAGTTCATCACCAACTGCATAAAGTACAACTGCTATTAGACTCTAGTTTACAATGTGGCAGATGTAGATGGGGTTGTTGTTGTCTGAATGATGCTGTTGAAAGTTGCGAGAATGTGGAGCACAGTGATTTTGTTACCACTGCATCCTGCGTCCCTGACATATAAAATCATCCCCAAAGACGCACAAAAGTTCATGGCATGCGTCCCGTTGGACGCAAAGATTAATGATGTTTTTGTAGAATATCCTTTTCGTCTGATCTCTGTGGCTGTTCTTGTGGCTGTTGTTTAAAGACGCATATTTCTTTTAGTCTTTGTTGTGCTTTACAAAAGAATATCTTTTATCTGTCTGATCACATAAAGGCCCAAGAATTTTCAATTTTGTACGTGTTGTTTTTTGAACTGGGACTCATTGGTTCTGGATTGAGACTCATGATTTGTTCACAAGATGAGTCCCAAGACTCACCATAACTATTTGTAACAAAATCAGTAGGAGTGGAAACATTTTTTCTTTATCAACAAAACAAAATATTGTCTCCATAGACTGAGCTATTAATCTTAAACCTAATCATAGGTGTTACTGGATGAGCTTCACAAGAGAGGCAAGCTTCACTCCATGTCTCTTTGGATTGATTTATATCCAACAATCAGTGCTGATGTCCGCTTCACCAACATTGTAGGCCAGCCTGGTGAGTTAACTTTAACCTTTAAACATACTTGTATTCAAGCAAGCTTATAGGAGATGAGATAGCCACCATCATGCAACTGAAGTGATGACTATCAAGCCCCAGTTAGTTGCCATGTCCTTGAAAAGCAAAAGTCTGGCCAAGTCAAGTTAGTGCCAGAAACTGAATGACTAAACGTGGACCTTGGTAACATAATGTCCTTTTCCAAAAAAATAAAAACTGTTGTCAGGTGTGTGATTTTTGTAAAAGAAAAAGGGCGAATGAGAACATCCCATGAACTAATTTGGGAAAACAAAACACATGCTAAGAAAGGGTCTGTAATTTAGACTACAATTCTACAAAGCATTATGAATCAACAAATCTACTCAACTACCCAAAAATCTGTTAGGTCTGATTGCTTGGTTTTATTTATACTCACAATGGTTTTTCAAACAAGTGGATACTAAAACTAGAATATGCATCAAGTATACTACTATTTTTAATTAGGGAATAATATATATGTTTTTTTTAATGTCATACCAACAGGCTCAACACCACTGGACCTGTTCAAGTTCTATGTAGAGGACTTGAAGGCCAGATTTAGTGAAGAAAAGAAGATAATAAAAGAGATATTAAAGGTAGGAACGAGACTAATCGCACTTACCAGCAAATGCCCTCTTGTTATTCTGTATCGACCAGTACCAATAATGATAAATAAACCTTACGATCGTGAAGGGGCCATTTTGAACTTTCACCTTAACCTTGTTTCATCTTGTAAATTCCTTTAAGGAGCTTATGTAACAATTATTCCACGAGTGCGCATTGGATATGGTTTGGCTATAATCATCCCATATCCAACAAGCGTGAGTGGAATAATTGTTTTAATAAAAATGCCCACAAAATATCGAGAATTCTTCTCGACTCTACTTGCAAAATCAACCGATTTTAAGCTTGTTTTTAATTTTGATCAGATGCGCACAGTTAACATATTTGGAGAGCATGGTATAATGCGTGATATACCATGATGGCTAAGCCAATCAGAGCTCTAGAATTTCATAATCCAATGATTCAGTCTTTAAGAATGCCAATTGTTGCCCCTTGTTTCTTCCTGCTCATAAAACACGGTTCTTTACACTTCTTTTTATTGGGCTGGAATCTCTGAAACTGTCACACATTTTCCGGGCTTTTGAAGCAGAAAAATGTGAAAATCAACTAAAATGTGAAATACTTGGAGAATAAACAGGTTTTCTTTATTAAGAGTGCATTAATTTTGTTTGACAGGATCGTGATTTTACAGTTGATGTTAACACTGGATTCAGCGACTTTAATGATCTGGTTAAAAGAGATGATAGAAGTCAAACCCTGGATCCTGGCAACATTAAAATGTCTTTTAACCATGTAAGTTGATGCAATTAGGGTTTTTTCAGGAAAAGAGCCAACAGCAAGAGAAACAGGCTTCCAGAAAAAGAACGCTATGTAAGGTTCTTACTCACGGGGTAATACGTTCATGAAACATATATTTTGACCTAAAAAGACCAATAGTTCTGCCAATGGTAACACCATAGGATTTCAAGGGGATTTCTGAATCAAACTTTAGGTCCACAGGGCTATATTGTCGCGTTAAGGCAAAAATCTTATGAATTTGATCTGTAAGAGCCTTAGTCACTCTTTCCTTTTGCAGTTTATCGAAAAAGCAGAAGCAAGAGAAAAGGAAAGATTGAAAAAGGAAGAAAGAGAGGTAAGAGGTGGCATTACGTTTGTTTTACGACTTTCTTCATAGTACGAATACATTCCAGGGCTGTGCTCTAGCAGCACCCCTCTCGGGCGTCAAGAAAATCTTAGTTTTTCATACAAATCCTATGCTGGGCACCCTGGATTTCACAGGTTCAGAGCACTGGGCTTCTTCGACTTAAGACCTTAGCGAACGGGACGTTAGCAAAGCAAAACGACCAGTCACCGTACTGGGGACGAGTCATATTGTACTTAACAACTGCGTCGCTCACTGGAGGTGGGTGCCCTGCATGTCCAGGGGCTTCCACATCTGGCAAAGCCAGCCCCTAGGCAGAGTTACGCCTACATGGCTGGTAAACCCGTGCCTTCCAACCATGAGCCCCGACGCCCATGGAACGAGGCACCTGTCACACTGATTTTTCAGTGGAAAAATAGAGAGCGTTAGACTTGAGAACGAGTAAGAGTACAAGATCTAACTTTAAAATGTTTTTGCGCGTGTACTTATGAAAAAAAGACGTCCTGGAAAGCTTCATTTTACCTTTTTCACCAAATATGTTAGTACGGTTACTGAAGGAGGTTAAACTTCTTACATTTGATAACCTGTTCCCGCCACTCCGACATTCTCCCTAAAACACTTTGTAGAATGACGACGGCTATCACGTTTTCCCGCCAAAATGACGCTGGCTCACGCGCGCGCACTACTTAGTATTGAGAAAATCTTGTACTCGCACATTTGAAAGTACTCGTACTCGAACTCGCACTCGAATCTAAAGCTCTCCAATAAAGCGGGGGAGGGATGGGGGTACAAGAATGATCCAGAGGCTAAACGAAGAGAGTGGCCGCCAGGAAACGATGTACTAAACACATGGAGATGATGCAAGCAAGGCTGACCGCGCTGACCGCTGACCGCTGACGGACAACACGCGGCTGCGCTCCTAATTGTTTACTGCGTCAAATTTCATTTAACTTCATAATGATGTGTCATTGTCTTTTTAGCAAAGAAGAAGAGAGAGTTCCTTCAAACAACTTCTTAAAACTTGTAGCCCGGCCATTGAAGAGAATTCAACTTGGGAAGAGGTGAGTATAGGGCCTGCCTAAGGGGCTAAGGGAGAGGAGATTTTAGATGGGAACTTATGTAAGCGTATACGTTACAATAGGGCCGTTTAAACGAGGAAAAATAAGACTCGTCTTACGTAGGACGCGTCCTAAATCAGACTCAAACTATCCCGTAAAAACGGCACATTTCGATTGAAATTTAGCTAAGACGCGTCTTATCTAAGGACAGCCCCGAACACCTGTTCTTCGATAACGCATCTTTGCTAAGAGCGCGTCTTAATGTGCAGTTTCTACGCGAAAGTTTGCGTCTTATTTAGAACACGTCTAATGAAAGACGCTTCTTATTTCTGCTCGTATAAATGGCCCTAATGTCATTGTCCTTTTCGGGACTTCGCCTTCTGCGTTAGCGCTGTATTGCTCCACCAAAAAACAAAGAGAAGTATTTAAATATATAAAATGTCGAGGATATAGCTATAAATGGCGCTGTGCAAATTACATCTACTGTTTTCAAATGACGAAATTCCTTTAGGTACTTACCATTTACATGGGAAAACCGGAAATTCCGGTTGGAAAATCAAATGGTTCGCGGCATTCCGTTTGGAAAGTTTTAGAAAAGATGGGCTCTGATTTGAGACGAGCAAGTTTTCAACTCCTTTTAGTCTGTTTAATAGATATGAATTTATTTTGTCGCGGGTCGTACTCCTACCTCGTCAAATTTTATAGATTTATGTTGGTGCACAAGATTTCCACTCGAGTGGTTTGTGTCAATGGTGAGCATCTGTCCCATTTCGTTCGTTCACTTGATTAGACTTTGAGCTACAATGGAGGACAAAAGAACTTGGGACTGTGCGAAAGGAATAGTTCCGTAGACTCTGCTCCTAAGGACATTTTTTGTTCGGCTTTGGGTTCATCCCGTCGTCCCCCCACTTCCCCTAGCAATGTTGTGGCCCAAAAAAGCACTCATTTTCACCCATTTTGCTCCAAATCCAACTTTGTTTGGGGTGGGAGGGGAGGGGTCGCTAGTTTTAGTAATATCACTGGAAAGGTCCCAACACTTTTGACCTCCATTGTAGGTCTATAAGTAGTGCACACGCGTGAGCCAGCGTCATTTTGGCGGGGAAACGTGATAGCCGTCCTCATCCTACTAAGAATTTTAGGACGATGTCGTAGTGGCGGGAACAAGTTATCAGTTTTAGAAGTTTAATCGTGCTGCGACCGGGAAAGGGCTTAAACCCTCTCCAATAAAAATAACCGCACTAATTTTTCAGGAGAAGAATAGTACAAAGAAGATTTCCGGGTTGTCGAGAATACGCGAAGAAACTCTAAGTTAAATCTCGTACTCGTAGTCGTCCTCTTTGTCAAATCTAAAGCTCTCTAATATTAGAGGTCATGTATTTTTCTTCTTGTTTTTTTTTTTAGGTGAGAGAAAGGCTTGAAGGAGACGCGGCATTTACAGCAATTACAGTTGAGGCCGAGCGTATAAGACTTTTCAACGATCACATTAGCTCACTAGAGGTTGGTAGAGGGAGTATATATAGCAAGTTTTAAGAAATTTGTGATATTTTCATAATACCATAGTTTTTTCTTTTTTTTTCATAATCTGAAATCTTGTCAAAATAAACGAAATTGTGCCATGGCCTTCTTCATTTTCACCTGCTTGTTGAAGGACTTATTGGCCGTTTTCACACTGGAGACGGATTATCCGTCTGAGACGTGTTATCCGTTGGATAATACGCGTAAGGCAGATAATACGCCATAATTTAGATATGGAACGGTTTTAATTTTTGCTGAACAATCCGCCGGACTTTATCCATCTGTTCATCCGTCAATTTTGACGGATTTTGAAGGTGGATTATCCGTCTCAGACGGATAATCCAGTGTGAAAACGGCCATTTTTTTTACGTTATTGTACAGTACGTGCTTAACAGTCTTTTAATTGGTCAAAAAGTGTAATGGCTTGAATGAGTTTATCATGCGAACACATTCCCAAATATCTCACTCTGAAAAAATGTCTGAACTGATTTGAACTGATTGGTCGTGATTTTGACTTACTTTCTGACTATTCGCTTTAGGCGTGTACTCATATTCACTCTTCAAAATCGCACAAGAAAGCCAAAAAGACAAAGAAGCACAGGAAGCGGTCAAGGTCGCGGTCACCCAGTAAGGTAAGTTTTAGAATCCTGCAGTTACGAACAGAACGCCCTTAAGTAAGTCTCGAAAGTAATTTTGTGATGTCTTTATTTTGTTGTTGTTTGTTTGTTTATTTTTTTTTGTCGGTGGAGATCTTCAGTGTAACCTGCCCTATTTTTAGAGAAAACTTTAGATTCTAAGACAAGGGCGACAACGAGAATGACATTTCCTCAATACTAAGTAGTGTGCGCGCGTGAACCAGCGAAATTTTTGCGGGTAAATGTGATAGCCGTCGTCATTCTACTACGGGTTTTAGCAAGAATGTCTTAATGGCAGAAACAAGTTATCAAATGTTAGAAGATTTATCATTTTGTGAACTGGACAGTTAAGCTCGTTTAATAAAAATAACCGCACTAACTTTTGAATGAAACTAATGAAGCTTTCCGGAATATTTTTGGAGAATACGCAAAAAATAAACTTTAAAGTTTAATCTCGTCCTGGAATCTATCAAAAGGTCTCTATCATATCGACAGCTATGACTTCAGGCCTTATAAGGTCTGTAACCAGTTAAGCTGGAAAACGAGATAAAACAAACAGACAAAAAATAGTCGTGATGGTTTGTACATAACTCGCTGGCCTGTTATGGCATTCTAAAAGGAATAATCCAGTTCAGCTCTGAAAGATATTCCCATATCCCTTGTAAATTTAAATGTGTTGTTTTGAGTTGATACGTCGTCTTTTTAAAGGAATCATCGCAATCTGAGGAAGAGTACGCTAAAGAGAAGAGCTCGTCACACAAAAAGAAACGTCATAAGCGATCACGGTCCAAGTCGCCAGAGTCATCCGCCTCCGAATCAGGTTGGTATCACTGGAAGCTCTCTAAATCGAATGCAAATAGAAAAAGTAGGGGCTTAAGCGACCACAACGAAAACGGAAAAAAAAAACAATTGGTTTTATGAGCAAAACAACAGCACTACACGTACTTCACGCTTTTAGTACGTTTCTTGGACATCCACTGCACGACTACAACGTGAAACTGTCGTTTTTTGGAGGACGTGGACATACGATGAGGAATTTTGCTTTCCTTTTTTAACCTGGATAAAAACCTTAAGAATTCAACTCCAAGCCTGGATTTGAAGGCGGAAATTAAACACGCGATTAAGTTTTCAAGGACACAAATTCCTTTTTAGTGACGTTTTCACTGTCGTCGTCGTCGTCGTTGGCTTCTTAAACAATACTGCATGCAATAAGTACCGTATTGATTCGATTAACCGCCCTGGGCGCTTATTAAATTTTTGGACCTTGAGAGTGGGCGCTTATTCGAGGTGGGCGCTTATTCGAGGTTGGGCGCTTATTAAATTTTCACCATTTTCAGCAAGTGAAGTATGTTTATTTTGCAACAGAACAACAAAAAGCTAATAACAAAATGCAAAGAAGTAACAAAGCAAGGTTTCTGTAAAATACTCTGAAGAAAACTCCGTCCTCGGGGAAGTCTCTTAGTAGAATTTATTCACTAAAGTGGGTGGGGTGGGGGTAAGCGCTTATTTGAGTTTGATTTTGAGGAGGCGGGGTGGGCGCTTATTCGAGGCTGGGCGCTTATTAACTTTTTCTGCCTTTAGGATGGGCGCTTATTCGAGGTGGGCGCTAATTCGAGGTTGGGCGCTTATTCGAATAAATACGGTACTTGCTTAAACAGCAGCAAATTGTGTCTGGGTCTCTGTGTAGATCTGGGCCGAGTTGTTCGAAAGTTGGATAACCCTCTCCACTGGATACAAACCTCTATTCCATGGATAACTTAATTGGTTTCCCTAATACTTACCCACTGGATAGTGATTTATCCGGTGGATAGCGCTATCCAACGTTTGAATCGGCAACTGGGCCCAGGATAACAAAAATAAAACCAATTTTAAACAAGACACGACTGGTCGAACACCTTATTGAACCTGCTTCATTGTTACTGTGTCTTTTCACCTGTCTCACCTCATTCTGGTTTCTGAAAAGTCAAATGTATCTTAGGTCAGCAGGTTTGAAATCTGTGCACTACCAGAGTGAGGTCTCTTTTTTCGAGTGTAATGCTGCATTCACATCAACTAAGCATGTTTGATAAAACTATGTTTTTAAAGAAACTAATAACATTATCGGGAAACTGGAACACAGGATTTTACACAATTCAACTTAACTTTAACGTTACAAAATTGCCCCAGATCATCAGAAAAGTACAGTAAGCAGCTTTTAAAAAGAAAAATTTAAACTGCGTTTAACTTAACTGCTTTTAATCATGTTTAAACTTTGGTGTTAATGAGGCATAAGTTGACAAATGACTGAATAAAGCTCTAGCTCTCCCTACTTCCAGGCTTGTTTCCGTGGTAGGCGGCCAGTGTACATAGAATCCATTTAAATGGTTGAATTCTGTTCTTTCTTCTTTCAGAACCGGAAAAAGAAAGCAGTTCAGCCAAAAAGAAAAAGCATAAAAAGGTACAAGATTTTGTTTTAAACATCACTGTCCCCCTTGAATGTTCGTTTGTGCGCGTAAAGCAGCGGCACTTTCTGCAGGTAGTACGCTTATAGTTGATCATTAAATGTTTTTGTTTTATTGATGTATTTTCAGAAGTCGAAGAAGAAGCGGCAACGATCGGTAAGTGTTCATCTCCCAAAGTGTTCATCTCCCAAAAGAAGGAGCCTTCTGTAAGAGGAAAGTATCTTCGTTGTTTCTTATTTGTTACGTTACTGCTGGTTTCCGCTCGTTTCACCTACAATCGTGCGCCAAGAGTTTCTCTAGCAGCGAAAAAGAGAAGTCGATGGGCGAACCAGTTTTGGGTCGAGACGAAACGACCGGTTGCTGCTGTACACGTTCTGAGCAAACCTCTTAAGGAGCTACCTTGTCGAGAGCTGCCGCAACAATCTTTCCACCAAACTACTTTTTCTCTTTTCTTTTTTTCTCTTGGGAGCGACGGATCCTTAAGATAATGTCTACATAGTTTCTTTGGCATTAATAATTTCGTAAGCGATATCTTTTAGGACATTCCCATTGTCAGCACTAGCTACAGCTACATTTTCTCTTGGCAAGAAAACTAGGACATATTTTCAGTCTCCGCTCACCTGAAACGCAAGATTTATCGGTAAACGTCACATGGGACGAACCTAATGCTTATGAGCAAGAACAACAGAAAGTACTCATTGGTACTATATTCTTTGCATATCTAGTCTGACCTTACTGAGTTCTACGGGAAAAGACTTAATGTTTTTAAAATTATGTTTGCATGGTGGTCTTTTTCTTAGTGGCTTCGCCCTTCAACTTCTTCTTGAACCGCGGCAAGATTAGCTCAGTTGTTAGAGCAGGAGGTCGTGGGTTCGATTCTCGGGGCCGGACCAATACTCAGGGTCTTGAAATAACTGAGAAATGATTAATGAAGGTATTGCATTTGCCCTGCAAGCGGTTAGACCTTCGCGTGGCTCGGGCGACTACTTGAAATGGCAGTCCTGTCTCCAAAATGAGACGTAATAATAGTGTTCCCAATTAGTATTTTTGTGTTAATTACATTAACGCTCGAATTAAGTGCCTTTTCTTTTTCTTTTTCGTTTTTTGTTCTTTACTCTTTCTTTAAATCAGCCTTCTGAGGAATCTGACAGAGAGAAGGAAGACAAGGACAGAGATCGCGATAGACGTGACCGAGACAAGGACCGGGGAGGAAGGGACGCTGACCGCAGCAGAGACGTAGAGAAGGAGAAGGAGAAGGAGCGTGACCGAGACAAAGAAAGGGACTACAGAGAGAAGGACCGAGACAGGGATAGGGACAGAGACAAGGGCAAGGAAAAGGACCGTGAGAAATCCAAGGACAGGTCCAAGAAATCTCAGGATAAGGTGCTGACTCGATCTCCGTGAAGATCTTGTCTGTAGCTCTTGTTTTTACAGGTCGTGTACATCACGGGCCGCAGAGAAGGAAAGTGGTGTCAGGAAGAGACGTTTCATGGCCATGGAGGAATGACCAGCGTCCTTTCAGGGCGCTTAAGCTGTAAAAACTCTCACGTTACCAGTAGAGATTTACGGTGGTTGTCGATCACACGCGACTCAATACACTACTTCCCCGTTTAAATGGAGAGATCTTGCCCCGGATAGAAGAGTCTCCCCCCCTTCCCCCCACTCAGCCAAGCTACCCAGGGCGAGCCAACTTCCCCGTCATTTCCTTATAAAACTTGGCGAACCGTTAACTCGAGAAACAAAGGTTGTCTCTGCCGGTTCACCTTTTATCGATGGCAGGGTCATCCTCCTAGCCGGGCCAACTTTCTCCATGTAAACACTTTGGCTCACCCAGCCAGGTCAACTCGGTTAAGGCGAGACAATCAGAGCATGCGTAAGTGCTGTTGGCCCCGGTCAGGAGCGTCAACTTTTTCCTCAGATATAAATGCTACCAAAGTTGGCTCGGCTGGGAGGTTGACCCTCTTTCCGGGAAGAGCTTTTCTTCATATAAACGGAGCCTTAGCCTGCGTGCAATCGTCTCCCATAATCGAAGGAACCATGAGATGTCTGTGCGTAGTCTATGGGTTTCTTTAAGGCGGACAAAAGTTTAACTTGGTTGACCATTATAAATAATTTCCTGGGCAAGGAAATGCTGTTTTAAATGCCCTTTCGAATTTTGCCTTTTGATGCAATATAGGTTAATAATTAATTGTGAAAAAAAGAACTTTCGAAAGAGAAAAAAGTTTGAAATATATTTACAGTGAGACTAACTATTTTCGATTATATCCTTTTATGGAAAAAATTTGTATTTTTTTCAATAGCTCGTTATTGTTACATTCCACCTTATTTGTAACAGTTCTTAGTGGAATTAAAACACTGACAAGTTTGCTTCCTCATTTCTCTGTTGGAAATTAACTTTGGTTATGTGTTTGTACGAACTTAAAGTTTCGTGCTGAGGGTCATCTTTGAAACATTATAGACGAGATGTAGATTGATTACAGGGAGGGCTTTTTAGTGGTGGGGTTAGAAACTTCTAATGAAATTTATTTTCCATTGGTAACATTGGTTTTTGGAGGTGGGGAAGAGCGCGTGCTGAATCGTCCATTTGTTACAAAGGACGCACTTGTCGTGCTTGGTTCTTACCACGAGATCTGTTGGCTTGAAGTCGCGTGCGACAAAGGGGCAGTTTATGTATGCTCTCGTGTACATTTTTAACATTAGTCTTCTGAATGTTATTTATCATCCGTACTTCATAAAACTGCCTTGACGCAAATTCTGAACCGAAATCATAAACTTATCTTGGTGACGGTTAGCATCATAGTTTTGAGTGTGTGGACATTGCAACTCAAATGCCATTTAGTGAGCGATAATTTTGTACGGTTCTGGTTATGTTATCCTCCGTTTTCAAATAGAAATTTTGAAGATTATTTCAGGGTAAAGAAATAGATGCCAAGCTAAAATTACGCATACTCAGAATCACACTCAAGCGTGCGCACGTGAAACGCTGGTCATTGCGCCCGGGTGAAACTTTCTCGCACGGACACTAAAAAGACATTCTTCTTTCTTGCTAGGTGAATAGGTCTTTGGCAACAAACCGTGACATGGTAAAAAATTAGCCACGCTGCTAAGCAAACAGTGCGATGGGGTAGGAAAGAAAGGTTCCCACAGCGTTATTTGCTGGCTATCTTGTACCATTTGACGGTTTGCTGCAAAAGGGCCGTTGAAGAAGAGGGGACTCATGGTTGATTTGCTGTTTTTTTTCCAGACCGGATGGGACACTACTTCGAGTGAAAGCGAAAGTGAACTGGAAAGCAGACGAAGAGCCCTGCTGAAGCAACTGGGTGCTGACGAATAAAGCTACGTGCGAGCGCCAGCAGTTGAAACAAAAGCCTTCGTATTGCCTAGTAGAGCAGACTTTTCTATGAATGCTGTGAACAGTTTTGCCAAATCAATCCTCGACCCAAGCTTTCCTCGCTTTTTTCTCGCAACGTGGACATTTTTTTTTCTCAGAATTCACTCTAGGGCATACATACAAAAATAGTTGTTTAAGGGTTTAGCGTGTGTACTTTATTAAAGCAAGTAAAGGATTTGTCCAAACAAACTGACTATCAGTTAGGAGCGTTGAACGTTGTGAAAAGTTTCGGGGTTGGTAATGTGTTATGAAGTCGCGTGTGAATCATTTAATTGATTTAAAGAAGAAGCCATGTTTGCCCTTTTCAACGTGCCAAAAATAAGATATCCAAAAGTAAAAAAAACTTCATGGAGGTTGCCAAGTTACATGATTTGAATGGGCAAGTTTAATGCTGCATTTCTTTGGAAGAATCTGAATCCGGATTCTCGAACCTTAAAAACGATTCGTTCCATTGCTCGGGGCTCGGCAATTGCTTTGTCGAGATCTTGGCATCCAAGTTTAAACGCAACTAAAATCAACTTCGTGATTAAATGACAACCGAGCCAGCCAGGCGACTTGACAAAATAACCCAGACCGGCTGAACGTGTCATCCAAAAATCGGCTCAGAATCCTTTGAATATACATGTCGAGCAGCGACACCACCAACCTGGGATCGAGGTTGCGACACCACCACTGGTTTCCCCGCCAAAGACGTCTAAGAAACGAGCGCGGAAATTCCGTACTGGTGACGCGTCACTACCCAGATCTAGGTAGTGCTTCTGATTGGTCTTGCCGCGAAGGAAATTTGTTTCTACCAATCAGAAGCACTACCCAGTTCTGATTAGTGGCACGTCATCAGTATGGAATTTCTGCAGTCGTTCTTAAGACTTCAACCAGTGGTGGCGTCGCCAAATGTGTCGGCTGTTTTCTCACGCTTAAGTCGGCGGGAATTCAGTGAATTGAATCCAAATCCGATACCTCAGATTCGGAGCTCCGGCGTTTCCTTAGATTCAGATTCAAAAGCAAAGGGAAGGGCAGCTTTATAATCTTCGGTGATTGGATTCTTTTCCTGTCTTACCGCAACTGAAATATCGCTCAGTTCCATGACTGAAATTTATAGAAGTGTATGAATTGTGTAAGATGGTAGGTTGGCAACTTCGGGACAGCTTTTTTATTCTTATTATTGTAATTATTATTTGTCTAGAGTGAAATGCCTGAGAGGATTTCAAGTAAAACCACCTAACTTAGATTTTACGTTGTCCATATCAGCATCCCTTGTAATGCGCGTTTCTTTATAGTTGTATCAGTTTTTTGTCTCCTATGCAGACCTCTACTCTGAATGTTGGTAATTTTATCTGGTGATTTATTATAGTCCTTATCTAGCGGAATTTAGCTCGTGTGTACAAATGATAACTTATTTACGTTTATTTATCCACTTTCGTACTAAACATCTTTGTCGGAGCAAAAGTAAGATCGTCGTGCGTAGAAACTTTGGTGGTGCTGTTGTCTCAATAAGCCTAGCACGTTGCGCATTGTCTGTAGCCTACTCCAAAAGGTTACAGCCAAGTTCCTGTGACTAACATTCGTAATAAAATGGGAGCATAACTTTGTTTGATTCTTTGCTGTTTTGTCTTTTTCCCGTTAAGTTTACCATCCCTATTCTTTACGAACTTAGGATTGCCTCTTCGAGGATAATTGCTCTATCTTTCATTGAGTGAATATACGAACCTGAACTTAACATTTTAAATGTCTTGGCCATGATTGTCTTCGTCGACCGTGGGTTGGGTGTCGCGCCGTGGCTGTGTCGACAGATATTCACGATTGCGTCGTTTTACGACTGGATATAGAGGATATTACACGGTGGCGCGAAGATATGAATTTTATTTTCGAGTTTTACGAACGAGCGCAGCGAGTGAGTAAAATATCGTTTTTGCCACGAGAAAATAAAATTCATATTTTCAAGCCGCCGTGTAATGTTCTTTTTACTATATAGACAAAAAGACATCGATAAAATAATAGAGCGAAATTACCGAAATTACGTCATCGATAAACTATGGAAAATAAACCACTGGTGTCCCGGATGTAGTTTTTATGAATTTACGAGTGGTATATTTTCCAGTAAAACACTCGTTTCTATATAATGAAAGAAGATATCGGCCAGTAGTAATCAGAAGCACGTATTTTCTGGGGATTGGTGTTGGCTGCTTCGATCTGACTTGTTAGCTCAATTGTCTGCGAGTACTGACCAGAGGCTAGACCTTCCGCGGGGCTCGGATGACTACGTAAAATGAGGGTCCCGTGTCGACAAGGAGACGTAAAAATGGAGTCCCATGCAATTAGTACTTTCGGGCTAAAAACATTCACCCTCAAATAAAGTACTTTTTTTTTATTTTGAAGAAAATCTTTCAATAATTCACCAATTAGGGCTGTAATTCTTTTCGTAAAATCTGCGAGTTATGCATTGTCGCGATCTGATAAAGTACCACTGATCTCTATTATTATTATTATTATTATTATTATTATTATTATTATTATTTTGCGCAGTTTTTCTGTCTGCCATCTAAAACTTCTTTGATGACCTGATTTCAATAGTTTTTAGTCTTCTTTTAACAGCAAGAATTTCACGCCTTAAATCTTCAATGGTGTTTGCCACTGGCAGCTTACTACAAAATAGGCCAAGTTTACTGATAGCTTTTGTCAGGAAGGTGGTGTTATGACCTTGTGGTTCTAGGATATTGGGACCTCGAAAGATGATAGGGAAAAGAACCTCGCAGATAATATGTACATCTTGGACCACAGTTGCCGGTGTGCAGAAGCCTGAGCTTGTATTACACGAAGAAAAGCAAGCCTCCGAGTTACCCGCCCAGCATTCCTCGTCCGATACGCATTTTGTTTGCTCTAAAAGCGTCCTTAGGAAGACATGGGGGTAGGTTAGGTCAAGATCAATTATTTTGACCGATGCGTTGTTGGTAATTCCAAAGTTTCCTAAGTGTCCGTCGCACTGCCTTACCAAACCGAACGGATTGTTGGAAATTTCCAGTGTAGCGTCCAACATTGAATACGCCAGTTCGAACTTTTCACGTTTACTGGGAGAGAGCATTTGAAACAACGTTGTAAATATGTGGTACCTTGTTAAATTAAGCGCGTCGTTCAAAACTGCGCAACAATACTGCATAGCAAAAATCACAGCGTTCAGAACTCCTCTTAAAAATTCATTAAGCAT